CATCCGTGATTTGATTTATATTTTGATTCTGCTCAGCGTGTTTTTAAAAAAACTCAATTTGCATTAAAAAAAAAAAAAAAAAAAAAAAAAAATTTATTTGTAACATTTAACAATTACAATTAATATTCCTTAATTTTCGTATTTTTAAGAAAAATATTATTAGTCTTACTTCATCAAATTTGCATTTTGTTCATGCAATTCCATGTTTATTCTGCTCACGTCGATTAGCTTCGATTCTCTAGCCTCCAAAATTTCAGTCATCTCCTGTATACGCTTTAATAATTTTTCTATTTCCACATTTGCATCGTCCGATCCTACACTGATCTCGCTTAATTCACGAGAATGTCCTCTAGTTTTTAAAGTTTTTGTTAGCAAATCACCGCTTTTAGTTAATTGCAGTTTCGCCGGACTCTGTCGCGATTGGGTCGAACTCGAATCTCCGTTCGGACTGATCAACAAATCATGTGTTGACTCTCTGTTTGTATGTTGAACACTAATAAACAAAAATATATACGCAACGATAATAATGTATTACACTTTGTTGTACCTGGATATTATTTCAATGTCGCTTGATGTTGTTGTTTCTAATTCATCTCCGCTCGTATGTCCGCTAGTTTGATCAGAACCAATTTTCACCAGATCGGAACGACTGTAAAGAAGAACTTACTGAAAAATTATTATACAAATCTGCGCATAAACAGCACAATACAAGAATTAAATAAAAACTACCTTTCTGAAGATATAGGCGAGTTTTCTCGCTGCACTTCGGCACAATGATGTTCCATATCGATTATTTCACCTTTCTCGACCATAGCATCAGCCAGCATAGTTTTCACGTACGAACTCGTAGTTAAAGGTGTTTCTAGGACTTTCGAATCACTTGTACAAATTAACGTCGCATTTTCCTCCGAACTGCTCTCTATCAAGGTTCCCTCTCTACTTGAATCTGTAGATATTAAATACTGATCGGTATTACTCTCGACTATTTTTGTTTCTTCCACATTATCGATGTGAGAATAAATGTCCGGATCCGGTGGTTCTATAGTGGTGTTCATTAACTCAGAAAAAGTAGAAACATCCGATTTTTCATTCACTCCCTCTAAATGATCCGTTTTGCGAATTGGTTGTGTAGTGATTGGCTCAAGCGTTAAATGCAAATTGTGTTTTTCTTTTAACGAGTCAAGGCTCAAATTTAATTTGTTTTCTGTACAAGCCTTGGCCAACAATTGTCTATTGTCTGGGCACGAATCATGCATCTGTGCAGATATCTTAACGTCGACCAATTCCATCTTATTTTTACCAGCATCCAATTGTTGAAACGGCTCGAGTATCGTCATGATCGTACCCTCGGAAGCCGAAGTATAAGAATCTTCGGCCACACTCGCTTCATCTAATTCGTCCACATCCTCAGGTATCACCTCAACGCTTTCAGGCGATGTTTTGGAACTGTCCGTCGTATGTAACGAAGTTTTATTCATATCTAGACTAGAAAACGCATTAGGCGACGGTGTACTATCAATACTACAAGAATATGAATTGGTGTTCAACATTTTGACTTCTTCCATCGGAGATTCGTACGGAGAGATATCGGACGATGAGGCTTCGGCTTGACTTCTGCTACTCGGTAGCTGTAACATATCGGTGCATTCTATGCACGGTGTGGCACATTCGTCTCCATCTAGAATAGGAGATGATTCTGAATTCTTTGGATCTATTGGTGACAGATAAGGACTGCTGTCGCTTTTCCAATCTCCCAGAACTTCTACGGAGCTCGGTGACGTTACCAGACTGTCCGGCAATATCTCTACCGATTCAGAATTTACCTTGATACCGACAACTGAAGGACTCAACGAATTTGTAGCAGAAGTGGGATCTGAGTCGGGTGTGGTGGTGCAATCAGTGTTAGATTGCGAACCAAGTATCTCCACACTCTCAAAGCTTTTCTTATCACTCTCGGAAGAAATATTAGGTACTGTTTGGAACACATTAGTGGGATTTGATAATTGATTGGTGTTGTTGCTTTCTGATGTTGTTTCATTACTATCTTGTCCTTCTTCTTCGCTAGAATCATCATCAATGTTTTTTACTGTTGGTACATGGCATATTTGTTCCGAATCTAAACTAATACTTTTAGCTATACTCTTCTCAGTGCTGATAGGAACAACATTATCTAGAGGCAATTGCTCTGAGGATATATAAGATTTTAACATACTTTTATCATTATCAGATTCTTTAAATATACTATTATTAGTATTTACAGTATCACTGACACAACTAAACTCTTTCTCGTTTGTTTTATTTACAGCTTCACTCTTTGTAGACTTTGTGTCTTTGGCTGCCAATTTTTCAGGAGCAGAAGTTGAAGATACCAGTCCATGTTCTTGGTTATCTTGACTTGTGGTGCTTTGAAAGGACTCTGAATGCTTTACAGTCTTCCGCACATTTTCTTCTATTAATTTTGGCGATTCAAAAAACGAACCAGTAAAACTACCCCAAATACTGCTTGAGTTTTGCTGTTTCTGTGAATTGCTGTTGGACTTATTGGTTTCTTCATCATTCTGCACTCCCCAGCTTGCAAAAAAATCAGTAGTCTCATCATGCGATGAAAGTTTTGGTTCTTCTTCCTTGATATCCAAAGCTTTGTCTATTGTCTTCTGAGCTCCCTTCAGAGCAGATTTTGCCAAATTGGCAAATCCTGTAGCATCAAACCAGCTCATGTTTTATACCTAGAAAGATAAATATCATATTTGATTATATTTTCTTAACAAAAAGATGCATCTTTGATACAAGAATTGTTAATCTTGGGTGTTTTTTTTTATTTTTTTATTTTTTTTTTATTGAAGACATAACAAAATAGATGTAGATACTGTAAACATCAATATTGATTACCTACTTTACATACAAAATAAAATCAAACTTATGTATGTAAATTAAATAGTCGCAAAACTTCCTCGAATAATACAAAATTAACGTTGCAAAAAATATGTACGCAACATAATGATCTTGTAATGATTACCTCTACTATCGTTCTTTCTAAAACGTTTCATGCATTACGACTATAACGTTATTTAATCTATTTCTATGTATCTATATGTAGACATTCGATTAGTCTAACCAACGTACGTGGCATTCTCGAAAGTGACAATTGTGACAGCGAGACACTTTTCTGCTCTCGCGAGATGTTTATATTTTTACTCGCAGGCGTTTTGCGTGTCAATCGTCAAAATACACTCAGCAGCCGACATGTTTGCGACAAGTAATGTCAGTGCTGTCAATTTCTACCCTATTCAGTTTGACCAACTGCGACTGTGATGTATTTTAGATATACATGTATACATTATATCCGCCAGGAATGTAAGATGTTAGGGAAACGAAGCGCAGCTGATAATTTTATCAGTGACAATATAACATGTACGGTAGTATAATATAATTCTTGCTAAGTATCGTAAGCGTACCGTAAATATGTGAGCAAATTGAAAATACATTCTCCGAGTTTTCCAAAATAGATCGAACTCATTGAGAAAATACTTTTTTTTTGTTACATAGTACGAACGGTGTTATATAAATAATCTTACTTCCGGAATTAATTAAGTCTTACTTTCTCTTCTTTGCTATATGTTCTACTATTCCGATATATATACACGTACTTGCTATATCGAATACAAATATAAAATACAAATTTAAGATTTTGTTCTTTCTTCGGCTTAATTTTCGCGTAATATTTATAAAAAATTAACTTCCAATCTTATGCGAAGATGAACAACTTACGAGCAAAGATGTTTTTAACATTACCGACTTCGCCTAAGTGAAGAGGCTTGTTTCAGCGACCTTATTCCAACGGCTCCAGTGGCGCAATTGGTTAGCGCACGGTACTTATAAGACAGTATTCTCTAAGCAATGCCGGGGTTGTGAGTTCGAGCCTCACCTGGAGCATTTTTTTTTTACTCTTCCCAAACTTACGCTTGACTTATTATACGCATACTAGTTTAGATTAAGTTTGATTTATATCAGTTTTATTTGTAAATTATATTAATTTTTGTACAATGTAGTTGCGAGCGTTAACGTAAACTAAACGATAAATAATTTAAATTGTTTTTTAATGTGTAAAAATATTTGGTTTTTTTATATCTTGCGATGTCGCGATAAAAATATTATTAAAATGAAAATGTTAGTAAATAATAAATAATTGTTAATTTTAAAGACAAAAAATAACGCGGTTACAGAAAAAATTTGTTGATGAAAAATAATTCGATTTTCCAGTAGAATTTTAATTATATATAAGAGAAATTTTATAGCGTAATAAAATACATTACATTAAAATATGATAACGCATAATATCCGAGAATATTTTATTAACGCGTATAATATTTTTGTACCATAAGCATTAATGTTCTATAGAAAATAATACACAAATAATAATCACACAACATCTGTGCAAAAAGAGAAAAACATGTATATATGAACTGTGTCTGGAAATTTGGACTCGATCGCAGTTACGATCGAGTCACGAGGAAGCACTTTGACCTAAATTGATCGAGATATAATGGACAGCGTGAAAGGACGACATATCTCGCCGTTATCATTATTAATGGCAGACGCGTTAAAATCGAGGATATACGAGCGATGTTTTATGCTAAGTACTCGATCGTCAGCCAAATCACGAAACGCGGTACCTATTAAACGGAGTGGCCGACTGTGTTCGGCCGATGTTCGCCCATCGAACGGAACAATGACGACCGCGGTCCGATTTCGTAAACATGAGTGCTTTAAAAAGCCCACCCGTGAGTTCGCCGATCGTCAGTTGCATTTCTCAATTCACGATGAAAATGTCCCACCCGTGTCATTATTCGCAACATAATAAACTACGGTTGACGCAGGTAAGCAATTGTTAGTTTGCCTGAAACGTTTCTAAGTTGAAAAAAAAAAACTCCTACATATATCTTTCAGAGAGACGCTTTGTGTAGAAATTTAAGTTTATATGTTTTTACGATTTTTATATAATGCATTATAAAATCAATATTACACATTATTGCAGATATATCGATGGCTTTTCTTTGTCTATACAATATTTCCGGGAAGTTTTCTAGCGAACAGACTCGAGTCTCAAGACGCGGTTCTCGTTAATTTTCATCGCAGATATAACGTCTCTAAAGTGGTAGTTCACAACGGCGGTTATTTACCTCCGGTTTCAACTCCAGATTTTTCTCTACCGGAAGTGATCGATAACAGAGCACGAAACGTAGCGACGGACGAAACTAGACCATATTCCGACGTGTTGTATCATCCCCTCGAACGGGATTCTTTGCGAGTTTTCACGCGCAAAGGTCCGCAAGACGCGAGATATTCGATGAGTGGCGAGTGGCAATTGGCAACCCCCCGTCGACCTGTCTTTCTCTATGGTAAACAAAAGTCCGCGCCGCATCCTTCCTTTCTCAACGAAATATCGGCGTCGTCCTTTGTAAGTGATATCAGTATCGAAGAGATGTCTTGTCAGAACGTAGGCAACGAACTGTTCTTCAGGTAAAAACTCAAAGAAACTTGTTATTAAAATATGAGCCTAGATTAGATATATATCGCTTAAATGTAAGAAATTTATTTACTTGCCAAATAATAATTCTATATATTATTACACACAATCCGCTCACATAGAGCGTCTATCAAAGCACCGAGAACCTTGGCGCCACCGGTGATAGATAACGCGATGGATAAAACCTGTCAAGTGTTAATGATCAGGGACTCTTATCATATTAAGTTTGAAAATAATCAGATGTGGAATTGCGGAGTCGTCGATTGTTCCGAAAACGGCAACCAATCGTACTGTCTCGATCTACGATTTCCCGTGATCGCCGGTCTACGATTAAGGGACGATCACCGAGTGACGTTGCGTTGTAAGACACAAGACAAGATCGCGCATCACACTAAGCGGATCAGCGTGAAAACTTTGGAAGCGTAAGGACGCGTCATTTGTCTTCCGGTAAAGGCAGCGAGACTAAGCTTCCCGTCTGACGGGAACCGCGAGCTATTCACGATGTGAATGTATTTTTTTTTCTTTTTCAGGAAAGGGAGAAACGCTCCGAGTATGCTATACGGCGGTTTCGAGAACGCTCTGGATGTGGACATCGGATTGTTCAGAAAGAGTCACGGCTCGGAAAACATCTTCGACGCGAGGATCCATACGGGCGGCACGGTGGTCCTTGGCGAGGAAATTTTGCTGCGCGTGTTAGTGAACGGTGACGACGGTAAATACGTAATAACGTACATAAAATAAAATTAGACACTTTTAATTTTTATTTTTCCGCGTATTGAAGGTTGGCGATACTCGAAGATCGGTCAAGTAACGGTGCACCACATGGAGGAGAGACAGGAACGGAAAATCCTCAACAGTCTGTGGATTCTCGACAAGGACGGCTGTTTAAATTCGGACGTGCGCGAGATCTGTCCTCGAGAGCAGTACAGAGCGTCACCGTTGGAGAGCTACTTGATCTTTCAAGCGTTTATGTTTGAGGGTACGAAGGAGACAGACGAGATCTCCCTTACTGTGAAGGCTACGGCGTGTTTAGAACCGGCGGACTGTATTCTGGATTGTCCCGTCGGTCACGTTAGACACGCCAGAAGCGTCTCGGATCAAAACAGCACCGTTGAATGGCAGAACGACATAATTCTGCGAGTGGTTCCTTCGGGACACGAGTTACGCGGCACGCAAAATTATTATCTAGCGATTGTGCTGTCGCTGATTGTATTGCTTGTGTTAATTGCATCGCTTTGGTTTATTAATAGCTTGCTTCATCAAAAATCGAATAAGATCCTAAAGAGTTTCAGAGCTTAATTTACTTTTGCATTTATGATATTGTACATAAAATTTTTTAATTTTTTAAGCTGTACATATACACAACCGTACACACATAGCCATACATCAAATACATAATTGTATATTGAATAAAGATAAAATAATTATATTAAGTAGATTAGATTAAAAACGTTCTGTGTTTATTTCAGTACAGTTTTGTAAGGAATTCTAATATTGTATGTGCGAAGATATCGATAATTAAATTTTATTTAGAAATGCGGCTTGGCATTTCCCAAGCATCCAGCTCGGAGCACAGCTTTAGTCCAACCGCGAACAATGCGAGAGACGCGAATATGCTTTTCACAAACGAGTCCCTACTCAGATTGTATATCACACAAGCCAGGGAACATGTGCATACTTCCTCGAAGTAGCTGAAACCTTTCGTCAGATAATAATTATCTACGATCCGCTGTCGTTCCTCTAGTTTGCGCGCAATAAGCTCTGCAATATAAATTAGTATAACGCGAAATAAATGTGTGTACGATGTAAAGTCAAATACATTGAGATAACAGCAATGTGTGTTTATATTAACGTTTTTTTCCTGTTATTTACCTTTTTGTTTTTGTATTAAAGGACATGTTTCGTCACAAGCATCTTCTGCAGGAGAAACAATACGCTCCGCTCTTCTAGCATTTACTTCTTTAACAGCTCGTTTATCAGATACAGTTACTTCTTCTCTCTTCGGTGGCTTTTTTGTGTTAATTTTATTATTCAAAATATAACCAAATTTTTAAGAAATACTTTATCTACTACCTGCAATTCCGGACTTTTCTTTCTAGGTAGAACCTTCCGATATTCTTCGTCAATAAATTTCTCATAGTCAGTAGGAAGTGACAATCTTTCTTCCGGTTGGCTATCTTTTACAGGCTCTTCAGGTTTAACTAAAATTGTTTAAAAAATTATTTAAAAAATTATATATTACTTGTAAATATTTTTAATAAAGAAAATAAGTTTAAAATATATTATTCATAACTACGATGCTCTTTTAGTTCTCGCGGAGTTTCTAATTTAATCTCTTCCGCTTCTCGACTGATTTCATTCTTAATGATTTCAGGTTCTTCAATTGCGACCGAAACTTTGTTCGGAGATATTGCTACAGTTTTATTATCACTTATCTTCTTCTCTTTGATTACATCGTTGGTATCATGATTTGCTTTTTTTTCAGAAGGAACAATAATTGGGAGTTTTTTAGGTTCTTCAACGAATTCTTTTTCTTCAATCGAATCAATTTTTTTATCATTACGGTCCAGTATTTTTTCTATATGGGTGATTGGTTCCGGAAGTTTTTTCAGTTCTTCAATCAATTCTTCTTCTTCAACCAAATCGATTTTTCTGTCATCACGATCCAATATTTTATCTGGTGGAATAACAATTGGTTCCGGGATTATTGTAGGCTCTTTAATCAATTCTTTTTCTTCAATCAAATCGATTTTTTCCTCATCTCGATCTAGTATTTTATCTGGCGGGATGACAATTAGTTCCGGGATTATTGTAGGTTCTTTAATTAATTCTTTTTCTTCAACCAAATCAATTTTTTTCTCATCTCGGTCTAGTATTTTATCTGGCGAGATGACAATTGGTTCCGGGATTATTGTAGGTTCTTTAATCAATTCTTTTTCTTCAATCAAATCAATTTTTTCCTCATCTCGGTCTAGTATTTTATCTGGCGCGATGACAATTGGTTCCGGGATTATTGTAGGTTTTTTAATCAATTCTTTTTCTTCAACCAAATCAATTTTTTTTTCATCACGGTCTAGTATTTTTTCTGTCGGAATAACAATTGGTTCTTGGATGCTTGGAGGTTCTCGAACAATTTGTTCTTGAATATCAAGTTCAATAGGCTTCGCTTCGATAGTGTCTTCCACTGCCTTTGGCGGTTCGTACTTTACAATTTCTTCCGGTCTTACTAGTTTTTCATATGCTGCTGCGATCACCGGTTTCAGTTTATTGTCCCTGACGATATCATCCAACGGATGATCCAAAACGTCATTTTTTTTTCGTGGGAAAAATTCATCAATTAAATAAGGCGCTTGCTCGACTGTTTCATAAAGATAATAGGATAATAGAGTAAATCATATTTGCGAAATAATATTTATTATTAGCGTACAAAGCTAAGACATTTTTTCAAAATAAATTAACGTACTTGCATCACGAAGCTGTGCTCTCACTATAGGACAAGAAGGAGGACAACGACACACAGATTCGCGAGACATTTAGAAGCTATGTGAGACTTCAGTAGATTACATATTTATGTATATAAAAAACAAATGTACATATTCACACACACATTCATTATTTTATCAATTCTATAAAGTTAATGAATTGTAATAAACAGTATTTTATGTCCATATTTAATCATTGTCACGTCTGTTATTTCGTGTACATGTGAGGTTGACAAGGAAACATTTTACACTCTGAAGGAGTATACGATAATTTTATAATTCGTATTACATTCGCGTTCGCTTCTCACGAGTAAACATCAAAGTCTTTATCTCGTAAAAGAGTAGGATTACTTGAATAAATATTTCCAGCTTTATTGAGCGCAATGCAAGAGACGATACGCGAAGCGTCGAGATGCTCTGGAGATACACGTTATTATTTTACGATTTTTCTGAAATAATTAATAAATAATGAATTTCATAATCAACACACAACTCAAAATAATTACTGAATCTTATAGACACACAAATGTTTTTTCAACGGATTTGATTATCTTGCGGAGATTCTTTGGAATCGTAATGAGTGTCATTTAAATAGAATAATGCGTCTGGCTAAAAAAGTATTTAGGATAAGTTCTACTTGCTGTTCGCAACGCTCATGGAATCGTTTTATCTTTGTTTTTCATTGAAAGTTAAACACAGATAGATAACGCTCACGACCGTTGCAAACCGGCAAGTGGACTTTAATATATTCAATTTGGATTATGGTTAAAATTGAATTAAAAATAAACATCGTAATTTCTTCCAAATTATTTTATAATTGTGTTTAAAATAATTTTCTTATCTTGTATTAATCCTTGGCCAATCTATCCGAAGTCATGACTATGGACTAGAAAAAGAAGATGTTTTACACATATAGCGATATGTTCGCGGTTGGCTCGTTAGAAAAAGGGAGAAGACGTTCGAGGAGATGCGTCAGTTTTGGAAGATATTAACATGTTTAATTATGCAAAGAGTTGAAACACACCATAACTGTCATGTAATTGCAGATTATATGCGTGCAGAGAAAATCAATATTTCTTTTGTTCCTGCATTTGACTGTACCTTTGATAAAACAAATTGCCAACACAGATCATCAATAAGAATAAAACCTGAAAAGTCTTTTTATGTAATTCCTTAGGTAATTTATTGCATTACTTCTCAGAAACTTATATAAAACATTTTATTATTTCTTAACTATGTATGGTCATTAAATACATACAATATTATGAAGATGTAATTTCTTCTGGCTTTGGATAAAGAGAACTGGATTCACTAACACTAAAATTCAACTTTACTGTTGGCACTTCACCTTCTTTAGCTAATCTGTACTTTTTAACATATGCTCCATTAAAGTTATAGCAAAGAGGTAATTGCAGCTTTTCTGATAGTTCGATATCTTTTGCTTTCATTTGACGTATTATCATTTGTTCTAGCAAAGGTGGAAGATCTGTTGTTGCAGGTAAAGTTCTTTCTTCTGGCACTTTTGTATTATTCAAGTACAAATACTCTTTGTCTTTAGGTACAAGCTGGTAATCTGGTTTATAAGTTGAACCACATAGCTGTAATGGTGTTGGATATTTTAAACCTCGGAACACTCGTTCAACAAGTACTACGACCTTACGTGCTTGCTGAAACAACGTAACGCCAAATAATTTAATTAAAATATAATGAAATACAGATTAAAAAATATATCTCAATTTATTGTAGTCATTTCGCACTTACGTCAAATTCTTGGGGAGTTGGCATTGCAGCAACTTTCAGTATTCTCATGTAACATGCTTCAGGATATCTTTGAAATTGATTTCGAATTATCATTCTACCGACACCAAAGTTTTTCAGGTTTCCTAGAATCTCCCATAAGGTCTTTCCCTTAAAATCTGTTGTGCGACCAATATATTTGATAGGCATGATGTTCGATTAACCGCTAAACAATCTTCGATTTGATGTGCCACTTTCCGCACAAAAACTTCTTCCTACTTATGTATTATTTCTTATAAAAAAAACTATTTAATTACTCTATATTTGTAATTATTCGTATTATATTAAAATATATGTAGAATAAACATGTAATAAAAAACGTAGAGTTGTTTGTGTTGTACCTTTGTGTTATATTATACCTATTTAACGTGCTTTCAGTCTCAATCGAGACTTTTTATCACATTGATTCTATTTTTTTCACTATTTGTCTTTTTTTTTTACTTTTTACAATTTATTTATTTCATAACTTTTCATTTACACAACAGAGAGAGAAATGTTTTTAAGTGAGGTTAGAGCGAACTTAGATCGTCACTCGCCACTTGTATTCTGCCATTGGCTGCGTTCCGTTTCACGCATATGCGCTCATTTATCTATAGTACACGTGACATATAGTATAGATAAATGCAAAAAAACACTTAGTGTACGAAAAATTCAGTTTTATCGATAAAACAGACCCACTTTAGGATCCCCTTAAGTTGTTTTCAATTGTCCACCTCTCTTCAACTTGGACCAAAAGCTTTTTGATTATTTTTCTTTTAATTTTGAAAACATATTTATTTATAAAAGTTGATGACAATATTTTAAGTGACGAAATAAGAGTAAATATATGTTTCTGATGAAAAAATACAAGATTGGTAACAATAAAGAAGTTGATCAACAAAAGCCGGAAATATTTCACTATTTTAATCAGCAGCACATTGACATAAAGAATTTGAAAGTAGTGGAATTTTTTTGTCTTCCAGAAACAAATGCTTGCAAACAAATTGTTTTTTTAATCAAATATAAAATCCCGAAAAACACAATTATTTAAAAATAATGAATTGATTTTTTGGTTTTTATAAATCTTTATTTATTCTTTCTATTTTCTTTACTTATTTTTAAAAACAAAACACTCCAACTAGTTCTTAAAAAATAAATGTTAAGCGAAGTACTTTTGCAACCCACCTAGCATCAAGATAAGTTGAAACAGCAGAGAAGGTGAGTTGAAACAAGTAAAGTTTATGTCAAAATAAAATAATATATTATTTATTAGTAGAGTATGTATTAATTGATTTGTATTGTAACAAACATTGTTAAAAATACAATACTTAAGGCATATTCTTGAATGGCAACATAGTAGCAAATATTAATAATTATAAACTAGATAATTAAATCTTACTAGGTTAAATCAATCATTTAATTTTTTTTTAAACTTAACATTTTCTTGAGAAAAAATCAAACATTTAAACTAAACATTTATAAATTAGATAATTAAGCTTCATTTTGTCAAATTATCAATCATGAACTTAACATTTTGGCGTGTTTTTTCAATTAAAAATCAATTTAAAAAAATAACAATTGTAAAATAAAGTTTTTGAAATATCCAACGGGCGAATTTTAACTTTTATTTTCATCAAAGGCTTTTTTAGTTTTAATAAATTGATGTAGAGAAGAATAATTCAAATTGTATGACGACGCGGCATCTCTAAAGCTCTTTTGCCTTAAGTTAACTTCTTTCGCAGCAAGCTCATATATCTTTACGCTTGCTAAACCTCCATCAGTTTTACGAACATATTTATTTGGCATTCTATAATAATAATAAATAATTTCTATGTAAATTATATTACAAATTAAAGTATGATAAAAACCTAAAATCGAGGTGAGTTAAAACCAGATGTGTCAACCTACCTCGATCATATATAAACTTAATCTTTTAAAAATTTCTCACAAATATTCCCTACAAAATTAATAAATATGAAAAAAACTTTACATCAAAAACAAATTATTAAGCTACAAAAATATCAAAGCCAAACTAGGTAATATATAAACCAAAAAAAGACTGCATTTCAAAAAATATTACTTTAGGCTGATTTTACTGCACGAATATCATAGAAATGCAACCGCTTTATCGCACATCGTCGACGTCTACTGATAGTCGAATGTTATTTTATGTATATTAAAACTGCATTGTTGCCCAATCGTCAACTATTATAGTTTTCGAAATATTTTGTCATTTTTTCAACTTATCTATGTTTCATAGATTTTCCCTAACGTTTAAATAAATTGCAATGTATGATAGAATCAATTTAGAATGTTTCAAACTTTTGAGAGAAAGAGAGAGAGAAAAAAGAAATAAAATACGTTTATGATAAAATATATTATTTTTCATTGTTTAATTATTAAATAAAAATCTTGTGCGAGTTTGCATGTGAGTTGTTTATTAATTTTGATAAATATACATATATAAAAACTGTTGCAAAGAAAATATGCATTACTTGGCGATCCGAAAACGCTCGAATCATGCACAAAAGTATAACCTGGCGCACAACCTTAGAGAGAACCTATATACGCACTATATACAATAAATTAGTTATTTAAATATAATGAACTGTTTACAAAACGAACAAAGGCGACTTATTCGAGTATTAGTAAAATATAAATATATCTTTAAAAAAATGGTTGCCTTAAAAAGTAGTCTATAAAATTAACATTTATATATATTTTATGTAGTATAAATATGCGTATAAATAATCTACGATGTGTCATCATGGCAACATCATCGATCAAAAAAAATATTTACCACATCGATTGACAAAAGGATCGTTTAATTTTAATGAAATTTAAAATTCTCACGTGCGAAAGAAAATATATAATATGTTTGATCAATGATTGGATCGTGTTGTTTTTTCTTTTCAATAGTTCACAATCTGACGAATCCAGTCAAGGTAATACGAGACTCGAGCGTAGACTCCAGGCACACCTGCTTGTCCGCAGCCGATACCCCACGAGACCACTCCCGCTAATTGCCAATGGCCGTGCCGCTCGCACACCATCGGACCACCGCCGTCGCCCTTGCAGGCGTCCTTTCCTTCCTCGCCACCGGCGCAGATGAAGCCCGGATGCAAGTTGAAGCTGGGACCCAGTCGCGTTCTCCTCATCTGCTGCTCACACACGTGGTTGTCGACAACAGGTACGTCCACTTCCTTCAGTATGTTTTGATACTTGCCGTAGTCGCCGAAAGCGTCTTTGCCCCAGCCGGTGGCCCAGCATCTACCACAATATTAATAAGATTAATTAAATTGAATTTGAATAAAAATAAATCCGCATAATTTTTTTTTTTCTAATAAGAGGTCATTTAAAAAAAGACATTTTATAATAAAACAAACATCGTTAATAATGTTCTTCCGAACTATTGTATGTCTTGAAATTGTTTCTTTTGTGTGTGATTGATAATGATGTTTATAGTAATAATAATTTCCATTCTCGACTCGCTATTCCGTTTTATGATTTACAATAAACGTACCTCGTTCCAGTGAAATCGTCAAGTTTGTCCGGCAGACAGGCAGGACTGATGTGCGGATTCTTCACGAAATCCACGTCGTGATCCAGCTTGAGAATCGCGATGTCGTTAGCGAGAGTGCCGGCATAGAATTCGGGATGCACGTACACGCTGACGATGTCACGCTCGATGTAAGGATAGAACTCGACGTCATGATTCACGTCCCATTCGCCAAGTCGCGCACGTAAATCGCGGCCCGCGTGAGCCTTCACGCAGTGAGCGGCAGTGAGAATGTGACGTGGTGAGATCAAAGTACCGCCGCAAACGTAAACGCTCTCTGTGGGATCTTTTTTCAGAATAGCCACTTGCCACGGATATTCACCTGAGGCAAAATGTAATATTGTAAAAATAATATTGAATTTTTTTCAAACTCTGTCTAAAATGTAGCGTAATAATTTTTAGTAATTCAAAAAATCAAATGTCTAGCTCAACCGCTGACATTCCGCAAACTAGAATCCGTTTATTCAGCAAACGTGATGCGAAATTGCGTACCGAATTCGGAATCTCCGTCGACGTAGACGGGTGTCTTGATGCGGCCATTGATGCCCTGCGTGTTCCTGACTCCGCATTGACTTGGTCTCGGCTGCGCTCCTATTATATGCGATCTCTGGCAGCAGACGTGACGCGCACCACAAGCTGGCGGACGTCCGTAGCGTCTCTGCGAACAGAAACAAGCCGATTAATCGATCGCACAACGAGTCTGAAAAACGACTCTCGCGAACACATATATGTACAAAAAAGATTTCTACTTATCGTTCTCGACCGTTATCTGTACTAAATTTGGCGTTGCCACTCAGTCTCGCGTTCGTAAATTTCCGGTGTCGTTATTACCGCGTGGTCGTTCTCTGTCGTTTTCGTTCACAGCCTGTATATAGTCACTTACAACAACTCTTTATGTGACCTGTCACAACGGATTAAGTCTGTTCAGCGGAGCGGAACAGACCAACCGAGTGTTTCCTTACCTCCGATATCGTCTCGTTAAATGTCGTCGCGTCGCGCTTTCTTCGATCCGAGAAAGTAATTTTTCCGCCTGTCTGTCGTTCGCCGCCGACAGCCGATTCACGTGCGGTATTCTTCGTCGCGATCTCACCGCTTTTTGTTGTCTTCGCCGTTTTTGCGTTCCTATAGTAATCATCCGTGTAATCATCCGAGTAATCATAATCATCGTCATCATCATCTTTGAAGTGGGATGGATAGTAAGCGTTGTGATAATGAGGCTTATGATAGATCGGATACTGATTATGAACACCGTGCGACGGATAAAACGACGGTCTCGACGGATAGACGATCGGTTTCTCGTGATACGTGTTGTGCGTGTGATAATGAGGCGCGTAAACGCCGTATCCGCCGTACCCTCCCCCGTAATGCCCCCCAAACAGATTCTGCTTCTTGTAGGCCAGCAGATGACCTAGCTTGTGAACAAGCGCTGGATTTGGCGTTACGTGAAGATTTACGAAAGGCTTAACAACCTTCTCACCGTACTCGTCTTTGGTAACCTGCACCGCTACGAGCGGATTCACAGAAACCGGACCTAGATTTATGCCCTGTCCGCCGACTAGCCCGTAGCCCGGCGTGTACCCCGGGACTCCTAGGGGATTACCAGGATGGGGCGCGATCGGGCCGATACCACCGGTCTGCGGTAGGCCGAAACTGACGCCCCAAGTCGGCTTCACGTTCAGTTTCGAGGTGTCCACATCGCTTCCTACCGTCAGTCTCTGCAACGAGAGAGTCGAACAAATTCACGTGGAACTCTGAGATCTCTGTTTTCCTCTTTCTATATCTCTCTCTTTCTTTCTCTCTCTCTCTCTCTCTCTCTCTCGTTTTTAGTGTTAGAGCGTCGATTATAGTTGAGACTTTCTCGTCGCTTTTATCGCTCGCGTGCTTTGCTAAAAGCGTTTGTTCGGCCCAGATCGTACAAAGTTTTCGGTGTCCTCCGTCACGGCAGTTTCTAATCTATCAGTTTCTAACACGAACGTTTAATTGCACGATTGTGTCCGGAAAACGCTGACCGGTTTTAACTTGAGCTTTGTCAAACTGAGCTATTTGTTAGAATAATAATGTTAGAAGCAAACATTTGTATATTCTACATCCGACGATACTTAATCGACATACAAGTTGAACTTTAGATGTGGAAGACAAATTTTTATCGATCTTTGATTGAAAAACCAAAAACAAAACGTAAATGCTTTAATATCATCATAAACGTCACAATGTGACGGAAGAACTTCAATGACTTTTACATTGCTTTGAACATTGATCGCCACATCGTCCGTTCGAAAAGCCGCAAGAAAAGCGAGAGAGACAGTCCAAATCAACTTACTTCTTGTATCTCCGGCTTGTCGCTCTTCCCGGTAATGTGTTTGACGTCCCTGCGGTTCCGCTTCGTAACTTCCGAAGCTTGTCTCGTCTCCTCGTCGTTTTTCGCCTCTTCGTTCTGCTCGGTCGCGTTTACTCCCTTGGGCACCCTTACAACGCTCATAGTGCCGTTGCCGTCAGTAACCACCACGGTCTCGGCTTCGATGCCCTTGTCGAGATTGCGCGGATCGATCGCCAGGTAGAGATCGTCCTTGCGACCGACGTGGTTGATCGTGGCGCACTGGTCATAAGGCACGCACACGCAATCGTTGTTAGACGTCAAACTGCTGTCCGCATTGTAATCGTTGTCAGAATATTGATTATTCAGCTGTCCAAATTGTCCGGCGGAGCTGAACTGTTTGCCATTCGGCCTTTCGTAAGCGGGATAACGATTGGCGTAGTCCTTTGTAGACGAGGAGGTAAAACTCGGGCCGCTGTTGGATGTGGGTGTTTTGATCTTGAACGCCTTCTTGTATTCCTCAAAGTCGTTGTACGTGGCGCCGTAAGTACCGCCATTACCGTAACCGTAATTACCGAGCCCGTTGCCACCGAGTGAATTTGACGGAATTACGACAGGGGGGTTGTTCGCGACGCCGTCATCCCCATGATGGTAGTGATGATGAACGTGCTGCTGAACGGCCGAGGAACCCGTTTGATGCAGCACCACTTGCTTCTTGTCGATAAACTTGTCTTCGAAATCAGGCTCGATGTCAATGCCCGGCTCGTATATGGGTTTGTTTACAAAGGAGGAAGGGAGACCAGGTTTCTTGTAAATGGGATAAGGTCCGGAAACGAAGCTGGGCGGTGGTTTACCAAATATTGGTCCGGGTCCGGGATAAACGTTGGGTCCCAGTGGTGATCCGAAGCTGGGAGGCAGCGGCACGGGTTTTGCTGGACCATAAGGTCGTTTTACCGGTACAGCCGGAAGCGGACGACCTACCGGCTTGATGGTCACCGGCTGAGCATAGATGACGTCATGCGGGTGGATATCCCGATGCGAAGAATAAAAAGGTCGTCGTTGTTCCGCATCGTCGCACTATAAAAACAAAAACGATTTAACAAATCTCTTGAGTATTAAAGTAATTGATTGAAGCAAATGAAATGAACGATTGAATTTGTAAGTTCAGTTTTCGATTAAGAACTTTATACAAGTGCATTTTGCAATTTTAACGATTTGCCAATCATATTTTTCGAACATTTAAGATTTCAGAACGCAATTGTTTTATAAATAGGGAAATAAATTAAATATATAATGTTAATTAATTTTACTTATCAAGTGGCAACACTCACGGTCATCAAATTGAGAGAACAGAGTTTGTCTTTGATGAATGAGCGAGCGATGGTATCGTTGCCAAGCTGAAGAGCGGTTTTTATGTCAGGATCAGAATAGATCTCGTCGTAACCGTCGAGATTGCGACCCTGTCGATTAGACACGAGGATGTTGTCGATTACAGATTCAATCTGCAATTGAACACAGTGTATTTTATGTATATTTTATAACATAGTATAAAATTTAATTCCACTTGTCACGCTTAATATTTAATGCTGAAAACATTTTACATAATGATCTTTACCGATTGCTGTTTAAGAACGTCTGCGACTCCGCTGGTGCCTGATTGAATATTCGCGTTGTACACGGGCGATTGTTGGGATTCCTGTGTGTGTGTGTCAGAATTGTCGAACGTAACAGGACGATATTTCTCTCGCACTCCACTCGACGCCTGTATCGAGTCCTGGTTCCAAGACGGTTGCCATTGTTGCTGCGAAGAGTCACTCGGCGTCTCGTGTACTTGAGTACCAAGTGCTTGTCTTGCTATCGCCAAGCAAGTTATCAAGATGAATTGCGTCCTCATCCTTTAACAAAAAAAAAGCCTAGTTTTAGTGCTACTTAATTTTATAAAGTCACTTATTTAATCTTATAAGTGCGCACTGTCTATATAAATATGTTTCTCTTTATCTCTCTGTTATTTTAACCCAATTGAACGTAATTATTTTCTTTCTCTGTATTTCTGTCACAGTTTAATTCTATTATATTAATGTAATTATTGATTCAAGTCAACCGGCAATTTTCTCTCTCTCTCTCTCTCTCTTTCTTTGTCAATTATCCTAAAGATCTCTCGACAAATTTCTCCCCGAGTAAAACCGACCGCACACCATCCACGTGAAAGTGCATCTCACCTTTCTCCGTTCTGTTTCGTTGTTATTCACAAACATTGGCACAAGTATAGTGCTCTTGCATCAATCGAATCATCACGACTATCTTTGCATTGCGTTTTAATTTAATTTAACTATAACTCCAAAGCCCGACTTTAATAATATTTTTGGCGCTTCGAAATTGAGAAGCAATTCGGTAATGTCGAAATAATATATTTATTTATACGTGCGTACGATTTATGATAAAATCAGATAACGGTATCAAACTAGTTCGAGCTCTCCTGCACGAAGAAGAACGCATTAGGCGTGTAATTAAGCGACGAGGGCCAACGAAAGCGAGAGGAAGTTGGTGAAAGTCGTTTAGCCGCTTTGTACTATAGCATCGTTTCTTGAAGGCATCGAGCCACACATCTCTCGGATGAATCATTACACTTTTCGAAATTATTTAGTCGAGACTCGAGAAAGCAATTGCGTAACGGATGCGGCGTGACGTCCGAACGGAATGATTTAAATTTCAAATCGACTATTTTTATTTTACACGATCGCTAATGTTTTCAATAAGCGGATACGACTCTCTTCGAAGAAAAGTTTCGCTATATTTGACAACAAAGTTACGCGTAACGTGTCATAATTCGTCGCTTGTTTTTTCACCACCCACAACAGTGAAAGTGGTTACGTACGCAATGTATACGCGGATATACTTCTAATTTTTTGCTTTCCACTTGCCTTGACATCTCCCGTCGAAGAGCAAATTCGTGTATCGGTTCTCTCCGCGACAGCTGCGTAACGAGAAGTTTTCTTTACGATGACTCCGTCGCGAATAACGCGAGACCGGCTTTATATTCTCGTTAATTATCCCTCGAATGACTCGCTTTTCGCAGTAAATCAATCATCTCCGGAGTAGGCCGACTACACGAAAACAATTACTGCCGTTCTAATTTTTTCATCTCATTATGTTTTACAGCTGTTAGAAATCTTTACGAATGTCTTTATTAGTTGAGTTAAATCACTAACTTCGCCACACTTTGTGTTAGCACTTGTTGCAACGTAATTGTTTTAGATGTAAAATTGTTGCTTTAAAAAAAACATAAAAACCATGTTTAAATAATATATAAGCGATTTAAACAGCATTAAGTCATTCTTTCTTTTCTTCATTTTCTTACTTCATTGGATCAAGCAAAACGGATAAGTGTGATTATATCTATTTATGTTAAATATTTCCACTGGAATTGTATGATAATTTGCGTGTAGCACAAAATAGAGTGGATCGCGGATATGCCTGGACAAATCTGAGAATCTGAATAAGGACAAAGCGGAGGCAGTGTTTTTAAAGAAGAGAAAGTTTTTTTATATTCCACAAATAGAGCATCGCGTGGGCGAGATCTTTTCACTTCTAATTCTCGACAAAGAACACGCATATTTTATACTTTGAAGTGCAGATGTACTACGCGTAATATAAGAAATACATATCGGAAAAATCGTTGAGCTCAATAGAACTTTCTAAAGATACGTGCAAATTTATATTGCCAGCTGATCAAAAATAACATTATAATAAAATGTTGTTTTTTATCTACAAAACAGTAGCACTTTTATTGTCTCCGACTTTAGACGATCGAGAGTATTTTACGATCAGACGTTAGATCCATTGTGAAAAAAATCAATCACGTTACTGCTTTCTTCAAATATTAAAACATTTTAATTATTTATAGATGTATTAGATCATATACAATACTTGCAAGGATATTTTCGTAGAATATTTTTGAACTTTTCTTTACATTGTACGAATTATCTCTGCGGCGCGGCGAAGAGATAATTTTGTGATCGTAATATTTGTAAAATTTAAAGATGTATGTTGAAAAATACACACCTGACTGATGGCGTCGTAGGATATGGACGTCGCGAAGTAAAACTGATTTTCTCGCGACTACGTCTTGCGTGTATCTGGACTCTCGCTCTCTAACCGAACACTTTCTCCCTGAGTAACGCCGCTTGTCTGTGCTTTTACCGAAGTCGGTCTTCTTATATACACCTCTTTCGGGGATGATGGGCCTCAGCCGTGTGAACTATCGGTGGGGTACACATTCGTGAGTCATTCGATCCAACATCCGTCTTCTTGAAGCTTCACATTAAAAAAACAATGTCAAATAGCGCAACCCGAACAAAATAAAACACAGAAGCGTCGGAGAAGTCACCAGAGGTTTATTGCATCTCGCACGAAGGTTTTTTCGATTTTTATTACGGCTATATTCTTTTTTCCGATCCGTACAAAACAGTAAACACGATATACGAGAGAGTGAAATGTCTTGCTTCAAGTTGCATATTACATAGTCCACTTTTTTCGTAGTGCTTGATGGCTTGTGGAAAATTTATTTTATTGGAAAATTATATAGATGTATGTATACACACACACACACATGATATATATGTATGTATATACACAACAACATTAATGTAGTATGTATAAAATAGTCTCTGATATATAGTTGAAGAGATGGAATTTATAACGACCTTTAGAAGAAATTGATAGAAACTATTAATATTAAGGAGATCCTAAAGTGGGCCTGTTTGATCAATAAACCTGAATTTTTTGCGCACACTAATCTAGTTTTTGGCTGTATGGATTGATAAATTCTTTTCTACAATTAAAGTACATACAATAAGGGATTCAGAAGTCTAAATGTATACATATAACAAAATGAAGAAAAGCAAAATTTTTAAAACAGTTTGTTTATTTTGTTATATAAATTCCGACTTTCCGGATCCTTCATTGTACGTACTTTAATTGTAGAAAAGAATGTAACAATGTCCGTACAACCAAAACAAAGATTAGTGCGCACAAAAAAGTTTTATCGATAAAACAGATCCACTTTAGAATCTTAAGCAATTCACGCGCTTATTAAACTAAAAGTGTTATGAATTGTTAATATGGCGACGATCTGATCAATCTATTTATATGGACTATAATTATTTGTTTAATTGCAGTGTTATTGATTGCGCTGATTAATTGTATAGGAAACTATTTAATATTTATTATATTATTAAAATGGGGAAAGAGATAGTTTTACAAATTATTCCACATCCTGTATACAAGCTGTATTTTATTATAATTAAAAATGCAATTATAGAAACAACAGTGTTTTAATATTTTTTATGCAAAGTAGCTTAAGTTGTTTCTTTTCTTTATTTTTTATTTTTTTTTTATTTTGTTTTTTTTATTTTTAGATGAAATGTTCTCATTGGCCAAGTTGACTCGCATGGTCCTTCGTAAAAATTGGTTTGCCACACAATTTCTGGAGAACATGGGTCGCGTGTTTTCCCTCGAATCAGGAATTACGTAAAAGCCAAACACAGCACGTAGTTGAGCACAGTGTTAAATGCATGGTCTATTCAAGAGCTAATGAATAAAATCGTGTTACGTCATGGGGTTTTTCGAACCATTGGAATTATGTAAAAATTGCTACCTATTCAGGTCAATCTCTCGTCGAGGACACCTCGCGGATAATTTAAATGTCTTTAGGATTTGATTAGAGGAAACTTCGATGCTATAATATAACATTTTATTATCATTTTCTGATGCTAATGTCGCTAATGACGTATGTACATTATTGTAAAGACAATTTATATCTCATAAATCCGAGATTGTTAGTTTGGATTGTTTTTACGACAAATCGCACACACGTAGTTACATTATAACATTGATTTGCCAGATTCAATCTAAAATTGTGGTTTCTTTAATTTTCTTTTGTAATCTCTCGCCTTACTTCATCAAAAAATAAACAGTCACGAAAGCGTCACCTCTACGAAAAAATGAACCGGTTCTCAAACTACTTTCTTCCTTAGGTCGTAAAGTGCATCGACCTTGACTTCTTCATGCGTGGATCATGGCGTTTGATATGGAATAGTAATTTTCATTCTCAGCAGGTAGAAAGTCGAGAAGAACTTAATTCGAGAGACGCTTCTATCTCGCTGGGAAAAACCGACTATCATGAGCACGTGCATCCATCAGAACGCGATTGCACAACACGTTGTATAAACATAAACCAGACTAGATATTTATTGTCAAAGGAAGTCAAGCGACGCGTCTTCGTCGAAATTATCTACGCCCTGTGGTGAGTCGTTAGACTCTCAGAATCCGGGAGAAAGCGCCCGCGTACATTTCAAGGGTCGTGTCGTCGATTTTCGTGTCAGTGAACTTTACCGCTTTTCGAATCTCACGGGAATTTTTTTTTGTCCAATCGAATCTCGCCAATAGTTCCCGCGCTGCGTGGAAGTTTACGCGATTTCTTTATGATTTTGAGCGAAGAGAATAACGTGAGAATTTTCAGTTTCGTCTCTCTCGGTTTTCCGCACTCCCGGCAAAAATTTACTCAGAGTCAGAGCAAGCAAGATCTAAGGCCCTTAAAGGAAACTTCTTCTTTCTTGTCACGTATCGGTGATCACAAAACGCCGCACCCGCTGTCGATTTCCTTTCACGTGCGCGCCTTCCACGCACCTCGCTTCATTGCGTAACAGGGATTTTCCGCGATCTCTCTTGTAACACTGGGAATTTTGCGTCGCGGATCACGCCGCGTTAACCCGCGCGTGAATTGTCTTGACCCAATTTGAACATCCTTATATGTTTTCTTCGACACGGACTGAATGGAAATAGACACTACGACGCAAAGAATAACGTCGCAAACAGCGCGATAACGGCGGATGGAGAGAGAGAGAGCATTAATAATTCTATCTCAAATAAGTAAAATACTGTACGTGTGTGTGTGTAATGTAAACACATGTTTGTTAAAAAAATATATAAAAATTCCAACAAGAGATCTTTTCTTCCGGAAGAATTACGTGATGATTACATGCGCTTCGTTCGCGGATGTTAAAGAAACATGAACGGTTGAGGAGAGGAAATGGATATTTAAATAAACAAACAAAGCGACTTTCATCAAGTTCTTTTTTTTTTTGCGTGAATGAGATTACACGATAGGCGATGATTATCGATGAAGAGAGATAAGCTGCGAGCTGCTACACAAACTTCCACACGGGCTTCACTGGGGTCGTCGGCTACCGGTACGATGATTTTTGCGGTCAGTAGGTAATATGGTACCCATGTTGTTCGATCGAGTAACTCGACGGGATCTCTGCGATCGGCGCGGAATAAGCATAGGCGTATGGCGATACCTAATAAAACATTAATTTAACATAAGAAACAAAAGAATCGTACGTTAATCAATTGAAACTGCGATCTTGCAATAAATTTTCAAATATAAAAAAAGAAACGAAGGAAAGATCACTTTGAACAGTAATTGCAAACTTAGAAAAAACACCTTTAAAATGACTTTTGTTAAAACTATCTGCGAAGAAAATAACTTAGGTCAGTAAATTTTTTTCAGTATTCTGGAAAAAACTGTAGAAGAAAAAAATAAAAAAAAAACTGCTACAATTGAATCTCGGATATTTAATGAAAGTGCGAGAAAATTGACCGCTTCGGATTTCTTAAACTTAAATACCTACGTGTGATAAAACCGGTGTAGCGTATGCGATACGGGAAACCGGTGCGATTACCGGTGTGGCGATCGGCGCGACAAGTGGTGCGAGCTTGGTGGTCGACGCCGGGGTCTTCAATTCCGAGACGAGAGTAAGTGGTTTAGGAGCGGGCGCCGGTTTCGGTGCCGGTGCCGGCGCGGACCACGCCAGACCGACGAAAACGCCGAGGAGAATCTGCAAATAATCATTGACTCGTAAGAGAGAGAAAGAGAGAAAGAGAGGGAGAAAGTTCACTTTTATTTAAATTGGAAAACTTTGGCGAGAAGCGCGCGTACATGTACACACACTCACACAAATACACATCTCGGGGAATATAAGTAACCATTGAACCGTGCGAAAAGCAAATGAGTTTACGTGACGCAACTATTGCCCGGAAAAACAATCCTCATGCATAACAGCTACGGATGAACAAAATATATTTTCGGTGCACGCAAATTTGTTCAGAAAACTAATGATAAATATAAATTGACATATGTGTAATATTATATTGTAAATTATTTACGCGTTGTAAATTATTTATCAAAATTAATCAGGAAGTTTTTTTTTATCGCGCACCTTTCCGACGAAAATTTACTTACAAATCGTAGCATGACGTCTTCGGTCAAGGATTCTGCGCGGATGCACACGGGAACGATGCTCTGTCAGTGCGCGCGCCAGCTCGGTCTCCTCGTACTTATAGAGGTCTCGGGAGATACCGTAAAAAGTAGACTCGTCCGGTACTACAAAAGTTCCTAACTGCCGTACCGCCGCATTCCTCGTTGGTTTCAGGGACGAGCAAGATTGCGATTGCAATACGGCGCTTCGTCGTTGACTCTGGGATGCGCGCCGATTGTTTGCAATATATGCTTCGCGCGCTTCTAGTCCAACTAACTTGTAACTGTTGTTTACAACGCGACATTATACACAAGATCACAAAACACCTGATTTAACGATCAGAATTAATTAACGTTTAACTTGAGTTTAGGGATTAAGTTATCTGGTTATAGAATATAATATAGAGACAATAGAAAATAGATTATCTCGTATATATTTTTCCGACTAAAGTTTACTTCGACGACGACGTAAAGTAATAGCGGTACCGCATTATCATTTCTTCGGCATTACGCGCCAGATATATATATATATATATATATATAAATCTGTGAAACGTGCGCGGCAAATACACGGCACATCGATAAGAATAATGTCTGGTACTGAGAAAACGTTTCTTCCATTACCTCCCGTTTCCATTTCTTCTTATTTCGTGAAACAATCCCTTCGAGTTCGCATTTTTCAATTATCGATCCACGTCCCTCGGACGCAGCACGTAGTGTACCGTCCCCGCTGTAATTCTCTCGTTTGGTATTTTCTCCGGGCACGAATGTACGTATATATATATACATGTGCAACATTCGTGTACACGTACATATATCCGCGGTTGTAGGATGAGCGTGATTTAAGAAAGGGAGACACGAGAAAGTTCGATAGGCCAGCGCGCGTTCGCGACTACGCGCCGTGGATACCCACACGCGCGCGCGCGCGCGATCCGACGAGGCTCACAACAACACAAGCTCCGCGGACCAGAGAGATACCGAGGTCATTAGCAATACCCGTCGGTTCGTTCACCCGAGACCTTGAAAGGTTCAAGCGCTGTACACGCACCTTCGTTGCACTTCGGGCAATTTATATCGAAGTTGTACAAATCGATATGTCGAGGCGCATCGGATCGTGACAATGCGCTGACAGGATTGCAGGATACGCATCTGCGTATAAATCGGACGCGAACGATTCCGATATATCCGAAGGAATATTAGCATGACAAAGACGTAGTCGCGCACATGCGGATTCTGAGCTTTTTGCACGAGATATGACTCGTAAAGTTTATTTCTTCAAATATCAAATACAGATATAGGAATGTACGAGACTTTATTAAAGGATTTACATTGAATTCTTTGATCTCTTTTGTGTGAAATGTCGATGAAAGCGCGGCTGACCGGCCTCTTTCCCAGGTCAAGACTGCCGGTTCCGTTCCGCCTTTTTGTACAACGTGGATCATCGCGCAAATCTCCTGAACTTGCGACAGTTTCCAAAGTGATCTACGAAGACGCAACGTTATCGTGTGATGATTGTCGAAACCGTGATCGATAACAATTGTCGGTTGAGTGACAGCGATTTTCCAATTGCGAAAGCCGAAGGTCAAATAACGTATAGCCTTTTCTCTCTAAAGAGCACGCAAAGATTTTCAAACTTACTAATCTTATTAATTTCCATGTGACTTTTTTAAATAAAAAAAATAGATTGAAAACAATTGTTTCTTTTTTAGAATTATTCTAAAAGCGGCACTACGATTTTGTTCCGAAACAGAGTTCTATAAATTCATAGCTGCTCTTTAGAAAGTCACCGAGTAAAAAACTTTGGCTCGGCCATCACGCGATATGTTGAATACTGTGTCCGTAACTGGACACGGTCTTCTCGGCGACCAGCTGATGTGGATACGCCGAGTAATAGACCGGCGACGCGTACGTTATTTCGCGAGCGGCGATCGCGGGTATCGCGACATGCGACTCGACGGCCGCCAGCGGTTGCGCGTTGTGGACGATGTGGTGTCCGTGTGCCTCGATCGTCTTTTCGGCAACCAGGGCGGCTTTGGCTACTACCGCCGGCTGCGGCTGTAACACCGCTACGTCCGCGTACTTGAGCAACGCGGGCGCCGTAGCCACTAAGGGCGCGGACGCGTGCACCACGTTGTTGCCATGAGACTCGACGACCCTTTCGGATACGAGCTTGCCGACGACGGGCGTGAGAATGGTTCCACATTGCACCGAGACGATGCTCGCCAGGACGGTAATAACCACCTGAAAAAAGAGATAAACAAATTCGTCGCCGATATTCTTTTCGTCGATATTGAACCTACGGGTGTTTTCGAAGAACTATAGAAACGCACCGCGGGAGCGTCAATATTTTCAAACTGTCTTTTAAGATCGCGGTGAATTTTTTGTCATCAAAATGTGCTCGGAATAACGTTTGGCGACACAATTAACGTTTTTAATCGTAATATCTCTAATTGAAAAAATTTATCAGAAGAATGATTTAAAGAGATTACGTACGCGTTTGTATTATTTTTATCTTGATCGTAAAAGGGCGCGGTATTGTATTAAAAATAAGATAAAGAAACATTTGATCTTACCAGACTAAACATGACGATGAGTTTTCGTTACTTTTGGATCAGAACCTGGGACTGATCTGCACATAAGCGCGATTCCACACGTGCTTATATAGGAGAGCACTTCCGTTATCTTTGTGAGAGAAAACCTTCAAGGTCCGCGCAATAAGAACTCAACACACTGCCTGTCTATAGTTTCACGGATACGTCGACGAATATTCAATGCGCCGAAGGCGCATCTACTTTCTTGCATGAATATATGCACGTGTGTAAAATATGATCCTGAAAACGTACGTACTTCTTATTCGCGTGTAAAATATTAAGGGTTCTCGAGGGTTGAGAGGGAGAGATATTCTCTTGAATTCTCTGATAAAATATTTGCGGTAAGAAAATAATATTTTTTCAAATACATTTTTGTGCTTTTTCTGTTTTGTGCTTTTTCAAAAATAAGAACAAAAAAAACATATACCTGCAAAAATAAACGCGCGTAAATATAGAAGAATTATTACACGTACATACTTTTTTACTATTATTATATAACTATATGTGTCTTTTTTCTCTCTCTCTCTCTCTCTCTCTTCCTTTCTCTAAATTAGAACGTAAAATTGAAATTTTGAAACAAACTAAAAACACAATACGAAAAAGGAGACGAGAACAAAGAATATAAGATATAAACAAAAGATATAGATTGCGTTCTGTTGGTTCCCAAAAGCGTTAAGCTTTTTGTCATTTTACTGTGAGTTTGTGGGGCGCACTTGACGATCAAACAAAGGGCCTCCAACGATCTCGAGTCTTTACTTTTGCTCTTCACCTACCAGTAACAATAAGCACTTGCGCCATAGAAACACCGGAGTGGATACTCCTCCGGGGAAACGTACAAAAAGCGCTCGAGCGTAAAATTGCGGCCGAAAACGCGCTTAATCTTAACGATCTCATTTATCCGTTTCTCGCTGGGTGTTGAGAATACCAAAAGCGAATCGAACAAAAAAAACGATGTCGCGATATGTGTGAAAATGAGAATAACATCGCATCCTAGAAATAGCTCGAGTTTTAAATTATTTTATAATTTAGTTACTTCTCTAACAAGAAAAAATAATTAAACAAAATAATATCTATTGATTCTTCTATTAGAATGTAACAAAAGAGAGAGGATGCGTCAATGTTACAGAATAAAACTCTGCAATATAATACAAGATTGACACATTTTCGATATATATAACGTATGCGGCAGCATACATGTTACATAGTTGCGTCCACAACTCTTCTCTTACGAGAAAACCATAGCTACGATATTGAATAATTCGGTAGAATCTTTCCTCTTTTTCTCGCGGAGACCTTTTTGAAGCTCCTCCTCCCCCTCCCCCCGTAAAGAATTTAACAAGTTAGGTTCGTGAAAAGTGCATAGACAGTTTTGTATATGTGTGCGTATGTGTGTGTGTGTGTGTTACCTGCAAATATATTCAATACGTGACCCGACAACGCGCGGCGAAGTTTCTCTGTCGAGACAGAAGGGCGCTAAAGCCGAAACTCAAACAAACGTTGATCGCCAAGTCGGTAAACACTTTTCATCGAGTCGTTCCAAATCCTGTTTTGAGAAAAGCCTCACGTAAACGGATAGGTAGATAGCTAGGTATAGGTGGACGTACTACATTCGGGGGGAGGGGAAGGGTGGCACGCGCGTGCGTTGTGTGTGTCCAAATAAAAAAGAAAAAAAAATTGTAAGAACTAGATCACCTTGTGATCACACGGCGCTTCGTGTTTGCGGATCGTTCGTGTGAGGAAAAAGTTCGAATTTTCTCGAACTTAAACGAAGAAAAACGCGAGTGAGAAATAACCCGTGATCCTCGATAATCTAACCTAACTTGACCTGACCCAGGTAGGAAGGTAGAAAGGATGCGAACTTCTGCTTTCAATGAGGTGAAAATACAATAAACTGGTCGTTAAGATAGAGCGCGATAACTCTCTTTCGAAAAGAAGGAGATGGTATCGTTTTATTTCTATATATCTCTAAAGAAAGGTCTCTCTCTTCAAAGTTACATAAAAAATACACACATAAATAAACTGGAGAAGTGGACAAGAGAAATGAAGAAACAAACAGGATTAAAGCAAAAATGGCAATTTTATTGTTTAAAATTAATCGCAGCGATCGATCGTTCGATCGTACGGACTGGCTGATACAATTTCGGTGAGGGTCTTCAACGAATAGTTGCCTGGTGATGGTTGATGATCGTTCGATCGACTGGCCGATCGTTCCGATAAGTCGTCGTCGTCATGCGGAAAACGCTCTTCTTCGGCACGTCGGTCACGAAATGAAAACGATGGCTAGATGTATTTCTTAATGGAGTGCGACGATAGGGGCGTGTGCGGCGTAGGCGAGTGGTGCGGCATGGGCGACTACGGTGGCCGGAGCGGCGGCGACGACCGGTGCGGCGGCGACAACCGGCGCGGTCTTGACGATCGGTGCGGCGTAGGCGACGGGGGCAGCGGCGACCAGCGGGCTCTTCACAGACACTTTGTAGGTGTTAGCGTAGCTGGTGGCGACCGGCAACGTGTGGGCGACTGCGACCGCGGGCGCTGCCGCGACAACCGGCGCCGCGTGGAGAGCAGCTGGTGCCGCGAGAAGACCCGGTGCAGGCGCGGCGGCGACACAGGCCAACAAGGCGAAGAGAGCGACGAGTTTGTACATGGTTGGTGTGGTGAGTGAATGCGCTTCTTGCTTCTACTGACTGAGCTGAAGAGCGAATGATGTCCGAACGGTGGACTAGGACCCTCTTATATTCGTCGGGACTGACCTCTCCCACCTCGAAACTCGGAATATTGCGGAGCACCCGGTCCCGAGCGGTTCCTGTTGCCTTACCGCGTCTCGTTGTCGTTTTTCGATGCTCGTTTTTTGTTGCGCCAGGCAAAGGACAGGAGGAACACTGCCAAGGACTTGGCCAGCCGGACCCTTCACTACGTGTTGTATAGATACCCTCGTATGACGCACAGCCTCGATCGGAAACCGAGATGTCGATCATCGTTTTGTTGCTTCGGGAAGGACGAAGAAGCGGGAAAGGGTGATCGTGATTGTTGATGACCTTTAATATCCGAATATTCTTTTCTGTGCGCAAGCGCGTACACACAACACGCTCGAACCGAGGTTTAACAATAACTTCGATTATCGATCATCAAGTATCGTCGATCGTATGGGCGTGTCGTTACTAATTGTACATAATTACAAACGATTTATTACGTGCGCACGTTATGTTCGCAGTCTCCGGTAAATTTGGTCTCTCTGAAATTCTGTACTTGAAATCACGAACCCGAATTTGCCGCGGGCGAGGACGCAAAGCCGGCCTGTCACTTCCCGTGATTAATTTTCGACATATGCCGAGGTGTGACATTGATAGCCACTTGATTGACGATAGTAGGAAACGTGGAGGAAATTTTGTTATTGAAATGTCTGTTTCGCGCGCGCGTGTTTCCAGAACGTGTGCACGCAAGCGTGTGTAAGCGCTTAACAATAATTTGGACAATTAAAATACGTGTCAGACGTTAGACCGGCGGAACCTCGGTTAAAATGGTTAACTCGTTCGCGCAAAGGACAATTTCAGGTTGTTTGCCCTGACTTTGGTCGTTTAGGCGGTAACGCTTCTCTTCCTCTTTGTGCTTTACCCCATTTTAATGCTTATGAATTGCAACGATTTACGAGCCGGGTCGCCTTGCTTTCTCGGAGGTCTCTCCGGATGGTCGAGCGGGCTTTTTTATTCCATAAAAAAAAACAACAACAACAAGCGCGTACGTTGTTTTAATGAGCATGTGTGCGCAATAATAATTTTTTTCTTGTGCGGTGTGTGCGGTACTTTTGCTCATCCAAAAAGGTTCGAAAAATTTCCCGCGTATGCGAAATTGCTCGGCGATATTCGTGCGTACGGGATTAAATGTTTTTTTTGTTTTTTTTTTTATTAAAGTTTTTTCTTTTAATTAAGCAAAAATAAAGGAAACTCATTTTTATTTTTTATAATGTAATTTGTTCATTTTTTCAATTTCTTTCTGTGAGAATTATTTTGAATTTTTTTTATATTAAAATGCAATTAATTTGATACTCGTCTATATTTTTATCTATATTTCTCTTTTTATTTTACACACACACTCTCTCTCTCTCTCTCTCTTTTTCTCATAAGTTTTGTATACAATATCTTTCTCCAAAATAAGTGATTAAATTAATGATTAAATGCAGATCGGGGCTGCCTGTTACGCTTACATATATTACGATACATTCGTAACCAGTAAAACGGATGAAGAACCAGACTCGGGGCGCGAGTGATGGGGAGGGAGAGACAGATCGTGAGGAAGCATTGTGACACGAGTCGCGAAAGTAGATGCTCGACTTACACAATCTCGCGTGACGTACCTTGCATACAACGCGTGTAATGTAAACGAGCGAGACGTATGTACATGTTGTTTGCATGTGTGTCCTTTTCTCTGTCATGCGTTACGCAGACTGACTCGTCGCTTTTGCGCAATCACGCATCGACACTGACAATGCGTGACAGCTCTCGCGCACCGACGAAAATCGTAACGACGCACTTCTTGCAGCGGTTGTGACAGTCGGCTATAGACGTATATGTACGACAGGGACTATCGACCGTTTCTACACGCAATCCAACCTGTGTGCGTGTATGTGTGCGTCGCATGAAATATTATAGTGTTTATGCAAGGTGCATGCACGCAGTGTAGTTCTGCCGCTACACACATCTCTCATCAGTTGACAAATATCGCGACCAATGTCGCTCCGGATACGTTTAAAATTTTACATTCCCGTCTCATAACGCAATATGTTTGATCAAAATAATTTATAATGCACGAGCTCTTATAACAGATTTATGTGTAGAATTCACATGTATATTTAATAATTCATTATTAAATTAACAAACTCATTACTTTGTCTATTCCGCAAATTCGTACGTGGAATTAACTATTGTGTGTAAATTATTTACACATGGTGGATCATTGCTATCAGTCATTAATTCTACACGGTAGGGACTGCATCCCCGGAGAAATTGGCATCGCACAAACCGCGATATTGTTAAAAGGAATAACATATCAATATAATACTATATTTAATTACTATAATCGAGAATTGTATGCGACACACGATTGTCCGACCTGTCGATCGTATCGCGACCATGGCACGAGCCCCGCGAGGCTCCTCGGCCCCTCTCCCCTCTCAATTCACCCATCCGAGGAACGGTTGAAATCTCTTAATCGGTGAAATTTGGTTGAATCCGGAAGACCTTGGCCCGTGTACGTAATCGCCGCGGGTCGCGGACACTTTGGAATCACAAAGGTGTGGAAGCGATTAAGAGAGAGAAACCAGTTTTCTCACGTAGTAAGGGGGGTTCTTCGGTTTCTATAAAAAAGTGACGAGAAACGAATTTTGGTATCAGTCGATTGTCTTTCGTCTCGCAAGAAAAATCTCTGACGAGAAAGAGAGTTCAACGTCAGTTCAGTTTGCCGAGTCAATCCTCACAAGCAAAACTCATCATCATGTTCCGAGTCGCCGTTCTCTTCATTGTCGTTGCCTGCGCCCTGGCTGCGCCCGCTCCCGGCCTGATCGCCTCGGCACCGGCAGTCGCGTACTCGGCGCATCCCGCGTCGCTGTTGCACGCCGCCCCGGTCGCCTACACCGCACCCGCAGCCCCGCTCGCCTATGCCGCACACGCAGCCCCGCTTACATACGCGACGCACACTGCGCACGTCGCTTACGCCGCACCTGCCGTCAGCTACATCTACTGAAGAGTGACGTGTCGGATGTACAGCTTCATTAGGAACAACGCGGGACCGATCTTACTTTACGCAGGATGTCGACTGACAGCGGTGTCTCCTAATATTGTGGAATCGAAATGTCATTATGGAAAACAAAATTTATAATTTCATATGTCACACACGCAGAGATAATAAATTAATTGCACACATTTACGTCAAAATAAATAAATAAATAAAAACAAAAAGAAAAAGTTTTTCTGTGTTTTTCTGTGAGAGTTATTTCAACCGATTCGTCAACGACAGCGGACATTGACTCATCGAAAAACGAGATATATGTTCGCCGAGCGAAAAGTAATCCTCTTACAGTGCTTAGGTCTCAAAGAGAATTTTAATGCCCCGGCCTACGTCAAAACGCTCGAATTACAGGCAAAGCCAAATGCGCTCTCGTACATAAGCAAGTAATCGCGAAACCTCCGGAGTCATTTTACGTAATATTATTTCTGACTTTAATTTCGGTAGACCGTGTTTTTTTGGCTCAAATAGCGGGTTTCAAAGATTCATGCATTACGAACGCCGTAAGTAAAACACAATGTATTTCGAAAGAAATAGCTTTAACAAAAAAGATACATCCCTTTTTATTTCCACTTTATATCCGTAGCGTAGCTTTTCTATAGTTGCAGAGCCGAGTGTTAGTTGTCAAAAATAAATTTTGCAAAATGAATTAATTCCACAAGCATTCGATTAATTCGGGGAAACAGTTTACAATTTATATCGATCGGAAGAAAATAAGACTCTCATAGAGACCTCGTACATCGAGTTTGCGAGGTCAACGCAATGAATTCACGATGATGTTGTCGTAGAAAGTTGCGTGACCTTCTCGGACGAATCGCAATATAACTCTTCTATACGTTCCTACGTTGCCTATCGCTCACCGTAGAAACGTCATTCAAAAGTCACTTATGTTATTTTGCGATCCTGAAATAAACTCGGTCTCGGGCTACTTTATTACACAATACCACATTGTACGCTCTTATTGCAAGTTGTGAGCGCGGGCTTCAGTCGACGTGGTAGTAGTAATTGACGGTACGCGCGTTTATATCGCGCGTTCGTGCAATAGAATTGATATGGCAACGGTACGACGGTTGCGTTTGTATCCATTTTACTATGGGAATCATGTGTGTAAGGTATTAATTACGATGCATCGGGGTCGTGTGATATCAATCAGAATGATTGTTTGACGTTGGAATGTGTTTGCACGCGAGCTGCGCACTTCGATAAATATTTGGTTTAATATACACACGTATGGAAGAGGGTTATATTATTTATCGTTGTTTATTTGTTTTTTATTTTTATAAATAAAAACGCCAAATAGATTTTTCACATAATCTGGCATATCGAATTGCATAATTGAGAAATAAAAAGTAACAAACTCGATAATTAGGGGAGACCGTGTTAGATTGTGACACGGGGTTAGTTGTCAAACTAACTATTATCTTGCTTACTAAATCTTGAAAAATATTCTTCTTTATATTTTAAGTTGCTAACTATCGTGTTAGTAACGTGTAGGAAATAGCTTTTCTTAAAAACATGATATATGATATTTACGAACACTTTTGTAAAACTGAACATGAGAAGTAGACTTTTCTTATATTGATTTTTTTAGTAATTTCACTGATTTTTAAATTTCTAATTGCAATTTTATCTTAAGTATAAGAAGTGTGGTACTTTTAAATAAGTTTTTTTTTCCTATATTTATTTAATGCGTTATCGCATCGCAGTTTATAAATATATAATATCTTTTATTTAAAATGAACGTTTGGGGGTAAGTTGTTACGCGATGAGTATGCGCGAGGAAGTAATCGCCGTGCGCAGTAAGATGCAAATGAAACTTTAACAAAACCGTTGTCAATGCGACAAGTTGCATTATTATTTGAAGTAAACTATCGTACGCTAGCTCGGTATTGTAAGAAAATTTCAGAAAAAAACATAAATGTGAAAGCCTCCCTTAACAGGGAAGGCGATGGCACGGAAAGCCGGAGATTCCAGGTTCGACTCCTGGCCGAGGAGTTTTTTTCGCAAAATTTTAAAATTAGTTAGGGGGNTATCCGGGGTCTGTCATATGTGAGATGCAAATCTGGCATCCCGTATGATTTTAAGAATTGAGTTTTCAACTCAAAAAACACTCACTTGTAAAAATTTACAAGTTGAATTCGTTACATGTGTATGTATATATACACACACACAAGTTTCTACTCAAAACATCTTGAGAATGGCTCGTATGGCCTTATACATATCTTGTTGATAAATGTGAAAATACGATTTTTTACAAGTGTGAGGTATACTAAATCAAAAAGGATTTTTAGTGATTTACAAGGAGAACTAATTAATTATATATTACAGGCTTCAGATATTTACTTTTGTCTTACACTTAAAAGAAATCAGAATTTTGGCTTATGTGACAACTAACCCCGAGTACGGGGCACGTTGATAAATTTGCACGATCGTGTTTAACATTAAATAACTTTGTTTGTATAAAGATATATAAAAATAATATTTTTTTTCTTAAAGCCAAAGGATGTGACTATGACGTAATGTGTCCAATATTACATAATATGGCATACAGTTTGTTATTTTTAATAATATAATTTGTGTGCATGTTACAATGTGCCTCGGTCTCCCCTTTAACTAATTCTTCAGATTCTATTTTAATGATTAAAACGGTCGCTTTATTATGACCATTGATGCAACAAAATTTTATTTAACTCTCTGTGTATTTATTTTCCATCCATATTAATCAAGACTAATTAAGGAGGTCTCTCGCCGACTTGATTACCACCGGTCTCGGAAAATGGAGCACGGTCGCTCCAACAAGGAAATTAATTTTTGTTTTCCGGTGCGTTTCACTTTGAGGATATCACGAGGATATCGTCGCGCGCATATGTACGCGCATTTTCGTCCACGAAAAAGGAGAGGTCCGTCGGTCTTCTGGGCGGAGTCCATGAGACGACGACCCTGCTCCAATAAATCTGAAATACGATCGCATGCAACGATAAGTAAGAAAGTAAATAAATGAATAAGCAACTGTCCGCGGACCGAACTCCCTCACGTCGTGATATTTCACAAATTTCGCCATTACGTCGAGCGAACATGACGAAGAATAAACGAGGAGCGCGGCGCACGGGCGCACGGTTTAATATACTGCTTGTCCCGCGACCACCGGATGCCTTTTTTTTTTTTTTATCGCGAGCTCAACTTAAACTTCATTTTTCTACGACAAAATGTCGCGGAATGAATTTTTGGTCTTTTGCATATACTTACGAAGCACTTTTCGCGAATTGAACTTTAAAGACTTGATAAAAGAGCAACAAAACCCCTCGAGTTATTTTAAATATATAACTTTAGATAGATTTTTTTGTTCGGCAGAGTTTCACTTTGACATTTATTAATTGTTAAGAATGTGTAATAAGTAAAAACTACAAGTTGTGCAAAAAAGAAAAAAGAAATTGATTCTCCGAGACGCTCTCTGTATTTTAAGCATGGAGAGACGCCGCTGCGCAAATTAAATTCGCGCGAAACGAGAACGCATAATTTGCGTCAAGTATCTCTTTCATCGGTCCACATTCTCGGACAGAGATGTTGACTTTAACGAACTCGAATCGTTTTTTTTTCTTTTTTTTTGTGCAAACAGTTTGCACGTACCACCTTGTCGCGCGTGCATCGTACATCAGTTTAATCGTCGGGCCTTGTGTTTTTTTTTTATTGAGACCAGGAATGTTGTCTTCGAATTTTGATAATGTTCTTTGTGACGAAACAGCTTTTAAACAAATCGAACGTTATCTCGATCCGATCGAGCTTTTTGTATAATCCAATCGAGACTAGGAAAATACCAGGAATACTCAATTCTGATTATATATTCTATTACTCATCGATCTATAGTTATACTTAGTTATTCAACTTGTACGAAAGCCATTTAAGAATCGTTCGACTTCTCTTCGTTGTTATTAAGTATTTAAATCAGTGGAGAGTTGTTCAAGTATAATCGGGTACTTATCAAAACGGGGTGGATTAAGAATCGAGAAGATAAAAGCGCAAATTTAAGCGAATGCATGTTACATAAAGTGCGCGCTTTATTATTATATAAAATCGAGAAATTGAAGTTTTTACGCCGAGAAGAGGGTAAAAAAAACGAAAACGACCGATCGTCGATCGAGATATAAACAAAGTTTGCGCGTCGCCTCGCCTTAGCCTTGATCTACTCTTAAGCCTCGCTTCTTCTTTGCTCCCGCGCGCACGTTACTCTATAGAACTCTCCCTCTTTCTCACCTTGCGCAACTTTTTTTACGCTTCGCTGGACGGACGGATGGATGGATGGTCTTAGACAGAATGTATAAAAGCTTCTAACAATTGCGTCTCCGGTCAGACGTGACGGACCGCCGCGAGCGTAAAAGACCGTGGCCGGTATTCATAGTCCGATTTCACATTTAAGATAGTCTTAAGTTCAACTTGAGATACCCTACAGCCAAAAAAGAAAAAACAGCTCGTACATCACAAGATGAACTTAAGACGCGGTCTTGAATATAAGGTCGGACTATGAATATCGGATTGTAACACGTACGTATCTCGATTTTCGATCGTTAATGCGGTTTCTCAAAAAAAAAAAAAAAAAAAAAACTGGATTCGACGAGTTGTCGAAATTGCAGCGATCAGGAGAGAAAAAAGAAAAGCAATTAATCATATCGTAAATCATTTGGGTAATTTAATCTGGCATGACATGGTGTAAAAAAACAAGACTTGAGAGATTTAAAAGATGAAAATTTATATATTATATAAACATCTCATATACATAGCCGATGACGGAGTTCGTGGCAGTGTGAACAGACTGGCGAGTTGCCAGAGAGTCTATCGTTACAGTCGTACTCGTCGAAAAAGGGCGATCACGCCCCGGAAGACTTTGGTGTTCGGTGGTATTATTATTACATTCAATGGTAATATCCATAGCCATGACCATAGCCGAGTCCATAACCATAACCGAGACCGTATCCATGACCGTATCCGAGAGAATTCAGGTATGTGACCGATGGAGGAATCGTGTATCCATAGTGACCGTAGCTCACCGCTGGCGCTGCATAAGTCGGCGCGTAAGCCACCTTCGCGATAGCGGCAGGTGCGGCATACGCGACCTTAGTGATGGCAGGTGCAACCGCGACTTTTGGAGCTACTGCAATCGTCGGAGCTACCGCGACCTAAGAGAGAAAGACAGAAAGACAGATTAATTTAATTACTTCATCGTTCATTTCTTCGATTCTTAAATCAAACTTTTGTTTTTCTCTCTTAAATCTTCGTTGAAAAAATTTCTAATTGAAACTGATTTACGGGGAAAGTTCGTTTGAGACGACAAATGTCCCAATGAACAAGTACTGCTCGCCGAACACTTTATTTAAAACCTAATTGTGATTATATACGAAATAATTATAAAATTATTTAAAAAATACTGAAAACATTGAGAAAATTGTTTTTTAATATTCGCAAAACTAATAATTCTTTTTTCAATAAATATCATTGGTGCGTGTCATCAGAACGTTTATTTTATTTCGCCGAAGCGATGGAATTTTATTTCTGCCGAATTTATTTCGCGCGGAGCTCTTGCCCGATGCAAATGGAAATTTCCTTCTGGGTTCTCGGCCCATTGTCGAAGCGAGACACGCTGATAATCCTTTCCTCATGTCGTAACATCCGATTACACGTTCAACGTTTGAGAGCGCTTACCTTGTACGTATTGGCGTAACTGGTCGCAACCGGAGCGTGCGCGTATGTGACCGCAGGTGCTGCGATCGCCGCAACACCATGACCCAAGCCGTAACCGCCGCCGTAGCCGTAACCGCCGCCGTAGCCGTAGAGCCCTCCGTATCCGGAATAGAGGCCGGCGGACGCGTAGGCGACGTAGGTGGCGAGAAGAACGATCTGCGGTAAAGCGGCAAGGTATTGCGTGGAAGTACGTTCTCTCCCTCTCGTGCACGTTCGAGACAATCCATAAATCGGAGAGCGAAATTCAGAGTTTGGGGAGGGGATGAGAGAGTAGAGAAGCAAAACTTACTTGATACACAACTTGATATACGTCGTGTAAACGCGGAAAATATTTACGAAATTGTTCGGAGTTACATACATCTATGAAATTGGAACTTGTTCCATTTTTATGAATAACGCGCGCGCCCTATACTTGTGTGTACGCATAAATAAAAGTCAAAGAGATAAATTTGACGCTATCTTTTCTCGGAGTGTCTCCGATGATAAAAGAAACGGAGGAAAACGTGGCCGAGCAATTATGTGTTTGTTGTTTTTTAAAAAAAATGACACCGACGACATTTGTATATAAATTATGAAAGATTTTATACTAGAAATTTCTCAAGAAATCATGTTTCACGCTGTATATATACCTATATATACTATTATTACTCGAGTCTTTTATACGACTGAACATTTTTATGCAAGATTGTCTTAAATCACGATGCGGGTTGAGTTGGGTTCAAATGCTCCGCATTGTTGCATATATGCACAAGCTCTTGGCTTTATTTACCCACATATCCAGGATGATTTCAACTGCGTATTTATTCATACGATATGAATGAAACGAGCGTATTTCTGCGAGATAAAATCGCGCCCGCGGCGGCGAGTAAAGTTCACAGCAAATGTTACCCGCGGATCGTCCGAGCATTTCTCACGATATTGCGAGTTGTGGCTCTTTCTCCAATATAACCGGAGAGATAAGTCTAATCTCCAGATAAGAACCAAGTTACAACAAGGGAAAGTCACACCCTTCGAAATATGAACTTTGAATCTCCGCAATGTAAGTACATATATGCGACGTTAGCTTGCGATGATTTTTTTTCTTTGAAAATATGAAATGTGAAAGAAAAACAGAATTCCTCGAGAAATTTTACAAGAGAGAAAGATCACCGTGCAAAGTGAATTCAAGTTGTCATTTAAAAAAACTCGCGTCTCCCGAGAAAAAATCCCGTCAATATCTGTGTACTCCGTTGAAAGTATATATATACCTCGAGCATTTTTTTTTTTTTTTTTCCGCTTCGGATCCGACGCGAGAAGTAGATACTTTACTCACCAGCTTGAACATGTTGCTGCGGGTGGCTGCTTGTGATCTCTAGCCGGTACTGCGGACTGACTATGTTCTCGTCTACCCCGCTAGACCACTTATATATCCCCATGCGGATTGTTTTTACCCGTGTGCGTGTACTAAGATTTAATGGGAGAAGAGAGGGAGAGAGAGAGAGAGATGCGGAAAAAAGTTTTTCTTACCAATGGGCAAGGCGAATTTGTAGGTATGTGAGTAGAATGAGGTTGTATGCAAGTACGGTAAAGTAAACGGCGTGGCGGACTTGCCTCATAGTGGGGTGGGTCTCGAACGCGGGACTCGTTACGCGTTCACTTAGATCCTTTGCGGAGAGCCGCGCGGCGGATGACTCGCCGCGCGGTCTCAACGCGCGAAGGACGAACTTATTATTGGCCGGGAGGGAAAGAAAAAGAGGAAGATATCGGTCGCGTTCGATTCGCGTCTCTCGCGTGAGAAAAAGCGTTGTTCCGTGTGCCACCTTGAGCGAATACACACGCGCGCGCGCTGCGCGATTGAGGGAGGACAAAAAGAGAGAGAGAGAGATTTTCTTTCTTTCCTTCGTCTCTTTTCATCGGCCGCAACTCTCAATCGCCTTCTGTAATTATTCGCGCGTCTATGATCTTGTCTGTGCTCCGCGAAGCGTGAACAGAGCAACACGGGGACCTCGAATGCAGTAAGACGCTGGTGGTGATGAGAAAAGCGATGTTTCGAAGAGTATCTTATTTTCCTTCGCACCGTCGTAAAATCTTCCATCTCTCGCTGTTGATTTTATTATTCGTATCAGAGATTGTGTATGCGTTTTATTCGAGAGAACGTTGTCTTGTAAATTATTACTCGGTCCGTTGGCCGTACACATTGTTATGAACAATATAATGCAGATTTATTTTACGTAAATATGCATGTGTGCGTCATGTTTGCAGACTGATAATAGTGTGTGTCTCTCATATATCGAGAAAAAATAGCCTTACGTTAGACTTTTTATTACACATTGCTACATTATTATCACAAATTTCATATTTTTATTTCAGTACGTATTTTTATTTCAGTTTATATTTATATTATGCATCAGTTCGTCATACTCTCTACGTATAATTACATAAGTGTCACATATGGTATTTTCAGTTTATTGCATAGTGACACGTAGAAAGTCATGTTCTTTATGGTCACCAAATATTAAAAAAAATATTCATAAGTAAGATAAAAATTTAAAACCGAAAGATCTCTTAACTAGAGAAACATGAAATATGAAGCTTTAAACTTTTAAACTGTTGTTCTTTAAAATTTGCGTTTTGGAGTTACGGGATATACGTAGGGAGTGACGAGCTCTAATATACTCTGTATTTTCCTATTCTTGTTCTCTCTCTCTCTCTCTCTTTTTCTCTGTGATAAATATCGCCCTTACTGTCGATCTCGGGCGTTTCTTTGATCATCGAGGATGAGTGGGCGTGTCAGTACCAGTTTCCGGTCGCCGTCAGAGCGAAAAATGAATCATCACAGCTAGCGCAGCGAAACGAGCGTCTCGCGAAAATGCGCTGTTCCGCGATTCATAACAAATAACGCGTATACATTGTGAGCGGCTCGATTATTCATGGAATTTACTCGCTCGGAGATAATAACGTATTGTGCGCGGGGAAAAAGAGAATGACGGAAAGTACTTCATTAACCGCGGAACAAACATTTTTGCATGCTCTTTTCCTAGCTCGCGCGCGTCCGCTCAATGTCGCGTACCATACCTACAACCTTGCCAGTCCGTAGCGGATTATCTTCGTCCTTATTGTGGACTCGTTGCTTACACGTCACTTCGTGTACATGTAACTACAACCGAGTAAACCACGTGGTGGTATCGCAAATGTGAAAAATTTCTGCATATATAAACGTTTATTATTCAGTGTCACCTTCTTAATAAAGTACACGCCACACACCGCGACACACACGCGCGCGCATATGTAATATATTATCTCGTCGAGTAAGAAATTTCTTTCGTATTAAACTATATAATATTTATTTTAATTCTTTCTTCTTCAATTTTAACGCGTTATTTCTGAATTTGTTTATAAATTAATTGTTTCCCAGAACAGTGTTATTTTGATGCAAACGTTTCGCTCAAACAGAATTTATCTTGAAGACAAATCTTTTATCGAAAAGCTGCAGAAAATGTGTGTGTCGAAAATTTTATCGAGATGTTATTCCATTGTCACGGTGAATAATGAATTTTTACACAGAACCGAGAATTTTATACGGAATTGAACGCGCAATTTGCCGTACATCATCCTCGCCCGGTTTTGGCTGCTACTTTTTTTTTCTCCGGCTATTTGTATCCAACCCTAATGGTTTACGATGCGATTAACTTGCCTTGTGTGCCTCGATATCCGGCTTTTACGTTATATCTACCTACACACACACACACGTGCCTAGCTCCATCGCGAATTGTGACTAACGAAGATAAAATATCGACGGGATGTATCGTAAAAGAAAGTCATGTTTGTGTGTTTCATATATGTGTACATAATGCAAATTCTCTCTTTACATAAAACGCAAAAAATGTCTCGCTGAAAGACAAACGGTTTGCCGCTTCTCGTGCCTTCTCGGGCCAGCCGGCAGCGCTAGCGATCGATTTTCAAAAGACAGCCTTGGCTACCAAAGTGCACAATGCACGGTCGAGTGACGATGTACAGCGCAACAACGGAGACGAGGAAAATACACCTATATATAAAGGGATTAACCCTCTGTGTGTGAATCCCGCTTCACATTTTATATATGATACATGGCTGGGAGTTTTATTTATCGCGCGTTTTCTATTTTGCTTATCGGACAACGTCAAAACTCCACGCGGACCATCCGAGTAAGTTCTCTTGCCGATCCGCATCGACAGCAACGGGATAAGCGTCATGCATAAAACGCATTTCACTCCTTCGTTCGAATCACGAGAGACCAGCGTGCGCACACGCCTCTCAGGAATCAGGGTTTTTTTTTTTTCGTTCCTTCTTCTATATACGTAATTACGTGAGGTCGCGCGCAAAGCGAGGTCGTTTAGCGACGAGCCCGGCGTGAGGACGTAAAATCGCGGAAAAACCGACGAGGAGAGAGGAAGAGCGACGATAGGAGAGCACGCGTGGCGACGGAAACTGGAACGCCGTGATCTAAATCCCCGAGTTTGCATTATTAGCATTATTAGCATTCTGTTGTGGACCACGCGCGGGCGGAGTAGCCGGCTACTTCCTCGCTTCCTTCGCTGTCGCTTGCGCTGTCGCTTCCGTCGGGGAATTACGTAAAGGCCTTGGATAAAGCGTGAACGGGTGTGTGAACGAGAACGAGAAGTTACTTGAAAAAAAAAAAAACTATCTTGAATCTATATTTCTAAACAAAGAAATGAAAAGCCGTGTAAAATATGAGAGATCTTGAGTCGTGTCTGTTTCTTGCGTTGCGCGAGACACGCGCGTCCTTAGATAAAAATATCCTATTTTTTTTTAATAGATTCTCTCGCATATATATATATATATATCGAAAATTTAATTAATAATTAACTCGTATCAAACAGAATCTCTCCGATGTGTGGAATTCAAATTAGATACACGTGCTCGGCGATATATGTGATGGGCGTCCCGAGCGTTAATAAACATTTACATTTCATTTTTCGCAGTACGTTCAGGGATGCGTGACACACAAGCACATCACACACAAGCTTGACGTCGAGTCCTCGCGCGCGGCGTACAACCGCGCCGCGTTATTGTGCAATTATCGTTGCCCACTTACATTCCCGATTGAGGCTCTCGAGAGCGCGAGAATAGCGGATTGTACACATATATAGAGGGGCTGTTATACGACGTCGGCAACCGGCGACGGTGACGCACCAGACCCCGCGTGATGTACGAGCCTCCGATACGCGCGCGCGGCACGCGATTTATTATAGCGCGTTATCGCGGCGTCGAGATTGTAAAAGAATTGCTCCCGGGCACATAGAATGGAGTGTGTGTCCCGAAATAAATCGCCGACTGATTTTTAGTCAAGCTAAACGGGCTGTTACGTGCTGCCGCGCGTATCGCGGCGCTCGCGAATGAAATAAATGGATAAAGCTGATAAAACTGATCGCGCGAAATTGAGCGCGAATTAACGATAATAAAATTAACCGCAAAAATAACGACGTCGGTGAGTAACGGGGAAGGTACACGCTGTGTGTACAGCTACGGTGTATATAAGTGCATCGTATAGCTTTAAATACGAAAAATGTGGTAAAAAGATTGTGTGTGTGTGTGTGTCTTTAATTTTTAATGAAATTAAGATTAAAGTTCCAACTCGGGTGTGTGCCCCTCTCGTAAACGAGAATAAGCGACCACACCGCACTGCTCGCTCTGCTCGCGCAGTGTTTCACTCGAAGGAGAGCGCAGCAGGAAACGTTTCCCCGATACGTACATTTCGCATTATCTCCGTAGCGACCCGGAGGTTACCCGGAACCCAGGCGCAAACCCCAAGGCGCGCGCGCGCCCGCGCGAGAGTGTTTCCGTTTCGCCGTGTTTTGTAGACGCGGTTAAGAGGATGCAAGAGAAATGAGCTCTTTACTCCGCGGGAAGAATGGAAGGGAAGCACTTTTCGATTTTTTTTCTTTTCTTTATTTTATGTACTTTCGACGATAGGACACACGGAAGAAGACGAAGAAGACAAGCAACAACAAGGTGTCGGCCAACGTTAGCTTGGCGCTACATATTATTTTACACTCTAAGAGGATACACGCGGGAACGATATAACTATATAAAGAGGTGAAGAGCACAAAAGAAGCGGCAGGTGGTACGAGCACTCGATAAACATCTTTGGAAGATGGGAGCGATCTCATGCCTCGCCCTCGCCCTCCTCCTCCTCTTCAAACTCGCCTTCCTCTTCGGCGGTGGCTTCCTGATACTGTTGATACTCGGACACGAGATCGTTCATATTACTCTCCGCCTCGGTAAACTCCATGTCGTCCATACCCTCGCCAGTGTACCAGTGCAGAAACGCCTTACGTCGGAACATCGCGGTAAATTGCTCCGACACTCTCTTGAACAATTCCTGCGCGACGCGTACAACGTAACTAAATCTCTCGCGTACAACCGAGAATACAGTTTGTATAATATCTCAACGCGTTTCTGTGTTTTCTTCGCAGAATGAGAAAATAAAAACTGTTTGACTCTTCAAATGCTTTTTCTCATCATCCGAACGGATTGGAACTAATAAAACATTATCGTACTGATAACAAAAAAAAAAAAAAATACGCGACGAATATTGATTGAGATTTTTGTTCCATTTCCGCGCACAAACGTTACGAACAAACAAACAAACCTGAATGGCCGTGGAATTGCCGATAAAAGTCGCGGACATTTTCAAACCACGCGGAGGTATGTCGCAAACGGCAGTCTTCACGTTGCTCGGTATCCATTCGACAAAGTAACTGCTGTTCTTGTTCTGAATGTTGAGCATTTGTTCGTCCACCTCCTTCATCGACATTCTACCGCGAAACACCGCGGCCACTGTCAAGTATCTGCCGTGTCGCGGATCGCACGCGGCCATCATGTTCTTCGCGTCGAACATTTGCTGAGTGAGCTCCGGCACCGTGAGCGCTCGGTATTGTTGCGAACCTCTGAAATGCAATTTTATTATCAAAACATCGAAGAGAATTACGCATTTGTGTTTCATATTTTTACATCTATCTATAATCGTTATTTCTTTAAAAAAAATGTTCTGCTTTGAACGCACCAGATCATTTGAGACGTATTTGTCTTAAATATCGACTAATTGAAAAAAACAAAAAAGAAAAAAAAAACATGATCAAGTTCTATTTAACTTAATTAGTTTTTTTCATTCGAAAAAGTTTCGAACCTAGAAGTCAAGGGAGCGAAGCCGGGGATGAAAAAGTGTAATCGCGGAAACGGGACCATGTTGACAGCGAGCTTTCTCAGATCGGCGTTAAGCTGGCCTGGGAATCTCAGACAAGTGGTGACGCCGCTCAGAGTTGCGCTGACCAAATGATTGAGGTCGCCGTAAGTCGGGGTGGTTAGCTTAAGGGTTCTGAAGCAGATATCATAGAGCGCCTCGTTGTCTATGCAATACGACTCGTCCGTGTTCTCCACCAGCTGATGCACCGAGAGAGTGCAATTGTAGGGCTCGACCACGGTATCCGATACCTTCGAGAACGGACAAGAATAGACGCTGACGTCGTATGTACGATATTTGTTTGTATACGTGTGTGTGTGTGTATCGCGCGGTCGCACATCGCGCCAAGTATACACATCGAGCACACGCATTGTACACGCCGCAACGCGCACGGTATTGTCCTATTAAGGACAAAAGGTGGTTTCTGGCGGATGCTTTGTCTCGCATTCATTGTACATTATGCCGCGCGCGCATCAGGAAGACTTTCCGCGTCGCGGAGAAATACACCCCACGGCGATTTTCGATACGCGGAAATTCGAGGCGCGACTCTGAGAGCACAAAATCCGATCTTACGTTGTTTCTCGAAAGTCATCTGAGATTTAGTTTATAAATAAACAAATAAAAACATATGGAGCACGAAGAAGAGTATTTCTTTATAACAATATTGCGTAACATTGAAATTTGAAAGAATTGAAATAAGAAAATTTGTGAAATTAGACATCTGTGATATTAAATTGTAAAATTGCGCAAAAAGTACCTTGGGCGAAGGTACCACGCTGAAAGTCATCATAATCCTGTCGGGATACTCCTCTCGAATCTTCGAGATAAGCAAAGTGCCCATTCCGGCGCCGGTGCCGCCGCCCAGCGAGTGAGTGAGCTGGAATCCTTGAAGACAGTCGCAGCTTTCGGCCTCTTTACGCACGACATCCAAGACGGAATCAACAAGCTCGGCGCCCTCGGTGTAGTGGCCCTTGGCCCAGTTGTTACCGGCGCCGCTTTGGCCGAACACAAAATTGTCCGGTCGGAATATTTGGCCGAACGGTCCTGCGCGAACCGCGTCCATTGTTCCGGGTTCGAGATCGACGAGAATCGCGCGTGGCACGTACTTGCCACCAGTTGCCTCATTATAATAGACATTTATTCGTTCCAGCTGTAGATCCGAATCGCCATGATAGGTGCCCGTGGGATCGATACCGTGCTCGTCGGAAATCACTTCCCAAAACTGCAATCGTTCGCAAGAGAAAAACGGAACAACAGTTTTATCGGGGCCGAAATTTTGTTTTGAGAAATCTTGATTACGTGATGGACGTTGGAAAATTATCCCGCCCATCCACGCGTATGTGTGTCACGCGTCTCGATTACGATATCATCTCGATAAATTGTTTATTATTAGATTGTTATTAAATTATTATTGGATCGTTTGATCGCCGAGAGATAAGAAAAGGTACGCGTTTATTTAAGCTCGTACGTTATTTATGGTAGTTTTACGCGATAATTATACGCGAGATCGATACGTACCTTCGCTCCTATCTGATTGCCGCACTGGCCGGCCTGAAGATGCACTATTTCGCGCATGTTGGTAAAAACTGCGTTTTTTTCGTTTTGACTTCTATTCGCTGCAACGAAACGAGAACGCGGCGAGAACACCAGAAATCAAAACCACCCAAAATTCGTCGTCTGTTTCCCGTGCCTTGGAAATAATAATTCTGTATTATTATTATTATTCGGAATCGGGCGCGAGATGACGCGGGAGAAACACACCTCCGGCCGGATGATAAAATCAAGGGCGCGAGAAAATCTTTCAACGTGACGAAACTCGTTGTAATTCCAACGAAATCCCTAACCATAAGAATCGTATCTCGGGTAATTTAGTTGAGTCTCAAACTCGCGTTTCCATGGAGATGCACGAGGCGAAGAGAGGAGGAGCGGTTTCGGTTCTGCTTCTGTTTTCGGGACAATTGAGTGCGCTGATGAACAAAAGATTCTCGCCAAGCGTGTATCCCACTCGCATTGTTCTCCTCGGTTGCGACTACGTGTATATATACAGAGTAGATGTCGGAGGAAAAGTTTCGAATGTGCGTCCGATTAGATTTGGTAAATTGTACAGATTTTGTGAAGAGACATTTTTCTCCGACAAAAGAGCTTCTTTTGTTTTTCAGAGTTTTTCATTGATTTTCAATGACATTCTCGATTGCAGATTGTTTTCATCGGAACAAAAAAAAAAAAACATCTAAACACAGACGCGAAACGGTTCTCACTTTTACATCGAAATAATATTCGCGCACGACTGTTCTCCCCCCGGTTAACAGTATAACAAAATAAACTACACAGATCTCTCACAGATATTTTATCCATCTCCGTTTATTGCGAGGTATTTAATTCCAGGGTATATATATATATATATATATCTGCTTAAATGTTTATTTCTATATAAGAACATTCGTGAGCTTCGTAAATTGAGTTTCGCGTAATACTACTTAGGACGAGGGGGATCTAGACGAAGTCCGCGAAACTCTTGCGCGCGAAGGCTTCCGCTATCTCGTTAACCAGCTCTCTGTACACGATAGGATTGACGTTCTGTGCGAGTTGGTACAACAGGAACCAATCGCCAAAGTGGAATACTCGTACGACACACTCGGCCTTAGATCTCTCGAGCACGCGAACCGCGCCTCGCAGAAGGTAAACTCTCGTCCAACGTTGAGAGAAAACCACGATCCTGCAAGAAGAACGTATCGATCCGGGTAAACGTTAATTTTCACGCAATACACATTTCTCATTCGCATTCAGACAAGATTTATATATGCGCGACGCGGCCTCTCTTTAAATAAATTCTATTTTAAACTATAAATGTAAAACAAAAAAATTAAGAAAAATCATTATTTTCTCTTGTAGTCAAATTTAGAGACAAATTCTCTATATTTAAATATGTTTGTGTGAAATGAGATTTGAGAATTCTCGGCGTGAGATTCATTTCTGATATCGTGATATCCGACATAGTTGACGTATGTACGTATCGCGAGGGGCACTGTGTGACATCGCTGACGTGCTGAATTTCAAAACCGCGCGCGAATGTGTGTCGGTTGAACTTACACATGTATACAGCACCACCCCGTGTACCTGTAGATTACCGCCAGACAACCGACGCACGCGAGAAACACGAGCCAGAACCACAGAACGACAAAGATCTTCTCGTTCACTACGTTCAACGGCAACACGCAGAGCGCGTCGTGCGTTTGAACGGATCCTGCCGGCCCAAAGGTGTGAATTGTACACTTGGTCACCTTCGGGAATAATCGCGCCATCGGGTCGATCCTGTCGTGAGGATTTTTCTCCGCGACGAACGCGCTCACCAGCGGACCGTATCGTCTGAACTGTCCCTCCAGAAACACATCCAGCGCGTATATCTGTCCCATCTGTTTGAGAGAAGAAACAAATTCATCGCGAGAGTCTCTCTCTCTCTCTCTCTCTTATTAATCTGATACGTTACGTATTGTTTTCTTACGATATTTTTTCAAAATATAATCTCGTGAACCGGCAAACGTCGAAGTTTAAGATAATAGCGCAAAACTTTTCGGTTTTCGCCGTTATACTGAAAAAGTACCGCCATAAAGTGGCTGTATTTCAGACGTTAAGGGCCTTTGATATATATTTCTGCCCGACATATTGAGCTTGGTAACAAAGTTTTAACCGCATTGTGTAAGTCCGCGGGTTATCGAACCCGGGGGAATTAATTATTCGCGTTTATTTCTGCGTAATTTCCTCGCGCTTTCGACGTCACAATTCCCGGGTGATTGATCGAGAGCCCTTAAGCAGCCGGAGATCCTTCCGTTTTGAAAAATGGAGAGAAGAGAGAGAGAGAGAGAGAGAGAAAAAAAAGAGAGAGAAATTATTACTTACTGAATTTAAACAGTTTAAGAGCTCGCACACAAAGAAACGTATGGCGTAGAAATTGTGACTGTGCAGATTCGTCCGGGTAAAATACTCGACGAGCTGTCGCTTTCTCTCCGCGGTCCATACCTCCCCCAGGAACGGCGTCTCGAGATTTCGCGAGAGAAGACCTATGGTGCCTCTCTCCCAAATGGTCCACAAGGCGCGCGGCACGTAAAAAAGAATCGCTTGCAAGCCGAGAACAAAGCAAACCTGTAAATCAACATCTCGAAATTGTAAAAATCTTTTTCCGCCCCTCTCCCGCCTGGATTGTTTTTCCGCGAACACAAAATTCATGTTTTAAGTAGGATATAAGCTCGTAAAAACGAGTGATAAGTGTTTGAAACGACGACGCGTACATTGTACGCTGATGTCATTGACAAATTTTCTTTTCTTCCAGAGAACAAATGTGCGGCTCATTATCACGCTTCAATCAATCGCTTCTTCTCTCCTCCCCGCTCATTATCGTAAATCTAAAATATTGTTGAACACAACTTGAAGAAAAAGAATTATTTACAGATAGATACAATATTTTTACAAGTGGTTTGTTTCATTTTCACGTGTATAATACACACAGGGAGAGAAAAAAAGATATATATATATATTTATATCCGATTTAATTTTTCTCCATTCCGAAGATCTCGATAAAACTCCCATAAAATCCCGGACGCTTCCTTTTTTCGCGATATTCACAAATGCGAAACGCGCGCGATACAGAGCAAACGTTGGATAACGTCGGATCCGCGATCTCTATTTCCATTTCCTCGGCGCTCTTCGCTTTCCGTCCTCCGGACGTTTCCTTTACATTCACGCGTTTCAACGTTCCAGATTTCATTCACGCTCGCGCAATACGTCTGCGTGCACGCCAAGAGCCAAGAGTGGGCGGCCTCTCCTGGCCATCGGAACGAAGTGCAGTCGTTATCATGCATCTCGCGTACGTGCGCGGGGAAGGGAGGGGATACGCGCGCGTGTGTCGGTCTCTCTGTGTGAGAATCGAATACATACAGAAAAAACTTTATGCGATCGACCAATTCGGCCGCGCGCGCGTATTTTCTCTTCTCCTCCCCTCCCGTCCCCCCGCATTTCTGCCGCTCGTTCAATTTTCAGAGTGCTCCATCGAAAAACAATTTGAGAATATCTTTGATAAATTTCGAGTTGATCTTTCCGCAAGCGAAACTATTTCACGAACATTGGAGAGAGTAATACGAGAGCGTATGTTTGTTTTACGTCGAAAACGTAAATCGAAACGTTCGGATTGTTCGGAACTCTGTGTAATTTCTCCCGGTTTGTATAAGTAGATTTAAAGACAAACTGTGTGTTCATAACCAAAATGGATTTCGATAAAACACACGGATTCAAGACACATGAAAAGGTTTTCAATCTATAAGGAAATAAAGCCTCAAAATTGCGGAGCAAATGTTCGATAAAATTCAATGCCGATAAATCGGTCAGAGCACGATAATAGAGCTTTCAATCTGTTCCCCGGTTGCGACGCCGCGCGTTTATTTTATCGGACTACGGCGTTGATACTCGGTCATTGCTACACATCTATAACATAAACATTCTATAAATTCAGCTGACCCACTGATAATATCGATGATGATGGGCTTCGTCGCGCGGAAGAGCCTGCCCTACACCGGCGCTCGCTACACCGCGTCCTGGAACACCTTTCAGATGTCGGATTACCGTGAACGTGCTGTAGATCCAGCAATACGCATTCACGGGTTCTTTGTCTAGCAAGGAAAAAATATACATAAAGTGCAATCATCTTTGCGCGTGGAAAATAATTCTGGTTTTCCAGCACAATACAAAAGTAGTTTAAATTAATTAAAGATGATAATTCGCATCAGTTGTAGAACTCGGTCGCGGTGATAATTTATACAGTTGGTTCGCGCCAAGTTAAAACGATCGCTTTGGAAATTTCCGATTTAGATATTTCGACTTCGAACAATGTAAATGTGTTTCAGTGACCGGACGAGTGTCAAATAAATAATTTGTAACCATATTTTTATATGTGTAAAAAAATTAGAAACTAATGTTTAAAAACATAAAAATAACTACTCAAGACAGAATGTGAATTATTGTATTTACGTATTTAATCATTATTTCTTTTATGAATGTCTCCGGTTATATACTGGGGACAAGTTACCTTGTGGTCTAAAAAGAGGTTAGATAATGTTCATACCGATAGAACTGTCGGTCATGCAAGAAATCGGCTCGCCGATGTATTGCTTGGCGGTTACGAGAATGGTGCAAACGAGCAGCAAAAGAACGGTGACGCGCGAGTGCAGTCTGAACACCACATTGTCGACATGAACGGGCTCTTGCCGCAAGAGGCATTTAATAGGTGCGAAGAGATCCAGCATGGTTATCGCATGTGTTCTTTTGTCTCTCCGGCGCTACGTACATATCAACTTCTCTCGCGCCGAAAACAAAGCACAATAGAGAAAAAAATCCCATGTGTGTGTTAGCTACATGAAAAACAAATATTTGCGGCTTGTCAAAAGAAAGAACGTGTGCGTTTGAAAAATGTGTAACAAATAGCATAGCCATAATTTTCGGGCTGAAAACCTTCGCCCTTGCGCGCTTTCGTAATAACCGACGCGAACAACGGAGATACGGTTGCGAAAAAAAAAAAGATGATATATACATGAATAAAATTGCGCGTCAACAAAAATTGAACGAGGCAAAAGATTGAGATTGCAGACGTCGGAATTACGAGTGTGTGACGCGCTGAAACGACGACGTGTCGGAGAATAATCGCTGTGTACATTTGTCGTGTCACGGCGATGTTCAAAAACTTGCACTCGGTCCCCCACAATTCGGTTCGCGCTTCAAGCATTAAATGTAAATCACGAGCGTGTAACTCATTTTCTTCTGTAATTTTTTTTTCTTTTATTCCCGGCAAAACGGGATAATTTTCAGCTAGCTTTTCGCTTGAATTGATTTGTCGCGCGTCAAGTTACGCGCCGGCTCGAGAAGTGAAATTTCGAAAAGTGAGGAAGGGAAAGAGGGTAATCGTCAAAAGAACAAGACACTTTTTTTCCTCGGCTCCAAGGACGTTCTTTATTAGTAAAAAATATAGTAATCATGATAACTGTTATTATCGCAATTACATGTCGTAGTAAGATATAATCGTTATACCGGTTGATTAAAGATTAGCTGCGTATTAATGATGCGCGCGCTTTAATATCATCGCATCGATCTTGTGCGTTTTTTGTGTGTCGTGTGATCTCGTGTGTGTGTGTGTGTGTGTGTATGTGTGTGTGTATGTGTGTTGTATCCACTATTGAGATTGTCGCTACACCTACATAAATGCTTCCCTATATACAAACAAACACGATTCTAGAGCGCGCAGCCGGTCCTAGGAATAGGCACCCGGCGGGGCCAAGTTTCCGAGTCTGTTTCTTGCACTAATTATAATGGCCTCTCCCCGAGGAGAGAGAGAGAGAGAGAGAGAGAGACCAGCCAACGAATAAATCGGATTAACAAGGATATCTCTTGTCGCCGCGATATCACGCGAAATCGTTCGCCCCATTGTTGCGCGTTCTCCCTTCACTTTTATCGTATTTATATCATTAATCCTTCTTTTTTTTTTTTGGTTTTAATCCTAGCTTATCGGTTACTTCTAAAAAGCGATCAGTTTCATTAACTTCCACTCCTCTCTCATCCACTTTGCCTCTTATTATATACAAACTGTTTTTGCACTATCGATGATCACATGCATCATAATAGCTGCATATTTAGTAGGCACGCTCATTCGGTGTCATAGAATCCAGACATCTTGCGAATCGGCGAAACCGGATAAGACGTCTTCAATTTTCGTCTTCTCTTCGTCGTTCTCTTTGGTTTTTTTTTCTTTCTTTCTTTCTTTTTGTTTTCTTTTCACGCAAAACACCAAAACACGATTTTATCTCTCAAGTGGATACGATATAATTTATAATATGCTTAGTAGTCGCCGAATCTCAAGATGTTAAAATCGACAAGGCGTGTCACGACCCGTCAGAAGTCACAATTTCTGATCGTGTACTGTTTCATCAATTCCCGTCGTTCCCGCCGTTCTTTCTTCGCATTTTACATCGTCAATTTATAATATTATTCTATTCTGCTCTCTGAGTGACGCGAGTCTTTCTCCCCGAGAATTCACGAAGCAGAACAACTTTGAGCAACCGCTAAAGATTATTATATCTCGAAATTGAAATCTACGACGATCGGTAAACTCACTTGATTTGCATCTGTATGTTTGTTCGAGGAAAAGAAACTGACGAAAGAAAAATGAAAGCGCGCGTTTCAATCGTGCTTTCGCTTTTGTGCTTTCAATTTTCTACAACAATGTACAATATATGTATATTGCCTTTTTTTTTTGTTGTTTGATATAAATAAACTATATAATTAAAATATGTGATATGAGAGAGGTGTAACAAATCAATTGAGATATGTAATATATATTATACAATTATTTTCTATATTCAATTATCCTAAAAATATATAAATTCTTTTGTATAAAAAATAATGGAAAAATTGTTAATTCAAAACTTAATCTAACTTCTCATCCGTGTGCGCAAGATGTCCTCGATTGTTTTCCGACAAACTCGCACAAGGAGCGCATATTGTACAAGTGAAAATAATAAAAAATACACGAGTAGCTTAAGATAAAACGTTCGTTTCGTTACGAAGTTAATTAAACGCAACGTTAAAAATAGCAACAGATTCCCATTGCGGAATGTAAAAAAGATCGATTCCTGTTTGTCTTATCTTATAATGTAGATATATTGACACATCATGTCCGTCTTGTTTCGATAATTCACCTTATTTTTACGCTAATTCTATTTATTCCGTAAATTTGTCTCTGTCTTTCTATGTGGCTAAAAAAATTGTTTTGTCGCTTGCAACATATCCGATCGTCACAAATCTACAATTTTTCTTACGAACGGTCATAGGAACGATCGAGACAAGAAGACTATATATATGTATATGTATATATATATATATGTATGTTTGTGTGAGGTTTCTATGTCTATGGCAGTGTGTAGAGAGAAAATGATGAGATTTGTAATACACAGTGAAACGCGGCAGTGGCAAATTGTGGCGATAGAGTCTCGTTTGCGATTTCGATCGGAAAAATTCATGTGAATTCCATTATTACCATTACGGACCATTAATTAGTTCCGCGAAATGGAAGAAGACTGATGACGCGATGAGATGTTGCGTGGATGCGATCGACGTGTCACGCTAAAACAATACACAATAGGATATTCGCGATAGAATAAAGAAAATTCAACACATTTCTCGCGATTCATATGAACAAACTCACTCGACTCGTTTATTAGATCTGAAAAACGGCTCGCTGATAAAAATCAAAGTTTTTTTTTTTTTTTAAAAAAAGCACTTTTTGCTTTTTTTCTTACCTTGCTAGAGAGAGCTTCGAGATAAAGAGAATGTATTTTGTTTCTTAATCGCGTCTCTCCGCTCGTCCCCAAATAACACAGAAACCTAAGACAGCATCAAACAATTCCGAAGGCTTAATATACAAGCTAGCCTCGGAGATTTAACATTCTTTTCTGGATTATAGCCTTACCTTATGATATAGTCAGAGAAAGAAATGTTTTTAAGTTTTTTTTTTTTCGACTAATCGCGGCTCGCAAAGACGCATCCGAGCGATTGGAACATCACGTGGACGTCTTTCTCACCGCGTTTGTATTCGCGATCGTTTTTCGAGGATTTTCTTATTCACACGCATCTATCGCGCGCGCACAAAAAGTTACGCGTATAAATGAGCGTAAATAAAACAATCTCGATTCCTCGAGAAACGACCGCGAATATTTGACTCTCTAGACTTCTGTGTTCTCCGGGACGCGATCGTGCACGAACTCGCAGAGGATCGATCGCGGCCCCTTTAGTAGGGCACATGTATGTCTCTGGGGCGCGATCGTCTTCTACAGAGCCTGCAAACGGCGATAAAGCACGCCACACCCAGAAGAATAGCCAGACCGATACCCAGGCCGGCGCCGGCCCAACCGGGTCCGGCGAAGCTGCCGCCATTACCGTTAACGGGTCCGCCGCACGTTTCCACCGATTCGTCGTCCGGCTCGTAGAAGGTGCCGTTCAAGATACCCGGCAAGGGTAAACCGCGACTGGGACAATTGACGACACCGTTGCACAACAATCTCGCCGGAATACAACCAGTGTCGCCGGGACACTGGAAACTGCAGTCCTCCAGTTTGCCGGTGTTGAGAGCGCCGGAACTGTCGCGAGGAAGATGATAGAGCTCGGTCCAGGCGATCTTGAAGGCCGCTCTGGCCGGCGCCATCGTCCCGGTAAACTGTATGATCACAGCGGGTGACTCTTCGCTGCCGTCGGCGGCTGCACTTGGCACCTGGTGTTCCGTAGCCGGTGCGATCTGTGCGGCCGATATGATCGGTATCTCCCTGGCGTAACTGACATTCTCGCCGCAGATGCCCAGATACGGTTCGGTGTTGCCGGGTAGGAAGATATCGAGCTTGCCGTCCTCGCAGGAACGCGACGCAAACTTGATCTTGTCGAAGTGCAGATAGAGGTCGCGCTCGCGATTCACCCGCAGCTCCCAGATGCACTTGATCGATCTGGGCGGCGTGACGTATCCCAGCGCTTCGTAATGCGGGAACTCGATCTCGCCGTCGGTGGCGGCTGGCAGAAGCGCCGGTCCGCAAAGAGGACTGTGCGCGAACTCGTAGGTTGCCTCAAAGAGCGGCGCGGGCCACTTGAAGTAGCTCGAGGCGTGAGCGCCATCCACCAGAAGTTTCAGGTCTAATCTGTCGCCTCGAGAAACAACTCTGAGAACAGGCGGACGAGGAGCGGGTGGCGTAGTCGTAGGCGCGGGAGTCCCGTTATTGTTGGACCGACATAGGCAGTGGCTCTTGATGCCGTCAGGACTGGGTTCTCGTACAATCACCCGGTCTACACGACTTTCTCGGCAATGGCCGCATTGGGTGTACGGATGCTCCTTGAAATTAATGGACTCTATCACGAGGATAACTCGCGCGTATAACCGCTTGTCCGTGACGAAACTGTAGGTGCAGGAGAGATCGGCGGGCGGATCGCCCGGTCTTTTGTAAACCAGAGTGTTGAGAGGCGAGCGTAATTTGCCGGACCGCGTCTTCCACGAGACGAAGGTCTCGTCGCACTCGGTGCCGGGCACGGGTTCGCCGAATCTCGTCGCGTTGAAAAAGTCGTAATGAGCCCAGTAATACAACGAGCTGCCGGAGTAGCTCCCGGTCTTGCTCTCGAATCGTACGAATAGTGCGTTCGACGTCGACACGAAGTCGTGTTTCTCCATCGGCTTGCTGAACGTGTCGCAGAAGGTCTTGATGATTCGGGCGTCGTCCGGCCAGTCGGCGTCGTAGAGCGTCAGACTCTCGCCGCAATCGCCGTCGTACGGCTGTATCGGCGACTCGATGCGGTTAACTCGAAAACTGGGGAAGTAGAGACGCGCGATCTCCCCGGCTCGGCCGCGCAGCAGGTAAGTGCAGCTGGTATGCGGCGGATACCAGTGCGCCACCGACAAGAAAATGCCCTCGTTGCCGTTGACGAGAGACTCGCTGTTCAGCAGCCAATCGCAGCTGCCGTTTTTCACGCCGGCGGTCTCCACGTGACCCGGCCAATTGCCCACGTTGAAGTGAAAACCGGTGTTGAGCAACGGACCAGCCGGCGACGATACAAATTCGACGTACAGATCTTCACTGGTGCCGATGATGCTGTACGGAAATTTGCCCATACCGCAGAACGTGCCTATCACGGGGCTGCTCTCGTTTTTGCCGTCGTAGACGCGTATGTAGTCGTACGGGCAGTGCTCGGAACCGGAACTGATCGGACGCATCGGGCACGTCATGATGTTCTCGCATCGCTGGCCGTCAATATTGAACTCCTCGTTTTCGATGTAGAGCTTGATGAAGGGCAGCCGAGTGTTCAGACGGTATTTGCAGTGCAACGCGCGCGGATAAATACCGGGATACGCCGGGCTCTGCACGTAGCATGTTTGCAAGCGGCAGTCCTTGAACACGCGCTCGCAGTAGCTACCGGGCACGATCTCGCCCCGGCGATTTGGATAAAGCTCCGGATGCTGACCGTATCTGAGATAGACCTCGTATTGCTGCTCGGCGCGCGAATCGAAGCTGAAATACGTCTGATCGGTGAAGTTGTCCGCGTGAAAAATCACTCGCACAAAACTGGTCTCGCTGATGAAGGTCTGCGGCTGCTCGGACTCGCCGCAATAAACGCCCGGGTCCTTGCGATTGCTCACCTCGGTCTTCGTGTTGCCGTCTATAATCTGAAACAGTTGTGTGAAACGCGCGGGTGTACAACGCTTCGGCACGATCAATGAATACGGGGGACATTTATACGACCGAGATATTTCGGGGCGGCTTTTATTCCAAGTATAAAATGGCCATTGTTCCAGTTAAAGAGAAAACTTTTTCACGTAAACAGATAACCGCGAATAACTGTCTCTCAATGTTCCGAAAATATGTTCAATAAATGTAATTACATGCAGCATTAGGTTTTTTATTGAACATATTGCGTGATTTTGTCCGAAAGATAATACACAATTGTGTACACAATTGTTACATGGCTTCGAGAAACAAATAACGCACTTCTGAAAAAAAAAAAAAAAAAAACCAAACTTGAGGAAATTAAGAGCTTGACGGAGATTTGACACAAACAATCATATCGCTATGATGTGCGCGATATCGGAAAATAGTAGGATCTGTAAATTTATACAGCGATATAGGAATTTGTACGAGAAGCTGGCTATTCAAACGGAAGATAATCATTCTACAAAGATCCCGCTGTTCCGCGTCTCGCAATCCGATGCAAAGGAAAACGTATCCGAAGTTCTTCTATTGACTTTCCCTTTTTTTTGCACCGGTATAAATTTGAAAGTCGTGAGGAAAACGGAGGAAAAATACAGAGGAGAATAGAGATATACATATATATATCTCTCTCTCTTTCTCGAAAAACGGAGAGAAAGATAGAAAGGGAGAGATAAAGAGAGAGAGAGAGAGAGAGAGAGAGAGCGAGAGAGCGAGAAAGCAGAAGAGAGAGGTTTACAGCGTCACAAAGATCAATACCTGATACCGAAGTAACTGAGAGAGGTGGCAGCTGGACGAGTGCGCCCGCGCGCGCGCTTGAAAGAGGCAGGTGGAGTGAAACGGAGGAAGGAGGAAGAGGGATGGTGAGAAATCACTTATCGCATTCGCCTTTATACGGGATGCTCTAATTCGCGACACTGATACGGCTGCGCTCGTGCTGCTTCTCAAACCAGCACCGCCGGCATGAAACCAAATCTGAAAGCTCATCCTTGGATCATTCGCAATAGTATTAACAAGAAAGATATAAAGAGAGAAAGAGCCCTCTCAACTCTTACCTTTGCAAATTATCTCGTCGATGTTCGCGAAAGAACGTTACGTTCTTGTATAGTTTGAAATGCTCGCAAACCGGAATGATTAAATCTTTTTGTTTTTCTACGCGTTTTACGTGCATATCAATTAATTCGCTCAAAATCGGTTGTGTTGTCAAAACACACAGAAAAAATCTCGTCTCTTGACACTTTGTTGTTAAACATATATGATAATAATAATAATAATGATAAAAATAAAAATAATAATAATAGACTCTGTTCGCACATGCCATTGCACGCGATTGAACAGCCAAGCAAGTCCGGTAATAATATATCAGGCGCAATTTTTCGCGCAACTTTACATACACGTATACTTTTCTCGACGACGCACGCAACTTCGAAATGCATTTCCGTCGCGTTATATACATACATATAACGCGTATCCGCGTGCATTGGCCCGCAACGCGCGATTCAATGAAGCACGAGAGCATCATCCGCAACGGCATCCCTCTGTCTCGTTTTCCTCTCTCATTTCCCCTTTCTCCCTCTTTTCCCCCGTGTCGATAACCGAACTCGAAAGAATAATCAAGGAACGCTATTGTCGAATCGAAATTAAATTCCAGCATCGAGCTAATTGACCGAATTCTCTTCTATTCAATTAATAGGAGCGAGAAGGGAGAGAGATTCGACGAGACAAATCCCGGACTGTGCCATTTGCGAGGACGCGAGATGATGCAATTCTCTGAAATTAGAATTGGTATCTCCCTCGCATCTCGTCTTCGCGTCGTCGTTTGTAAAGTCGCTCAAACCGAGTTTTACAAAGTAAATTTCTCACCTGCAAATAACCGCCGCTGCAGGTTGTGGCGTTCTCCAACACCCCGACTTTGAACTTCTTGAAACGCACCCGCAGAATCCAGTCCCGGGGAGTCCCGCGGAAGGCACGGAAGCGGTACCAACACGAGAGGGGCTTACCCTTATTCGACTGGGTCACCGCCGGGCTCGATACATCCTCGTAAATGTCCACTGTTTTGTTGCAGTGGCCTCGGTCCGCTGAAATAGAGACGGTTAAATCGAAACAAGAAAGGAGAAGTGCGGAGGCACTACTCGAGAGCGCCTTCTTCTTACGACATTCACGCCGAAATTTAACCCCCCCCAAAAAAACCTAAACAATAAGTAATGTGTCGCGCAGTTCTGATTAGTAACAAGAAAATGTTGTTATTAACAAACAATAATAAGAAATAATCCAGTATGTAGAGAGAAAATACGGATGGAAAAAATGAAAATGTTTAAGAAAAAAATTGTACAACAAAAGAGAAAAAAAGAATGACAAGAAAATTATAAAATTAACGAGAAAAAAATTACATAAAATGATCTCAACTTTATGAAAAAAAATTCAAATTCTAATGTAAATCGAGCAACGACTCTTTACGACGAGTTTTTAAGTCGTTCGAAAAGTCTACTATTTGTACGTTGCGAACATCTCGGGAATGTGCGTGGAACGTTCTGCATGTTACGCCGCATTAGAACAACGGTATTCTTCAGTGACCTTATTGGGCGGTGGAAGGAGCAATAAAGAGACGGTAACACGACGTGAACGGAAAAGCAGGTATGTGTAACGTAAAAAGAGGGACAGCAGCGAAGAGGGTAAGGAACGACGACAACACGCGACAACACAAGTTTCGGCCGTGTAATCGATATTCTCGACCCGCTTGCTATAGATGCTTCTTATAAAGCGGCAACCCGAGTGTTATATAGCTGGCGACCGTCTCTCGCGCGTTCTCGTAAATCACCTTTCCACAAGACTATCAACCTCTCCCGACTAGGCGAGCGCTCGCGCGCGCCTATACTCGAGGCCGAGTAAATCTCTCTGATGGTTAAAGATTCGAAGCTCGCGCACGTCTCGGTTGCCGATAATTCGACTTGTTAACCGCGTAAAAGAAGACCCTCAATAATTGCTGGCGAATAAGTGGCTCCCGTTAAGATGAATCTTCATTAAACCGCGCGTCATCAGACTCGACTGGTGGCGTAGTGCTCGCGCGCGCCGAGGGTGGAATTTTATCTGCTGGATTTAAATTATAAAATATTGGAAAAGCAGTATATAACTGACGTATATACATACATAATATATATATCTGCACATAATTAAATGTTCGGTACTACGGATACGTATTAAAACGTATAATCACTCAAAGTAATCGCGATTATATTTTACCTTCCTCTCCAGCTTGAATTAATTTCAACTCGCACATATATACATTTTCCAACGATAAGTTCTTTTACGGAAATTGTTAAAATAGATAACGGCTTATCCTCGGCGACGGGGATATAGCGAAATCGTTAAGAGCGCTGGAAATGATCGGCGCGCGGTGTCGGATTTCGCTCGCCGCGAATAAATATAGAGAGATCGTTCTCGCGTGTCGCGCCGGTCTGGAAATTCGAACTCCGTCGGAATTCTATATCTATATATATATATATATATATATGTACACCCTCATCTCGCACACAAACCTTGGGATTAGGCTTACCTCTGCGAATGGCAGCGGGACTGGGGGTGGCCAGTAGCAGAAGGAATATGGCGAAAAATCCCCAGCCCCAGCTACCGAAGAGTACCGACACGAGCGTTCGAGGCATTCCCGGGATAAGTGCCGAGGCTGTCAAAATACCTCCGCTTTTTCTCCTCTTATCTCCATTTGCCTCTCCCGCCGAATATTACCTATGTACATACGCAAATACAAAATAAAAACGTCATTCGTATGATAACGCCACTCGCTCGATCATTCTGTGTATCTTTTCCATATATATTGGAAATATATCGATCATGGTAACACTCATAAAAAAATGTTTCCTCGTCGATCTGTGTATACTGTGATATTTTTTGACACAGAATGCATTATTTCTCTCTTTATATCACGCATCAAGACGTATAATGTGTGTGTGTGTGTGCCGAAAAAAAATAAAAGCAAATATCAATAATAACAATATCTTTTTATTTTAAAGACCCAATTAAACGCAAGATGTAAACATATAGAAATTTTTAAAGATATACATAAATACATCAATGTTTAAACTCTTCCGCAAAAATTTGCCAGGTTACTGAGAATAAGTGAAATAAAAATTAACTCGAGATAGCGGAACATCTAATTCTCTCTCTCTCTCTGTCTCTCGTTTCGCGCGATTATACTATTCTCCGCTCAAGAGCGATATCTCCATAACACGAGATGCTTGATGGAACACGGGCGGCAAGTACGAGTGCATCGCGTTATCGCTTCCCCAAAGGACAATAAGGGACACCGCACGGTTTACCAGATGGGTCGAGCATACGCCGGAAGGGCCTCGTTCGTACATGCACATTGAGAGGAGGCAAGGGTGATAATTGGTTAAATCCGCGCGTTGACTCCGACTATCGGCAACAGTACTTCACTCCTCCCGGAATTTTCTCTCTCTCTTTCCGCCTTGACCTCCCTTTTCATTCAACACCGCCCGTTTTTACGCTCCTCGCGTTCTCGCGATCGTGTTCGTTCATTGTCCTCGTCTCTTGGGGATTCAATACTTGTTGTTTTTTCTTTTAAAGTGCAACGTATATATATATATATATATTTCTCGCCAATTCAGATCGTTTAAACATGAATAAATCTGCAATTTGTAGATCGTCAACGGGGAAACGAGATTATTTGAACGCCGCGAAATTCCGGATTTACGTCCGAGATAATTGAAACGGCCAAGGTCGCGAGAGAACGTTGCGATTTTTCGATGATTTTCCGAATGATGTTTTTCAAACTCTTTTCACGTTTGTTCGGATGTCGATGTGTTTGTTGAATTTTGCGGATTCCGGGTGCGTTCACTCGATCGAATAAAAAGGCGGACGCGTGCCGAAAATGTCGAATGAATTGCGTTCAGTGCGGTTAGCGCATCAGCAATTTAGATCACTCGTTGATTACGCGCGTGCATACGGGATGTGCGTCTCTCTAACGGGAGAGACGGAGAATTTTGCGGCGAAAACAAGCAAAGCGGCATCGAAAGAGAGAGAAAGAGAGAAAAAAAAGAGAAAGTAACAGGACGATTTCACAGAATCACCGGGCGATGTTTTTCCAATTTGTCTGTATACTCCGCCGACTAACTCTGATTATTTCGTATTACCGTTCCCCTTCGACGACGGTAATACGAAAAAACGCGGTTTGATGCGCGAATCGCGTGTACAACGGAGAAGAATCGTATATTTGCGATTCCCGAACGATTTGTTCGCGATTGAGTCAACAGTTTTGAGTTCAATAAAAGAATATTCCCGACGATCTTTTCTTTTTTTTTTTCATATAGCGCGCGGTATATTTGCCATTGATTTGAAAAATTAATTATTTGACAGATGCGATCGTTGATGCGTCGCATAAATAAATCGCTTTGCGCCAAGTTGGAGGTTACATTAAAAACAAAAAAACGTTCCTCGCTGATAAAATCGAAACAACGAAAATAGAAAAGTGAGAGTTTATTATCTTTGACGATATACACAACACGCACGTACCTTTACCACAACATAATCTCGCGCTCCTTACAAATTTCTACGACGGGTTTCTCCGACAATCCGCGGAGAATTGGAGGAGAGTCCTCGTTGCCGATCACACCGAAATCACCGACTTGTTATCCTCCATACGTATCTCCTCGAGTATGCCATCCTCTCTCTCTCTCATTTCAGGTCAGGTGCGGAGAACCCTCGGCATAGATCGTTGTTTTGCCGCAAAGCGAATCTTCCGGATCTTACATCGTTGTCATTGTCCTCGACATATCGACCACGTCGCCTGGCACAGTTTCTTCCGCCTCTTGGAGTCGCGCACTGACGCACATCAGAAGATCCGAAGGATCTGGTCGGGAGGATGCCCGGCTCGGGGGAATTGATTCTCATGAACCGCTCATCAGCGTGGTGGTGCGGTTGTTTTCGGTTCGTGCACTTTCGCCGCCGCCGCCGCCGCTGCTGCTGATAGCAGCGCGTAGATCATCAGCGCATCATAACGCGAAGCGTGAAACTGCGTGACTCCGGGGGAGTAAAAACGAAGAGACAGCGAGCGAGGACGAAAATCACGACCCGGGGATGAAAGAGAAACGGAGAGGAGAAAGAGAGGAGAAAGAAAGAGAGAGAGAGAAAAAGAGAGATAGATAGAAATAGAGAAAGATAGATAGAGAGAGAGAGAGAGAGAGAGAGAGACGAGGGCGAGAACAAGACGAAAAAGCACCACCGCTCTCCGCCAGTTAGAAAGCCAGGCTGCGAGTCGACTGCTGGCACGAAAACTCGGAACGTGGCTGGCTTAACGTACGCCGTCCGCCGATCGGAGCTGCGGCGGGTCGAAGCTTGCGCAAGCTCTCTAGCGTTCTCTTTCTTGCTGTCTTTCTCCCACGACGTCGGCATAGTGGAACGCTCGTTTCTCCCTGATCCCTCTACCCCCGTTTAGCTCTCTCCCGCGTTCTCTCCTTCCGTTTACGATGACTTTCATTGAACTGCTCGCTCTCCCCTGATCTCCTGCTTTCTCCTCCCCCCTCTTTCTCCTTCCCCTTTCTATTCCCTGTTAAAACACCCTGCGATGACCTATTGCACCTATTGCCGCTGCCCCGCGTCCTTCTGCCTCGAGGCTTATTCTGTTGTCGCCTTGTTTTTTATTTATTTATTTTTTACTTTTTTTTTTTTTTTTACCTTATCACGCGCGCGGCTCCCGTCCTTCTCCCTTCGGGCGAGCAATCGATATATAGGCATGTTAACGCGTGTGGCATGCTTATCGCGCGAATTTAGCGCTTCCGCTCCGTGAACACGCATGCAAACAGCCCCTATTAAAAATAAAAGCTACGACGCTGCGACGCGTCGCAATTCACACCTGACGTATCGATTCACGGCTGAGTTTTAATGTTTCACCCCGTGCGAGGGGTTCCCCATATATATATATATATATATGCCTCCGAGTTTCAGCTGTGTACATGTATACAATCGTTTACCCCCCATTCCGTGTGTATGTGTGTTATATACATACGTGTGTGTAACGTCGGCGGTATCAATTTTTCGGACTGTAGACACGACGAACGACATCAATCCGTCCGCCGATGTGACAAAACTGTGACATCGACGAGACTCCGAGTCTCGACGAAAATCATCACGTGAACGACTCGCCGAAATCCACCTCACGCGCAGAGAACGGTACGTTATACACGTTCGAACACGCTCGAAGAGGGCAGCTTCGATCGGCAGCTTTGCTCGCCCGTCGTTTCTATATCTATTAATCAATGTCGAAATATTTACACCTACTCAACCACCCCCCGAGGCAGCTGCCATAACTTAAATTGTATTTATGATCCCGGACGTTAAAGCCTAAGAGCGGCAGAGGATCGCGATGGTCCTCCGAGAGAGAGTTTGCCAACGCGGTGGAATAATTCGACCGATATTGTTGAGTCAGTGCGGCGAACCCGGGATTAAATCGAATCGCGCGTTGTTACTGCATCTAGTTTATAACATAATGAGCGGCAGGTGTGGGTAAGGAAAGATAATTAAGATCCCGCGTCCGGATGTATAACGCACGAAAAACTGATTACGCGCTCGCCCTCCGGTCGCTCCGGCGGAAGTAAAAGGGAACAATAAACTCGACGATAATCTGTCCGAAAACCACCGAGAAAGGGTCTCTCAACGTGCGGCGAACTATAGAACACCGGTCGTCCGTTATTACCGGCTTAATAAAGAGACCGATAATTAATCCTTTTAGATAAATAACTCGCCGATATACATGGAGATAATTACACAGGCAGTCTGAATGACTCCCTCGCTGATCCGTCGCTTTTGTTCGTCGTCGCAAAGAACAAAACAAAAATGTTCAATTGTATTCGCACGTTCGAATTGTTCGTGATTCCCTGGGTGAATCGATCCCGAGCGAATACAATCGTCGTGAAAAGATGCGCGAAAGATTTTGTCGTCAAATTAGACGAACGACGGATTTTGCCGATTAAGGAAATTTCAACTTTCGAGGCGAGGGGAACTACGAAACAATTACGGATCAATTTGTTGCGGGGACGAGTAACAGACGCTTCTCGTCGTATGTCTGCCGCAAACCGGCTGTATAATTAAGGACCCGATGCCGCCTCCCGGTGTCGGCGTCTCGTCCGTACACACGCAGCGAGCGAGAGACGCGACGAGGGGGCGGGCGCATCATTTACAGGCTGATTAATTGCGTATATCAACCGCCGGGCCCGCGATCACATCCACAGCCGCAATCCAGAAGAAGACGAACGAGAGAGAGAGAGAGAGAGAGAGTAGCTGAGATGTGTGCGGGATCTAATATCTTAGACGGTTCGGATCTGTAATTACATACATCCGCGGCACGTAAACGGCGAAAGATTTTTCGAACGTCGCGACCGGGGTTTGAATGTAAAAAAAGAAGAAGAATTTTTTTTCCGGAAATCACATCCATGGCGTCTCGATATCGCGATAACGCGAATTTCTCGTTAAATTTTGACGGCAACAAGCAAAATTTCGCTCTTCGGGAATTTGCTCGCTGGAATTTAACGTCGAATTAACGAGCGGCGAACGTAGGCTGTGAATGTGGCCGATTCGGGAAACTATATACACGGCTATGGATAAAATACAACCTTTTGCTAAATAGAGATATCATTTTGGCGGATTTCGTTTTCATTATTTATCTGTTTTCCCCCCTGCTGTTCTCCGCGTGTATCGAGCTTAACGAGCTTATCGGGCCGCGCAAAAACCCGATAGCAAATCTCAGATATACGCTATCGCATAAAAGATGAATTATTTCCGAAATATATACACGCGGTATATAAACAACGCCGCGTTGTTACCGATGCTTCGTTTCAGCTTACAGAGTGTGCCAAATATTCAACTCGCATCTCCGCAAAGTTTGATATCAATTTGAGTTGTTTGTTTTTCTCAATACAAAAATATCAAAAATTAACGCTCGAAAATAGAAGATGTATGTGTGTATAAACTGTTGTAAAAAGTTTATTTATCATTTTTAGTTTGCGTTGCTCATAGATAAGATAAATAATTCCGTATCTCTCTCTCTCGAGCTGTTCCCAAGACAGGAAGACGCTGAAAATTAAGCAAAGCTAGATACACAAAAAAGTATACATTATATGCTCTCTCTCTCTCTCTCTTTCTCTTCTCTATACATAAAGTATGTTTATTAAATTAAAACAATGTACACCTCAAGGCGTCTATTAAAAGCTCCCGACGAGATCGGATCGATCGGATTTCTCGTTCGAACTAACGCGCGTCTGAACGCGCGTCCTCCGAAGCATCTCGCGAACGGCACAGTGGAGAGATGCTGTCCGAGATATTAATTAGCACAGAGAGAGAGAGAGAGAGAGAGATACAGAGCCGGAGTGTGCACACGGGAGCGCGCGCGATACATATCTAACCCTGGGCCGGCGCCGTCCATCTGGCTACACATGAAAAGCCATGCCTAACCCACTGCCGACGACGAGGGAAGGTCTCAGGCAAGCGCGATATATTGATTATGTCGTGGTGCGAGAGAGACAGAGAAAGAAGAGAGAGAGAGAGAGAGAGAGAGAGAGAGAGAGAGAGAGAGCGAAAGCGGAGAGCACAGAGGAGAAGAGAGAGTAATGCCGGAGTAAACCAGAGTAACGCGGAACGCGCCAAGCACGCTCGAGAGTAGAACGGCAGAATTCGTCGAGGTGCGCCGGGGCATACGCCGAAATATGCGAATATATCACCCTCTCTCTCTCTCCCTTCCTTTCCCCACTTCTTATCGATCGCGCGTAATCGCGCAACAACGGCCCGTTGGTTTTTTTTTTGTTTTTGTTTTACACGTCCGACGGAACTTCGGAAATCTGCGGTCTAATTCTGATTCGAATTAAATTTAAATTAAATTTACAAATTTAGTTTTAAAAATCGATCGCGCGAGAAATTGTCAATCGCGATTCTGGTTGCGAATTGAGAGCACGAGCGTGAACAACCGCGTAATCGGTCAAGCGTCTCGCGTGCGGCGTGTGTCTATACTTCACCAGAGCCGGATAAAGCTTCTTACGGTCCATCGTCGACGGGGTTTCGGGCCGCGCGAACAGGCGAACGGACAGGCTTGTTTGCGGGGAACATGCTTGTGTTCCCTGGTTAGGTTCGATAATCAGGATGCGGGTAATCAGCCGTCTGCGCGAAGTGCGCGAATTGATCCTCGCTCTTCCATTGGCCACATGTGCACCGGATTACATCCTTGTCTCAACAAATCTAATAAGATAATAATAGTTTTTACTTAAGTTAGCAATTTTGATTTATTTTTTATTTAGCATTTATTGCGTCGCGTATCTCACGCACTTGTTTTTTTTATTTCGAACGAAACAAAATTTATTCTATAATTATTATTTATTTTTTTTTTATATTTTTTATTTTTTTATTTTTATTAGTAATATCGTTTGAAAAATTCCGAGGTAACGGAAAACTCTTTGTTTGTAAGAACGGAGTTATATATTTTATCAAACGATATTGTTTGTTGAAATGATATTATATCATTTGTTCGTTAAGATGCCGAGCTATCCTCGACCTGGATGACGGCATAATCTCGTTGAAAATGGGTAATAGCGGCCGATGGTTCTTCCGAGGCGTGTAATTGCATTAAGCATCTATCTAATCGCAGTGCGACGGTGTGTATCTCTATCCGGAGAACGGGTTTACGTGCGACAAACCAACCCTCACGAACCTGCAGCCTCGGCGGTAAGAAGGGTTTGTGGAAGAAAAGCACGATGGAAAGAGAGAGAGAGAGAGAGAGAGACCCGCGGTGCATTGGGTATAATAAATTTCCACTATCGCGAGTTTGCCAACTAATCGGCCGCCTTTACCATTTAATTAAGGCTGCCCGCCCGGCTCATCTATTGTCCGTGTCGCGTCAGCTCGGCTCAGTGCGCGTGCTTAATTGCCAGAGATCCCGCTGAAAATCAAGAGAAATCCTTTTCCGCGCGAGCTCATCATCGCCGCGACTTTTTTCACCGACAAAAAGTAGAGGGGAAACACCTAACTCCGCGGAAAATTATACTTGGGTCGATTACCTTTGTATTGTTTTTTTTTTTGTTTCACCGTTCCAAATTGTGAACGTGGAACTTTCTCTTTTCATTCTCCAGTAAAAAAAGAGGAAGAAAAAAGGAAATATCTTGATTAGAGAACTGCTCTTTTAAGGAATGATCAATTAAACAAAAAGTATACATGTAATATTTAACTGTAAAAAATATTCAAAAAAGAAAGTGAGAGAGAAAAAATGTTAAATATGTTACAATAAAATCAAACGTATACGCGCGCACGTAATCAGATTTGCCGCGGAAACATGATGCGTCGATCGACGTAGAGATCTCGAAAGAATGCTACTATCGACATGTATGTTTTTGTATTGTATCGATATAACCGTTCCATTCGTTTTATTGATCGTCTTTGCACTCTTTGTTTCTTTTCCGTTTTCTTATCAATATGAATATCAGAGAGATATAGAAGCCATCACACACAAAATCGCATAGCTGCATAGCGTGAGACTATTTGGACCAATAAGCATCCAGCATAAAGTCGCCATAGTGATTTGCATAAAACTATGCCAGATGCTGTGGTTTAAATGGTCTTATGTCATGTATATGCAGCTATGCGATTTTGTGTGTGTGAGGCCGCTGCGTACAATAGAGAAAATATTAGACATAGAAATAAATATTAAATATTAGGAAAAAGAATTTAAAATAATGTCACACTAAACAAGAAGAATACGAATAGATTAATTATTTCAAATTCTTATTTTTTAATTTATGATGCATGAATTTATTCTATTTTCTTGTTTTGTAAGGGAATTATTTAAATTTTTTATTTCTAATATTTAATATTTATTTCTAATATTTTGTCTATTGTGCGCAGGGCTCTGATAGCTCTAATAAGTAGATTGTCATGACGGCGTTTGGTTGCCGCCATATTAAGATAATTCCCGTGCGACAGTCCTATTCAAAAGTTAATCTAGTGTCAGTACAAAAAATTATAAGCTTAACGATACTGCACTGGTTTTTTACGTTTATATTGCTCGTATGACAACAAGCAAGAACTTGTTTTTATTAAACAAATAGAGAAAATCGGGCGATGCGTCCAAACTTTTGACCGATACTGTACGTTCAAAACACACACAAGAAAAATGTATAACTATATATAACCATGTATTGAAAACGGTAAAAACTACAATTTTTTCAAATAGTTGTAAAATGTTTTTCTATAATATAGTTGTTTATTGTAAAAATTTATAGAGTCGTTTTGAAATTAAAAACAAAAATAGACTGTTTGGATGTATTCGGTACAGGGAATGTATGTTAATAACGCCTACTTTGGTTGTGTGTGTGTGTGTGTGTGAATATATCGCTTCACAATCGGTCAATTTCTTTGAAATTGCGACAATAATTGTAAATCATTATTGTTAACATTCTATTTAAGTTTTATTAAATTCTACAGAAAAGTGGTTTGGTTGGTCTGGTGCTCTTTTGGCTCAGTGGACCTATAAAGCTAGTCCAAACGCCATTCTATGTCTTTTTGATAACAGGTTTAAAACCGTGGATTGGGTTCCTGACGCCAAGCCACGGAGTTGTATATTTGTTTAAATTAAAGATAATAATAAAAAAAGTGGTGTAAAACACCAACAATTGTCCAAAAATATTCACAGCGTAACTATGCACATCCAACCGATACGGCTGATGCAATCCAACTTCACTACAATATCAACGTCCAGCACCAGGTATTGATATTGGTGCGAAGTTACAGAAAAGTGGTTTTGCACTACCTTAAATGCGACACTAGACCTACGCCGCGATGACAGTTCTTGAAGGTCACGTGAGTATAGAGTTCGATCCTACGCAGCTAGAGGCGCTAGTGTCGCATTCGATATGGCGGCGCCCCATTCATAACATTTGTATTTTGGTTTAATGCTAATGGCGAATGTATTTTATGTCAGTGCGGGAAACGTAAATATAAAACGTAAATAAAACGAAAAAAACTGTTACCAGTGACACAAGTGTGCGGAGTGTAGGATTGTGATATGTGAGCAAACCGTAGGTTAGAATCAGAAAAAAAAAAAGAAAAAAAACATTAACAATCCGAAGACATTTCAACAATACCTTATATAAGAGAATATTATACTTGTTATTTAAATAATGTCCATACTTATTGCAAATATGAAACGAATTAAAACGACGAAATTTACGCTATCGACGTACGCAAAATTCTACTACGCAATGTGGTTCAGAAGTATGAGCAATGCCGCGAAACCAAGTTACACAAAAACTGTGTTATTGCCGCAAACTGATTTCCCGGCGCGACGCAGCGGCAAAAAGAGAATAGAAATGGATAGTTATTTAATAGAAGTAGGTTTATTTGTATATAAAAAATTACAATTTTTTATGTACGTAAATTATATTATAAAATACATGTGTTACAACACTTTTGAACATTTAGTGGGTTTTATGAGTGTTTGATGACAATGATTTTATGCAGTTACTTGTGTTATAATTTTGCACTTTATGTAGATATTTGAATTATTTATATGATTAAGTATTGTATATGTTTGTATTTTTTTGTGTTATTCCAAATTTCTATATTCTTTATTTTTAGAAATGTGGCTTTTTGGAGTTATACAACTGGCAAAGGAAGAATCTTTCAGGACCGGATTTTACTTTGCATGATGGTCCACCTTATGCTAACGGAGAACCACATATGGGTCATGCTATTAATAAGGTTAGATAAGATTTTTTTTTTTAATGTTTTTTTACAAATTTAAATAAGCAACTGCAAATGGTTACAAAAAAAAAGAATATATATTTTTACAAATTTGCAGATTCTTAAAGACATTACCTTAAGAAGTAAGATTATAACAGGTAGAAGAGTACATTATGTCCCAGGTTGGGACTGTCATGGTTTACCAATTGAACAAAAAGTACTTAGTGATTTAAAAAATGTCAATTCTTTAGAAGTTCGTCAAAAAGGTTTGTTAAAAATTGCATTGCATAAATACACTATAACATTACACATTTGGTGTTTTTATAAGTTCTATATTTTACAGCTAGAAAATACGCTAGTGAAGCTATAGCAAAACAAAGACAAGTTTTTATGTCATGGGGTGTTGTGGCTGACTGGAGCGAGCTTGGATGTTATTTTACAAATCATGTTTCATACATTAAAAATCAGCTGCATCAGTTTATGAACTTGTACGACAAAGGACTTGTGTTCAGAGCTTTCAAGCCGGTGCACTGGTCACCATCTTCCAAGTATATTTATTTAACCTTGAAATTTGCCTCGAGTTATTTTCTTTGAGCTTTCAAGTTTTTTTACAATTCTTTCTTTTTGTTAAATTTACAGAACAGCGCTGGCAGAATCGGAATTAGAATACAACGAGTCACACCAAAGTAAAAGCGTTATTATTCGCATGCAATTGCATACATTACCCACAAGATTGAAAAATCTGGAAAATAAACCAGTTTATGCCCTTATCTGGACCACAACACCATGGTCGTTAGTAGCCAATCAAGCCATAGCCTTTTCCAGTGACATTGAATATTGCATTGTGGAGGATAATTCAAAAAACTTATATATTCTTGCACAACAGTGCTTGGCAAGTATTGAGCAGAAAATGGGCTCGTTAAAATTGATTTCCACCATCAAAGGTAACAAATTACTTTTGTATTATATGTACAAAAAAAATATGTATCAATATCATATAATAATTATGAGAGATAAATTTATTAATAGGAAAAGAATTGAGTGAAGCTACATACCTTCATCCTATTACCAAAGAACATTTGCCATTCTTATCTGGACAGCATGTCACAACCGATATCGGTACTGGACTAGTCCACACAGCTCCCGCACACGGTCCAGAAGATTTTCTCATCGCAATTCAAAATAACATACCAGTAGTAAGCCACTAATTGCTACTTACGCGTATATATTCGTATTTTTTAAATTTATTTTATTCATACATATTATTCAATTTAACAGTCCAATCTGCTTATAGCTGTCTTTAATAGACGATGACGGATGTTTCCTTAAAGAAGCGGGAGACAAATTCGCTGGCTTGAACGTTTTGACTGACGGTGCCGATAAGATCTTGGATCACATTGGTGTCGACGTCTTGCATGCTGACACGATTACGCACAGCTACCCGTACGATTGGCGAACAAAGAAACCTGTGATTATTCGCGCGAGTCACCAATGGTTCATAGATATTAATTCTATCAAAGAGAAGGCAATTGTAAGAGTGCTTGTATTTTTCCGATACATATTCATGTTGCTTAAAACAATTTATCACGTGCCTATGATTTTCTTAATGGAAGGACAGCATCGCGAATATAAGGATATATCCGGAACAGAATAGGACTTCCTACATAAATGCGTTGCTCGCTCAGATTAAGCAGCGACCGTATTGGTGTATCTCCCGACAACGGGCTTGGGGAACGCCGATACCGGTGTTGCACAACAAACGAACTGGTGATGCGTACACAAGCAGGTGACCTTATCACAATTGCGTTTTTATTGCTGTTTTCTACAAGCAACAAGAAGTACGCATTATTTTATGTTGCAGAAAATGGATTGAGAGATTGTGCAAATTGATGGAACGACACGGTGCTGATTTTTGGTGGGAACTGCCGACTGAGAAATTAATTGGTCGCGACCTTCGACAAGAATTGAACAATGACATAGGCGACTTGGAGAAAGGAACCGTATGTATCACACAGCTAATCACTATTAATAGTCTCGAATGTCGGCAATGCACGACTGCAAAACGAATTTCTTGAAGGATATCATGGACATTTGGTTGGATAGCGGTCTCTCATGGTCGGCCGTTTTGCCTCAATGTAAAGCGGACTTGTATTTAGAAGGATCGGACCAATTTCGCGGTTGGTTTCAGTCATCATTGCTAACATCCATTGCTCTTCAAGAACGTTCTCCTTACAGGTAGTAGTTCAAGCACGCGAAAAAACATTTAAATCAAAGTAAATTCTTCAATACATGATTTCCTTAATATTTTAATGAATTGATGTTTTTAAAGTGCACTATTTGTACATGGATTTGCTGTGGACGATAAAGCTTCGAAAATGTCGAAATCGGTTGGAAACGTTGTAAATCCCGAAGTGATCACCAAAGGTGGAAAGAACTTGGATAAAAATCCAATATATGGTGTCGACACTCTGAGGTCAAATATTAAAAACAAAAAAATTGATCAATGATATAACATGTGAAAATAAATAATGATCAAAATTAATAGAAAGCAATTAACAGGTGGTGGGTGGCTAGTCACGGATGCCAGCACAGTCAGGTACCGGTCACGACGACGTTGTTGCGCGAGAGTCACGAATCTATACAGAGATTACGTTCGGTTTTACGATTCTTGTTAGGCGTTTTACATTCGCATAAGGACGGTATCGTAACCGAATCGGAATATCTTTACCTTGACAAGTATATGCTGCACGTTTTGCATCAATATAACAAAGAAGTACGTTTAACACAACATAAATGTTATGCAAAATCAAATTCGAACAAATATTCGTATTCTACATCTCTATATTCGATTATAATATTTTATTTTATATTTTACAGGTCCAAATCTTGTACGATGATTATTTGTATCATCACGTATGTAAAAAAATAATAAATTTCTTGGCGAATACCGTGTCACCGGTGTACTGTCACTTGACCAAAGATCGACTTTATTGCGATGACGCGGCGTCGCCAACGCGACTGGCTGTTGTGGAAGTGATGCGCGAAACCTTGACCGTACTCACAAGATCTATCGCGCCGATTGTCCCGCATCTGGCGGAAGAAGTATGGTTGTACTATCCGGAAAATTTAGGTAAGCGATTTGGGAAAAGCGTTTCTTGTATAAATTATATTATTAAGTATGCTGTATATTGTTCACGTAAATTGTTTTATATAGCGTCAGTGCCGTTGTATCATACTGAATACGAAGTGCCGAAAATTTGGCATCAACCCGAAATCGCTAAACACGTAGAGACGGCTCTAAGTTTGCGGGGCAAAGTGAATACGTTGGCTGATGATAACACATGGAAATTTTCTGGTACTATAACAGCTTCAAAAAACGATTATGAATCGCTCTCAGTAAGTTATTTCAATCGTTTTGAATAATTCTCGTGTGTGTGCGCGTTCCTTCCTAAAATAAGATAAAGTTTAAAGATTTTATTTCCAAGTAAATGTCAATAGCTGAAAGTAATTTACATACCAAGTTGTATCTGTTTTTATAGATATTGCAAAAAAATCAAGAATCCTCTACCTCGGAATTGTGTGAAATCTTGCAACTTTCGTCAATCACGTTGCTAAATTCGCTCACAGCGGACGAGACGCAAATTAAATTACATACCGTCGAAAAACTGCTCTGCCAAAGATGTAGGAGGCATCTCGAGTTGAACAGCAACGGCTTGTGCAGTCGTTGCATCAAGGTGCTCGACGTAACAAATGTATCATCGATATCTTTGTAAAATGTAATTACTTATAAATTTCTTATGAACTATCGCTTCTTTTGCTAAATAAACAAATTTAAAAAGAACGCTTGCAAAACTTGTTTTTTTTTTTTTTAATAGATGACATAGCTTATGTTATTTTTGTAACTTTTTTACATTTAATACATCGATCGTACAAAAAAAAATAAGAGTGGTGGTGATTAAACTTAATTGTGCATCGCTACGGTTGTTGTTTCGACGTTAAATCGTACAGATGATTAATATTTAAAGCGTTAAGAAAATGCGTCAAGTGCGGTTGATATCCGCTGGTGGCCAATTTGTGCGCGACGTGTGCCATGTAAGTTCGCCATTCGCAGAACGACTGATACATTTGTTCTAAACTCTTGAAATTCGGATGAACGTATTGACCCGTACCGCCGGCAGTAGTCCAAGCCTGCGATCTCAAGCGGTTGTGGAACTTGAGTATAATTTTGAAGATATTGCTCAAACAGACGCGCATCTTTTCTCCGCGCGTGTTGAGCATGCATCTGAAATCGGGACGTCGTAAGTAAAAAATACGCACGCTGCGTTGCAATATGTCGATGAAATGAAAAACAAACACTCGATTTACCTTGAAAGTATTCTTTTGATGTAGCTCATGTGCGAGAGATATATCTGATCTATTGTTCGAGAATTCTGCAGATCCTTTTCGAACTCGCTCCAACTCGCATGTAACACGCTGCACGTCAGATAATTGTGAAGAGCGTTCATGAACTGGGTCATGGAATGTCTGTACAATTGTAACTGCGTGCAAAAAAAAAAAAAAAAAAACAATCAACAATGAGACGACATCTCTTTTGACATTTCCTTTATGGCTATTAATGTGGAGTTACCTTGTGATACTGTTCCGAATTGACTGTGTCACACTCCGTTTTCATTATGTTAAAATCTTCCTGCAACACCCATGACATTCTGCCAGTCATTATCAAAAATTTGAACACCTTGCTGTATTGCAACATCATCGTGTCGTCCAAAATAATATTCAACGGCCACGATATCTTGTAATTTAGACAGAGACATTCCAAGACGTTTGGATCTGAAATCTGCGACGAAACAAAAATTGTCTTAATTGTTCAACGTACATATAGTTAAAAGAAAAACATAGCACAATAATTAAAAATTTATTTAGAAAATTTGTATTTACATATAATTGACAAGGTTTATCGACCGCGGAGAGACTCAAGAGTTCCGAATTGGCGTAATTATTGCTGAACGAGTTAATCAAAGCCTTTTCCAAGAGATTCGTCAGAGTGGCGGAATTGAAAAGCTCGATCGGAGCGGATATTGTGTACAGGCGAGAGTAAAGTGAATCCGTCAGACTTTTGCCGAATTCTCCGTTCAGCAGGAAAAAATAGCTGCGCAGACTGCGCAGATGCGAGAGCATGTTGCACTCGTCCACCAGATACTTGATAATCGCGTTGTTCATCAACCGAGTTTGAATCTGAAGAGGTATGATGATAGATTTTTCCAAATACACCTGAAGCGATGTGTGATCGATCATTTCGACGTCGGCGACGGTCAGAGACGACGGTACGGTCGACGACTTCAACTCGGGACTGACGCCAAACAAATTCGGCAATTTGAAGTTACCGTTCATCGGCGATTCGAAACACGTTTCTTCCGTGATTGATTTCGTTATATCGGAAAACGACGACACCTCCTGACCGATATTCAAAGCGAACACATCGTCACTATTTGGTACTTGTGACAGTGGGGTGTGGGTCGATAACGTGGTGAAATTCTCGGTTGTGCACGACATCGGCGTGTCCGCGTATTGCTGTTGTTGCGCGTTATTCGATATCGATTCTTGCGCTTCATTATTTATATTGTTAATCCTATTCGAACACTCGTCGTTATCCGTAGGCCCGCCCACAGTTGCCGTTTCTTTCGGCAATTTGATATCGAACGTCGAAATGTTATTGTTTCCATTTTCTCTCGTATTGTTCGTATTGCGTTCTTTGATTCGCGTGACATTGCTTAATGTTTGATTATTTATAAAGGTGCGATCGGTGTTTCCTTGTTCGTCCGTGATTATCGTATTGAATTCGTTATTATTCGGAGTCATACCGTATTCTTGCAACAAAACTTTAAGTTTATTGGCCTGCACCGCGGTCATATTGTCTATCTTCTCGATAGCTAAGGATTTAGGCCTGCTTATAGCACCGATCACTTTCTCGGTTACCTTCTCGGTATCCAAGATATTGCTTGTATTGAGCGCAGTTGTCTGTTTACAACCACTACCACCACCGGCCATAATGGTATGAATATTCTTCATCGCTTCTTCGCGAAGAAAATCTTGCAAATTACTTCTCTCGTTGTTCTTCTTGTAAACATAATGCATGGATTCTTTCGGCAAACAAATGTTCTGCGTAACATCCGTCGTCTTGAGAGAATCTTTATTCGTCACAATTTCTTTATCCGATGCGATATCTTTATCAGAATTATCATCATTCTTACCAGAGTTCTCGCAATCTTCTTCGCGAAGAAAATCTTGCATATTGCTTCTCTCGTTATTCTTCTTGTAAACATAATGCATAGATTCTTTCGGCAAACGGATGTTCTGCTTAACATCCGCCGTCTTGAGAGAATCTTTATTCGTCACATTTTCTTTATCCGATACGATATCTTTATCAGAATTATCATCATTCTTAGCAGAGTTCTCGCGAAGAAAATCTTGCATATTGCTTCTCTCGTTGTTCTTCTTGTAAACATAATGCATGGATTCTTTCGGCAAACGAATGTTCTGTGTAACATCCGTCGTCTTGAGAGAATCTTTGTTCGTCACATTTTCTTTATCCGATGCAATATCTTTATCAGAATTGCCATTCTTAGCAGAGTCCGCGTCGCAATTGGTGCTCGATAAATTCTCTCCGCAATTGTGCCGATCGAAAGCATTTGTAACTTCCACATTCGATATTTCGGTTTTCGCAAAGTTACTATTTTCGTCTTGATTGAAGACAGCGTTGATCGTTTCGGACCCAGGTACATCTACGCGGGATGAAAGAGAAATGTTTTGTTTATCGGTTTCGAGCGGATTTTCATCGGTACTTGATGCGGCAACATTTTCTAACATCTCATTATCGAATTTCTTCATGGAATTCAACGCTTCCAATCGTTTCTCGCAATGAGACATTCTGATTTTGCGCCAATTCATTCGCGCGCGATTGCTTTCCATGTCTACAGATAATTTATCATAATACTGCAATAAACGATCTCTGAAAAATACGCAACAATTAATAAATTAGTAATTAGGCAGCTTCGAGATTTTTTAAAAAATATAAATGAGTTGATAATGGCTGTCTGAATACACACACCAGCATCCGTGTGTTTGCTTCAGACAGCCATTATCAACTCATTTATATTTTTTAATTAATAAATTGTTTCTAATTAAAAACACCGCACAATCACTCGTTAGTAACATACGGTTATTAAAATATTGAAATATAAATTTTTATACTTTTCGGCTTGTTGTTGCTCTCGTATTTCTTCTTGTTCGCGAATAATCTTTTCGAGCAACAATTTATCAGCTAGCTTTTCACTCTCCCTTTCTTTTTCTTTGAATAAGGCGTTCTCTTCCGCCTGCTGCTTCAATTCTTGCAACAACTCCCGTTTATGCTGCGCGGTTTTTATTATAAACTCTTCCCGTTGTTCTGCAAGGTTTTACAAATTATTAAATAGAGTACGTTTTGTAATTGACAAAAACGCAATAAAAAGTGAAATCAGAAGAGAATATTACTGTTGAGTCTTGATAACGTTTCCTGTTGCGCGCGTATAACGAGTTTCGCCGTTTCTTTCTCGATTTTCTTTTCATCTTCAATCGCGGATAAAAGAGATACGACCGCTCCCAGCGCTGCTTCGCCCTTACGCTCGTATTCCTGACACCTTAGGAGCTGCTCTCGCAGCATGGTCACACTCAGACAAACTCTTATTTCCGGTTGACCGTTGAGAGATATATTGCACACAGGATTCTAAAGCAAATCAACATTTTAACATTTTATGCTTCAAAAATATTTGACACGCGTTATATGAGAGCTTTGTGTATATATGAAACATTAATTATACCTTTGGATTGCAAATTTTTAAAAGTCGCAGCGTCTTGCCGCATTGTAATATCGAATCCGACAATTCTGTTAGAAATCCAGGTACCGATGCGGCATCGATCGCGAAACTGTCCGTCCAAAATTTACGTCCTCTTCTTCGCAAATATTTCGAGCGCACCTGAATCATGAATTCACCGTAAACGTCGTCGCATGTACCTTCGAACAACCAACTTTGCAACATCCTAGTAAACGTAAATCACAAATTAAATTTTACTTTTGATCGTGTTTTGTTATATGTATATATTTTGTTATATGTTTTGTGTATATATATATATACATATATAAAATACAAAAAATTGCGTTACCGAAAGTAAACCTCGCAACACGACTTTAATATCGAGTAAAACACCAATGCTACTTTTGGATTGGTGATTTTTGTCACTTCTTTGTAAATGTGCGTTAAAATCCCGCTGCCTCCATTCGTAACGAATCGATTGTATTTCACGCAACTGCATAGTTTTGCGACTTCCATAATTAAATCGGCCATTGGACGTATCCTTTCGAGCAGACTCAGCAAACCAAGAAACTTGTATCGATTGAAAATTCTGTGTAATGCCGACCGATAGTACAGAAGTAATTCTTTGATGTTACTGCACATGGCCTGCGCGCATAGTAGGTCGTATATGTAAAATAAAAAATAAGCAACATAATATAAAATTGCGGATAAATTTACGCACCTTAAATATGAGACCGTCTTGTTGCAATTTACCAGTTTGCGGATCCGTCGTGACAAAACGTGACAACGACTTGAAACTGTTACCCCAACAAATCACCTCTCGACAAGTGATTCTCAACGCATCCGAACTTATATCGCGCACACTTATATTATCTCGCAATTTGAAATCTGTCTAAAATAAAATTATAATCGTTAAGTATGATCGTACGAAAATCTGCAACTGCAAAACTTTCGAACAAATGAAACTTCTGTCTTAAATCCATACCACGGTGTTGTATTTGAAAGAATCTGAATCTATGCCAAATAACAATAACTTAACGTCCGACAGAAACTTTTCGAAAGAAATTTCTTGCATCAAGGATATAGACTGCATTGCCTGTAATGTAAAAACAAATTTTTACACGACATATTTACGGATTTGCATTGCAAAAACTTTACCTTCTTTGGCAGCAGTGATAAAATACTTGTTTGTCTTATCTTTGCTAAGTGAACTGCCGTTTCTGGCAAATCGGTGACAAACAGCAGTTCTTTGGAAGATTCTGAAGCACCAAGAGATTCCCATGTTCGTAATTTCGAGATACGGTCATTGAAAAACTGTACGTCTTTCCATATTAAGTTAATATTATAAATATTATTTTTGTTTCTAACAGTAATTTGAGATTCTTCGTTCATAAAATCACAATCATAATTATTTAACGGTACACGCGAAAGATTTTTGTTTTCTAATTGATCATTTACAGATTTGATCCATTCGCAAGGCAAAAATATATTTGACATAAATCTTTGTTTAGACAAATATAATTTGTTTGTTTGTTCAACCTGATAAAAATAAGAAAAACAATTTAATATAAGGATTAAGAAACTAATCAGAAAATATACAAAACACAATAGCGCATGTGTATAACAATCTTACCATAACGTGCATTAAAAAGGGAGTATTGTATTGGTTTGCTATATTTTCAGTGCAGCTTGATATGTGAGGAAACATTTCGATAACATCATTATTGTATCTGAAACGATAAGATTTATGTTATACAGAAAAACTTTTGTAAATGTAATAGAGATGCAGTATTTACACACAGTAAACATATTGTACCTAATTGTTTCAGTTTCCAGTATGGCTTTGGATGCACATTGATCATTGAAAGATGTTCTGCTAGCAAAATTAGTCAATGTAACTTGCCTGTGACAAGTTTTGGAAATACCTAACATGGCTTCAAATTTTTCTGGTAAAATAAAAGATTCTGTGGGATATGTTTGAAACATTGGTACGCCGTTAGTTGGTACGACATCTTGAGGCAAGCATGGGTTGTTTTTGCCATAATAAAATACATCCTGAGTAAAATATGCAGATATTAGTAGTTATCCGAATCGAATAATTTAAGTTAAAAAAAAAAAAAAAACAATAGTTACCGATACAGTTCTTGTATCAGTGTAAAAATTTTTTAGCTGTATTAACAATTGTAGAGTATGACCAATCACAGTTTCTTCATTAGTTTCTTGTGTATACAATTCATTTAGTAACTCTTCCAACTTTTTTGCCTCTGATATACGTCTTAAAGATGTCTTGAGTACAAAGGCATGCTTCAGTATCTCCACCAACGGATCAAACTTGTTGCAAACTTCCACATTCTCTGCAATCGTAATTTACAATGACAAGACACTGTTATTTTTGTGAGAGCATTTTTATTTGATTAAAAACTCAAATAGCAAACAAATCAGTTAGCAAGTGTCCAGAAATGATCGTATTAAATGACTTGGATTGAATCTAAAATGTGTCAAAGGGAGGATAAATATACCTTGTTTATAAATTTTGTTACTTTTATTTAATAATATTTCGTAAGCTTTCGAACGAAGCCGTTTCACTGTTTTGATGTCACTCTTAGGTAGTGTGTAATTGTCATTTTCCAAGCGATTTCTTCGTACAATATGTTGAACCAATTGCGTCACAAGATCGTAGACATTAGCGTCTCTTCGTTCCAATTCCATGATCAAAATATTTCCTTAAGCGACTGTTAATTAACAATTGCGACGAATCGCGCGAAACGACAATTTCTCTCATAGTGCCATAGTCAACCATAACAAACGCGCTTTTGCACGGAAATAATTCTTGACCTCTAGCGGCGGATGCAGTAACGACAAATCCCGATGTATCATACATACATACATACACATGTATATATACAGGGTGTTCGACAATTAGTTAAAAAATCTCTCGTATGCAGGTAGAAGAAGTAAAACTGAAGCGAAAAGTCCTGAACCATTTTTTTCTATTACATGTAATAAAGGAGTAATTATTGAATAAATCAAGCCAATCAGCGCCGACCTTTAGCCGGGCGCACGTCAGTGAGCCGCGCAGAGTGCTCACGCAACTAAGCGCGTGATTTACTGACATGCGCCCGGCTAAAGTTGGCGCTGATTGGCTTGATTTATTCAATAATTACTTCTTTATTACATGTAATAGAAAAAAATGGTTCAGGACTTTTCGCTTCAGTTTTACTCCTACCTGCCTACGAGAGATTGTAAAGTAACTGTCGGACACCCTGTATACATAAATCGCGCGCCACTTCTTCCGAGACCTCTATTTATCATTTCTAGTAACTAAAAGTCTATACAGTACGCGTCGCGTAAACTATAGATCTTTAGTACTTAAAATAAATACGTCGGATGGAATTATTCCATAGCAACAATATCAACATGAGTTTATTTAACAAGGATCGACACTAGTACAGTTTCAATGTGACTCCATCTTTCGTGACATACATCGATACAATACTATGAAACGAGATCATCAATCTCTGTCGCGCGACAAATAACGACTGTGTGTGAAAAACGATGTAATAGTTGCTGCAAAAAAAAACAAAAAAAAAAAACAGTTATACAAGAGGAAAACACGAAAAAAATAAAGACTTGTATACATAATATAATGTAGTATTAATTTTATTGTGATATTACACATATGCACACATACATGCGTATCACGCATATATCCTCTTTTTATATATATATAATATATATATGTACTATGTAATTGCATGTAATACATAATATACATATATATGTATATATATCGTGCGTAAACACTTATTGATCACTCGCGACGTATCATGTGTATGCATATAAATTTTTATGTAGATATATCTTCGCACAACACGTATGTATGTATATATATGTATAATAGTAACATACGTGATCGCATATACGTATGTGTCAACACTGTACAGCGTATAGTCCATCTACCAATTATCATCCAAAACCTCCCTTATGCTCGCACACGGCTCTCCTGTATAATTTTCAACTATAGAAAAATAACGTTTCAGATAAACGTCATATATCGCTCGCGAAAGGTGCAAAAAAATAAATTTTGTTTTTTTTTTTGTTTTTGTTTTGTTGCACCACGCTCTCGCACCAACTCTCTCATATATAACGCAACTTACAGTAGTACCTCGTTAAGCGTAAAATTTTAAGATTTCAGAAAAAAAAGGCAGGATTGTTTTTTTCTGGAACGAGTCGTGTCTAAAGAAAAAAACATTTCGGTTGCGGAAAAAAAGGACCGCTTTTCCCGTTTTTTACCCTATGTTGAAAAAACTGAAGGATAAAATGTGAGAAATTTTGTGTTTTTTTTCTTAACAGGGTATTACTGTGTACATCCGATACCGTCTACTTTCTTCTCTTCCGTATCTTTTTTTTTTGTTTTTATTTTTGTTTCGTAAACCTAATGCTACGTGTCGTTTTTTCTCTACAACGCCGATGTTCTCCGACAAATTACAATTAACTACGATTGCACGAGAAAAGTAAACTGCAAGGGAAATCGAGTTTGGCATCGTTATTATCGACAATAGCACAATTTCTTTCTCTTCTTCCTTTACTCCCTCTCTCTCTTTCTTTCTTTCCACAGCACGTACATTTTACAAAATTTAACCTTCTTTTTATCTGAAACAGTTTCTTCTACGTTAAGAAAAAAATGAGAAGACTGTTTTAGATGATAAAATTAGGTGAACCATCCCGTAATATGTACCACAAAACTCGTTACGTACGAGCAAACCCGGGATGATGAGAAGTCTGGAAAATTTCAGCGAATACTGCAAATTCTCCGATATTTTGACATGTATGGATTCTTTAGGAAACTTCTTCAGAAAATTTTTTTATGTGCCTATATGTATGTATGTATGTGTGTATGTGTGTGTATATGTGAAGCCAATCTGGCCTGTTCAAGTAGATTTCACTGTAAGTGAAACCGCGTCCTTATACTAACTAATAAATGTAAAACAAGGCTTTCTATTTTGTTTCTTCTGGCTCCGAAAACATCTTTTCCCAACAGAGAACATCAATATTATCAATGTTACAAAAGCTCGTTTTCCTAGATTCCCGTCCGCTAAGTTTTTATATTCTTACTCCTCCTCCTCGTTGCTCGCGATACGACACAGTGTGTGTGTGTGTGTGTGTGTGGGATTGGACGCTCTCTTTCTCTAATAATCTAATAATCTTAAAACTCATGTCTATTGTGTGTCTGTTTCTGGTGGAACATTCGATTGAGCGTATTAAATTAAGAACGCTACTTGTAATAATATATATACATATACATATATACATATATACATATACATATATATAGTGTGTATATATGTATATGGATATATATTCACGATCTATATATATATATAATTTCTCTCTCTCCCTCCTCTCGTGTATCATTTCGCTAATTCTTACTCGCGACGCCGGATTCGGTTGCAAGCAACAACGGTACGAAAATCGCGCGAGTGATGTTGGTGTACTTTTCTCGACATAAATTCACAAATAAATCGCGTTTTTTTTTTTTTTTTTTTACTCCATTCAAAATTCATTTGGATTATATATTTCTTTCCGGTTTCTATTTTCTTGTTGCTTATTTAATAACTCGGCTAAACACTGAAATGGCACACGTAACATCATCACATTATTGCAATTTGATGTACCAGAACAAGAGTTGTTATTATCCTATATTTCGAATGACTTTCCGCGCGTACGCGATTAAATAAGCTCCATTTATATATACTATAATTTTTCGAAAAGTTTAATAAATCATAAAAAGAAAGTGCTTGATCAAATATATGTATCTCATACATATATATATATATGTGTGTGTGTGTGTACATATACACACACACACACACACACTTTTGTTGAAAAAAGTTCATTTTCATTTCAATCAAAAGACACGAAGTTTAAAAGGACAGGAGAAGTTATTCCGCTCGTCGTTCTTTCTCTTAGAAGTTAGATTTTTTTTTCTGTGAATTTATACACACAACAGTCTCTGTAATTCCTACGGGACATAGAAATGATGCTTGATCTCGGTTATGTGCAGTCTAAAGCGGGTTATGCAGTTAAAATAAAAATGATGTTTGCAGTGTGTTCGACGATAGGCAAATAATGCAAGGTAAATATAATGTTCTACGTAGCAAGATACTAAGTATATCAATTCAATGATCGTCCATTTCATGGACACGTTGACGTTTAGGTTGCGGCACCTGATGTTCCGGCGGTTCAGGACTCTCGACGATCGCGAGCGGAGCTGGAGAACCCGGCGAACTGTCTGACTCGTCATGAGTACGTTTGCTAATCCCCCCGACGCCAGCATCGGGACCGATAAAATTTCCACTATTTTCAGAGAGATCATTAGTAAACTCGCATTTTGTTTTGTCGCGAAACAATATGTAGAAATTCTACAAATTGTGTACCTGTAATTATATGTCGTTTGTACAATAACAGGAGCTGGACTGTACTGGCCAGCTGGAGATAAAGAGTGATCCTCTACAGCATTTCCAGGCACCAAATATTTTTCTATTTTAATTAAAAAATTCAGGTTGTGAGAAAACAAATTACAAAAGCAAAACTCAGATATTCTCAGCAAAGGAAGAGAAATTTGAACCTTCTCTTGCCGCGTCTGCACTGACACCGTTCGTTACAACTCCTGTCTGTATTAAACGTCCCTTGTGAGATGACTGAGTCGACGTGTACGGGTGACCAGGAGAACCAGGCGCGGATTGACTTGTTGCAAGTTGCCCAGCTGGAGAAGGGACTGAACTATCAGGATATGATTCAGGACCTGGGGAAGCCTCTCTACTAAGACACTCCGGTGTCATCAATCCACTGATACCCACGTGAGACGGTGAAGCTGGTGCGCTTCTGTTGACATTATGACGTATTAAACAGCTTATCTATTGCATCATACAGCATGGATAATTAATTGCTGATGTTACCTAGATGACAATGCTCCGAAAGGAGGGCGGAAACAAGGTACACCACGTTGTCTTCTTCGTCTGAATGCCTGATCGATCAACTTCGCCTCCGACTGAGGATCTATTTTCCAAAAGGAACCTTTTCCTGGTTCTTCTTGACTTCTGGGTACCTTGATAAAGTAGCGATTTAATGATAGATTATGCCGAATTGAATTTTGCCAACCCTTATCCGCTGTTCTATAATAAGGGTAGTTTTTTGTGATGTAAGAATAGATGCCTGACAATGTGAGTTGTTTATCTTGCGCCGATGCTATCGCCTGCACGATCAGTTGCGCATAAGAATACGGTGGCTTTGACTCGTCCTTCGGTGGACTGTAGTGTGGCGCAGTGCCATTTGGGCCGGAACCGTTTCCGCTTCGGTAACGCGTATCAGCACCGGGTTCGGGACTAATTTGTCTGCTGGAACTTTGTCCGCCCTCGTGCCTCTCCAAAGTATGCCTATCTAAAGAAGAATTCTGTGGATCGTTTGCCACCGCAGCTGCATATGCTGCCACCATCTGCAGATCTGCGGATACATTTCGTCTGTTCTGACCGGCGCGTGGACTTGCTGGACAAGAATTAGCAGCGCTGATTGTTCCTGTGGGCGATGGAAACGGACTGCTGTAACCAGTATCCGGGATATTTATCCGAAGCGGTGGTAAGGGCGCTCTCTGTTTAGGTGGAGATGGCACGCGAACGTTACTTTGTTCCTGTTCGTCCACAAGTGACTGGAATACCAATCTTATCGTTGTACTCGGAAATCTGAATGTACATCTGTAACATTTAAGATTTATGTGACAAATCAAGTTTTACATCAGTTTGTGTATTATATCATGGAAATTGCATGAAACAAATTTATTGCCTAGGGCGATACATACATCAGATATTTACTGTACCTATATGCTATATGTATCACTCATATATGCTACTTATATTATTTTATTACTCTTTCATTCAATAATAAATTTTCTTCTCAATCTCTGAATTGTAGTTTGTAAAGTCAATCTGTTTACATTATGAGTCATGTGACTACATTTAGCATTTCTATCTCTTTTTAGCTGTTTTTTATCTTTTACTACCGCATCCTTTTGACGACTATTCCCTGGTTATTGTTTTCACTTATATTTTTCAATCCTATTGTCAACAACATTGTTAGATTAAGTTACAACAGATTTGGCATATCGAGACAGTAAAAACGTAACAGTGTCATTGATAGCGCAATCATCTAAGTTGGTATTTATTGCACGTATCAACCAATGATGAGAAAAAAAAAATGATGAGAAGATTTGTTGTTTCGCGGGCAAGTAAATAAGAGATCCAAGCGACTTACGTCTTTGGCAGCTGAAAAGGTGGAGCGCCCTTACGTTGAAACACTCCGTCAACGAATACACCATTCTTGCCGTTGCACGTCATGAAGAAAAACGGATGATCATAGTGAATTTCGAGATGCCGTCGCGAGATAAAACTGGAGTGGCCCATGTTGACGTCGACCTCACCCTTGCTGCTGTTGCGGCCGATCGTGATACGCCGCTGTCTAACCATGTACTCGAATTCGCGACCCTCGAGTCGCGCTATCGGTGCGCCTTTCGATTCCGGATTCCACTGCATCTTCGTCGGACTGGCCGGTGCCGACTTCAATGCCAGCAGAGCCCACGCGTCGCTCTCCTGGGTACGAGAGTACGTAGACATAGCACCGAGAGAGCGTATGAGCCGTAGTGTAGTTGAGAGCAGCACGGGAAAGAAAGGAAGACAGAGTTGGGCAAAGTAAGAGTGAGAAAATGTGAGAGAGGGAGAGAGCAAGAGACACCGAGAAAAGTGCAACAGAGATGGCGCGATTCGAGAAAGAGAGACCGAACGATTGATAGATTAGCCGCTATATAGAGATTGTAAGATAGACCGACGGACGCGTAGGCAGATGCGTTAGATAAATTGATACGCGAGGTGCAACACCGGTAAAAATGAAAGAATACAAATGTTCTTGCGTACAGATATATAGATAATGACAAAGATGACACACGCGACAGAGAGACGAAGCAACCGATGTAGGTGACGAGAGAGAGAGAGAAAGAGAAAAGGAGTGTGTGTGTGTGTGTGAGAGAGAGAGAGAGAGAGAGAGAGAGAGAGAGAGAGAGAGAGAGAGAGACGGAGAAGGAGAATGCCGGGTACAACAAAAACGTGTGCGAGAAAAAGCTCGCGGAGGAAAAGAAAATTCTGGCCGACAAAGGTGGTCTGTAAGTGAGACGAGGCGAGGCGACACGCAAGGGAAACACGTACGGATGGGACTCGCGTAATCCACCACACACGCGAGTATACTCGCGCGAAATATGGCCGTTTCTCGAACTCTCCTTTCTCCGCACCAATCCCCGGCGCGTGTCTCTCTTTTCTCTGTGTGACTTGGTGTGTCTTCACGCGCGCCGCGAGTGCGTTCGTTGGTGTGTGCGTGCGCGATATATATATGTACACACATATACGCGTGTATGTGTGCGTGTGTGCGCGCGTGTGTAATATATATATATATGTTAATACACGGCGTTTCACACACCGCGTGCGCGCCCGCGCGCTTGTTACGTTATGCACACACGATCAACAAAACTTACGATACCGCGCGCACGAGACTTCCTCTCTTACATACGTTAAAAAAAAAAACAAAAACGATATTTAAGCACACCTTCCAGTCGTTTTGTTTCTTTATTCCTGCTATCCGACAGGTCCCGGGGATCACGTGCGTGTCTTTCTTTCCTTTTTGTTTGATTTTAACCGATAAATCGAGCAAACGAGCAGCAACAACGAGGACGACGTCGTTTCACGTTCGACTTTGACGATCGTAGTAATCTTGCGCGCAAATATTTTCTTCTCTTCTTGTTTACCGACAATCCGAAACGTGGGTGGCCACACGTGACACGACAACCGCGAATCGGCGCCTCATTCGAACGATGCGAAAGCGCCAAGTTCGCGTTCGAGAAGTGTCACTCAAAAACCGGCGACGTACGGATTTTGCATCCGACGACACACGCCGAAAGATCGCGTGACAACGTGAAAATAAAATCAGTTCAACAATTCCGACGGCTTCGGCTATTTCCCGTTGAAATCCGCACCGTAATTACGTGTTATTAATTGAGTGACATCTACAATGACCGGCACTTATAACAAGACGTGTTCAGAAAGTAAATGTTACACCTGTGCCGGCGTTTTTCTCTGCCCCCCCGGGTTCAGACGGTGCACATCCGTTCGCTCGCGCGCGGCGTCATCGCGAACGCGCGTGACCTTCGCGGATTTTGCGCACTCACACACACACACCTTTCCAGATGCCAAATATCGTATCGTGCAAGGTGCAGCGCGGTGGGGATGAGGCATAGCGCGACACTGGAGAAAACGTAGAGTTACAAAGTTTTTTTTTGTTTTTGTGTTTTTAATTCGCGCTCGCTGTTGTGTTGTGTGGCTGTTTATCTCGCAATCTTGTCGTCAAGTCAGCCGAACGCGACGAGCGAACACAAAAGTCGGATCCCGATCGATGACCGAGATTCTCATGAGAGTCATCGAGACACACCGCCGACACACGTCGTGCATCACGATGCGGTAGCTTTCACCAGGAGCTGCTGCTGCTGCTGCTCGTCGTTCATCGCCGTGATATAAGTTCCGTCCGCGTATTCTGTGTATACACGGAGACGGCAAGCTTAGAACAACAGGACGAGCATCTCGCCCAGGGTCACTTGCAGTATGCTCAGGGTTTGCAACAGGCGGATATTATGGCTGCAGGTGATGCCAGCACGGCGAAGCCTCGTCAAGAGAAGCAGTACGATTACCTGCTCAAGTTCCTGCTGGTGGGCGACAGCGACGTCGGCAAACATGAGATCTTGAGTGGCCTTGAGGACGGAGCCGCGGAATCGCCATTCTGCAGCGGTAGCGGTGTGTGTCTCCTTAAATTTCAGGCTATGCGTTGTTCCCGGAACGAACAACAGAATTATGTATGTCAAAAAAAACAAATATGTTGAATCTTGAAGGTAGTGATTGCCGTTGGCAATTGTAATTTCTCATCGTGTGACAAATTCGTTTCTGTTTCTTTATTGACAATTTGAGGTCTAAAAAACTTTCAATTACTGGTTTTTTTTTTTAGCTTACAAAACTACTACCATTCTGTTGGATGGGAAACGAGTGAAGCTGCAATTATGGGATACCTCGGGTCAAGGTAGATTCTGCACTATCATTCGGTCTTATTCCAGAGGTGCCCAAGGTATACTTCTAGTGTATGACATTACTAATAAATGGTCCTTCGACGGCATCGATAGATGGCTAAAGGAAGTGGAAGAGGTTAGCAATCTAAGTTTATATTGCAGGATACACAGTTTTTTGTTTTACTACAATAATAGTTTATTATTTAGTAGTTAGAAAAATTTATATAATTGTAAATTATATGATTTTTATATAAATTGTAATTGCACTTTGCAAAATTTTACAGCACGCACCTGGAGTACCAAAAGTATTAGTTGGCAATCGTCTACACTTGGCTTTCAAGAGACAAGTGGGACAACGAGATGCAGAGGCTTATGCGGCTAAAAATCGAATGGCATTCTTTGAAGTCTCACCTCTATGCGACTTCAATATTCGAGAAAGTTTCTCCGAGCTTTCTCGCATGGCTTTGCACAGAAACGGCATGGAAAGATTATGGCGATCCAACAAAGGTACCAATCTATATTTTTCATCAAGTTACTAGTGAAAAGATTAAAAAAAAAAAAAAAAAAAAACAAAAGTCTGATCTTGATAATTTTGATAATTTGTGCAGTGCTCAGCCTGCAAGAATTAGCATGTCGCGCGATAGTCGCCCGAACAACAGTTTACAGTATCGACCAGTTGCCGTTACCCAAGACGATCAAGTCGCATTTGAAGTCGTACGCGATGACAACCACTTCCCAGCTTCGCTACAGCTGCAACCGTTCACTGAGCTCCAGCAAGAGCTTGGGGTCTCATCATTGGAAGTTACGCTTTGTTGGCCACAATAACGTGCTGTCGACACCCGGCAGCATCGTAGACTCTCGTACAAGCTGCGTCGGTCGCAATTCATGCACAGTATCTTGAGATTTAACAAGGAAGACTCTACAGAGTAGTGTTTCAACATTACTTACAAACAAAAACACGCAGCAATCAACGTTCTTCCTTCTTGCTCTTCTCCCCCTTTTCCTCATTCTATCGAGAATACGAACGAGAATACGTGTTTTACGATGTTGTTATCATAAATTCATAGTAATTGCCGTTAGATTATCATGTGATAGAGAATTATACATGTGTGAAATATTCCGACTTGTCACCTCGCCAACGTTGACAGGACATGCTTGTTGCGTTTTATATAGTACGAGATACAAATTTTCTATTCGTATATAAGTTTGACATTCAAGAAACCGTGCGCAATTTTATGACGAACAATTTATAACGAGCTTAAAACAGCCAATTGTGTCTCGTACACCCGTGCCATCTGTTACACGAGATAAAGAGATATGTTGTGTATGTTACGCATAATGTTACGACATGTATAAGCCAGAGAAATGCTAGATCATATCGTGAATATATGTCGTCGATCACAGATCATCTCGTACGTATTTTCCATCAACCGGAAGAACCGTTGGGATTACAAGAAGAAAGAGAGAGAGAAAAATTACACATGTGCGTGCGTCGATCGAGACACATTGTGGTTACTCGAGAATGTGCCCATACTTCAATAGTTCTTTTAAGTCGTTTTTTTTTTTTGGCCGTTATTTGAAACACGTCTTCACAAACGTATCTCTGTGCGGAACATACAAATTTTCGTTTCTGAAACGTAAGCTTGCAAGAGCAATGAGTAATGAACTGAAAAGTACAAGTTTGCTAAGTCTACGGTGGTTGTGGTGTAGACTAATAACGATAGCATATAAGCGCGTAGAGAGTTTAGAGCAGCTAATTCGAGAGATAAATTAGCGATATAAATATTATATACATATATATATACATACATACACATATGTGTATATATATATATATATAAAAATTATATATATAAAAAATACGGAGTCCGAAAACAAATTTAATATATTTATATATACTTCCGATATACACTGTGCTTGTCCCTTGTGTGTGTGTAAGTTTTATTATCGAAAGCTATCGATCGCCAAGTGCACGGGGAAGAGCTATATTTTTTAAAGAGACGGTTTTATAAACAGCAATAAATTTGACTGTTTGTCCTATCCATACGATATGAGATTTTTACATTATTTATAACAATCGAATTGATGTAATTTATTTCCTCGACATTTTATTTCTTTTTCATGTGTAATTTTATAAAATTGTGAGAAGAGATTAAAGTTTTTCTCTCTCTATTTAAACGAAATACAAAAAAGAAAAAAAAATACCTCGAATTGTATTTAAACGTACTGCCTTATTTAATTTCATCCGAATATAAAATGCCAAGCTGTGTACAGTGTAAGATTGCAGGAGATGCGTTTGTGTGTAATATAGATAAACAGATAGGTTGATAGATAGATAGATAGATAGAAAAACCCACCCGATCTCTAACGATATATCTGTACAAAATTATTCAATACCAGAAAAGCACACGAGATGTATTTATATATATATTACATTGAATTTTTTTAACTAAATTATATGTACATAAAAAAATTTATTATAATTGTTATATTTATATATATTTATACGCATGTGTATACATATATAAAAATATAACACGATGTGCTTTGTCTTGTGAAATGTATTAAATAAACTTAACACTTTGCATTAATAACATAGTGCACGATATGTGCATATAATCAATATGAAAGATTTCAGATCCTACATCGGGCATAAAATTTTTCTTTATTATGTTTATATGCATTTTTTTTATTTTTTTTTTTTTATTTTTTTAAAGAAGTGACGTTTTCGTGCGTGAAAATCGATTTAAAAGGGGCCACTTGAAACATTTAACGCAAAAGTAGAAAATGCCGTCCCATGTTAGAAAAAAAAGAAACTTTTTCTAATTTAATAAAAGAATAAATTTGTTGAGAATAGAAAATATTAAGTCTGTGTTCTGTATGCTTTTTGCTATACATGTAATACACATTTCTAGTTTTTATTACATAATTTTAATTTTTTCAAGTTTAGCTACAGCTAAATTTGTTACTTTAATCAAATTTAGTTCTACTGATACATTTACCATTTCTAGAAGTGACAGAAATTGGCAACATGTTTTTTTAAAAATTTTACTGGTTTTTTTTTTTTTTTTTTTTTTATTATTACTCTAAGCACTGCAGCTTTCGGTGTAATCAGTATGTACTCTATCTACAGTAATTCTAACGTAATGTAACAGCAAACGTGACCTGATTTTGATTTACATACATGAAGATTCAATTATAAGTACTATAAATTGTCAAGTTAAAACACATACAATTGTATATTGAAAATAAAACGATTATTTATGAACATACATAGCATAAACATTTAAATAATCCGTTCATGAATACTTTGATATAAAACACAATTGTATGGCAAAGTCACCGTTCATTGGAAATAAGTGTGTTATATATTTCATCTTATAGTGCATAATTGTTAAAATAAATTCTAAATCTAATCTAAATTTTAGTTACAGCATTCAAAAATTTGTAGCTTACAAAGAAGAGTTTAATATTGCAATAAAAGAATTTAAAGAGATTGATATGTGGAAGAGTCGCATGTGTTTTATAACCGATACCAATAATTAATAACATAATTCTTTTCTTAAAGAAAAAATATATATCTTATGTATATATGTGTATAAATATATATATGTGTGTATATATATACTTATAAAGATGTAATAACAGTAGATTGTTTTGTAATAAACTTAGTTTATGTTTAACATAATTAACAACTTAATGTATCTAATGTTTTTTTTTTTTTTTTACTATCCAAAGTGACTACACGAACTTATATAAATTATCGACGTCTGAGTATTTGATGAATTATTAGCATAAATATATAAAACAGATAATTATTAAAAATTGTTAACTTTGAGACCATGAGAATAAAAGACACTCTTAACACTAATAAATATTATATGTATATCTCTATATCTCCACAAATATAATATCATAAAATATATCGTTTAGATTGTTGAGAAAACATATCAGATAAAGAATATTCTAGTGATTGAGGATTTTTTTTTTTTTTTTATGAACATCACGTAAATGAAAGCTATAGTATGCCAATATTCGAGTATAAGCTAAACCTTAATATCATTACAGCTTATAAACTTACATGTATATACATTCATATATATATATAATATATATGCTTACATTTTATATTAATATTAATGCTCATCACAACAATGTAATATTTTTCTAAGAAAATTGATATATTTATCAACACTCAATTAAGACATAAAGACAAGTTTTATGGACAGCCAACATGTGTTTAATATCTATTCGAAAGAAAAAAAAAAAAAAAAACTCAAGTAGACATTTTACGCACACATACACATGCGCACATTTTCACAGACACACAAGGACAAAAAAATTTATAAAATATTAGTCTTAGACGAAACTACTGACCAAATAAAACAAATGTTTTCAACATAAAATTTATAACCAGATGTCGATATCTCAAAGTGTTTACTGCCTACATTTATTTCTTTAGATATTTTCACGATTATCATATTCAATCCTTCCTTCTTTTTCTTGACATACATACACTGTTGTTCAAACAAATTCATCTAATCTTTTATCAGGTAGCAAATAGATCTCATAAATATTCTTTCTAAAAAATCTTCTTTGAAAAATATCTAAAAAACTTTTTTCACCAAACGTTTTTAAGAATTTGTTTTAAAAGTATAATTATAAAAAATGGTTCAATAAATAATAAACTTCAATAACTTAAAAAATACTGAATGTCTCTGATATGATTCAAATTATATCAGCATAACAATAGCGAACGATGAATAATACTCGTAAGGACATTATTTTACCGAATAACAAACACATTAATAAACGTTAAAATGAGAACTATTAAGAAATTTATTTCAATGTAAAAATTGTGTTACAATATAAATATTAAGATAATTTGTAAATTAACTTCATTGCTTATAGTAAATAGGCATTCTACTTCGTACAATTATGTTATCTTTATTAATACTCTGCTAAGAATATTTCAAAGACTAAATTTATTGTTCTAAATTTTTCTTAGATTCGGGGAAAATTAGATGTGGAAGCAAAAGTCACGATCGATAAACAAATTTCGAAAGCGTTATGACACTGGTAATTGATAAAACGAATTTTTATGAGATCTGTATGCTAGGAAAGAAAAGAGACAAATCATGTTTCTCAGCAAAAAGGTATTGACTTCACCTGAACTCATAAATCTGTATACTGTGTTCGGGGACGTGCCTCAGATTCAAAGATTGATACCTGAAATTTATAAGAGAAAATTTTATAAATTTAAATATAAAATTTCATTAAATCACATATAAATTATTCTAAATAGACTTCGTACATGTCTTTTAGAATTTGTACTCTACCATTCAGAACTACGATGATAATAAAAGCCTTCTATGGTGGCGGCAGATTTCTGGAAGCAGATATAATAGAATCCTGCGAAGGAGGCACCATTGATATCTTTGATTGTATGATCAGGAACCAAAAAGTGTTCTTTCCATCTCATAAATACAAAATCTGTTCCTTTCAGTGCCTCGTAATCAAAAGTGTCCGAATTAAATGTCTTGGCATATTGGCAGAAAGATTCAAACTTGCTCTGCAATGACAATGGTTTTCTTTGTCTTTATGAACATGGAATAAAACAAAAGATACTGTCACACATGTGTGACACTTATCTCTTTCAAGTGTGTATCACACATACGCAACATAAAAATGACAAAATGTAATTAACATCAGCTTAGGAGAGATAAGTAATAATAACACAAACCCAATGCTTTTTGTCAACGTCCTCATCCGCATCCCACTTGCGAGTCAGAAATGGATATTTCTTGGAGATAATTTCACCATCAAAAAATGTTGTCAATGTTGGAAATTCTTCGGTCAGACCTTTGATTTTTAGATATCCACATAGATAACTATTTTCCTCATCTACATGCTAAAACATAAACACACATGTATGTAACATAAATTCTGACATGAGAGTGTGTATTCAAATTGAGTTTTGCAGCAGAAGCTGCAGATGAGATTGTCACCTGATGTTTTACAGATACAAGCTGTCAACAACCAGTTGGTTAAGCTTACCATTTCACACACACATACAATTTATATTAATTTACAAATTACATACAAATATATCTGCGACAGCCTCGGCAATGCTGTTCGGGGAGAGAAAAGAGAAGAAAAAAAAGATCGCGCGAAATAAGTTTGTTTTTCGTACGTCATCGTCGAACGCATCTGATCTATTTTGGTGATGTGCGCGATTCTTGAACGTTGAGGCGCAATTTCCGAAAAACGAGGACAAACAACGACGGTGGAAGTGGAGAGGAGGGGAGCGAAGAACAAGCGAGAGAAATGCTAACCTGCAAAACCACCTCCACGTCGTAACTGTTGCCCTTGGATTTTTGCGAGCCCTGAAAGCGGGAGCCGTTATAGAGCAGCGATTTTGTAACACCCGGCTGTTTCGAGTTCGCAGGCGGCGGTGGTACCACATCGACCCTCACTGGCATCCTCGATCGGTGCCCTGAGCGAACGAACAGCACGACGTTTAATCGTTGTCCACGACGACGACGACGACGACGGCGACGACGCGCGACGCGGCGCCCCGCATATCACAATGGAGATACCGCAATGATTGCCGGTAATCCGCGAGATATGGACGTATTTATACGCGAGCCTCGAACCCAGACCGCGACTCGGACCCCCGCGGGGTCTTACATGTCCGTATATTTTGCGCGACACAATTTGTATGATCCGCTCGATGACGCGGTTTCACAGCATCGCACCTTTCGTCGCCGCTCTCGACATTGCGGTTTGCTCGGCAAACTTCTATCTATCTCATGCCAACGCGCGCGACGTCCCCGTCCGTGTTTCGGCGTGTCGGCGCGTGAAGCAACGAACGCAATCAGAATTCTTTCGATAAGAAAGCGATGGAAACTTCGCGCACACACTCGAAATGGCGACCGTTCGAATTCGAATGATTCGAATTGAATGTTTTCGCGTGGAGAGTGTGTAATCAATTAATATTATTATTAAGGATATAAACGCGCGACAAATCATTTGACAAATGATGCGTATGCAACGAAAGGTTATTATTATTGTTAAATATACATACGTTCAAATTGTACATAAAATTGAAAAGAAATTTGCCAACGAGATGGATTAATTGCGCGTCATTAATTGCGATTGGTTGATTCGCGATTTTAATTGATCAGTTTCGCGCTGGCGAAACTGGCCGTAAATCTACACAATTTTTATTGTATTTTATATTTTTCTATCACTCTGAATGTGCGCTTTAAATTACATTTGCAATGTGTATATACAGGGTGTTTGACAACGAACTATAAAGCCGACGTGTGTAGGTAGATCGGGTCATTCTGAACAGAAAAGTTATATACCATTTTGCAAAATCCGCAATATTTATTGAGAGATATGAATTAATAAATATAAAGTCAATGAAGGCAGAGGCGGAGTAAACAAACAAGCGCGGCACTCAGTTTTTTGCGATCGGGCGCTATTCGGCGGTACGTAGAGGCAAGCGAGGAGTAGAGCTGATAATTGTGAACGCCTATAGAGTCCGATCATCGCTCCCCGCGCTCTCATTGGTTCACATTTATTAATTCATATTTCAATAACTATTGCGATTTTTTCAAAATGGTAAATAACTTTTCTGTTCAGAATAACTCGATCTACCTACACACGTCGGCTTTATAGTTCGTTGTCAGACACCCTGTATACATATATATGCAGGGTGTCCGACAATTACTTAAAAATTTCTCGTAGGCAGGTAGAGAAAGTAAAACTGAGTCAAAAAGTTCTGAACCATTTTTTTCTAGTACATATAATAAAGAAGTAATTATTGAATAAATCAAGCCAATCAGCGCCGACCTTTAGCCGAGCGCATGTCAATGAACGCTTACGCACACCAAGCGCGTGATTTACCGACGTGCATTTGCTTGAGTTATTCAATAATTACTCCTTTATTATATGTAATAGAAAAAAATGGTTCAGGACTTTTTGACTCAATTTTACTTCTTCTACTTGCCTACGAAAGATCTTAAAGTAACTTTCGGACACCCTGTATATATACATAAAGTAGAAAGTAAAGCAAAACAACAGGAAACGAAATCAGACGGCGTTACTGTCGGAGTTTTGATTTTGCGCAGGCGCAATTTTGAATTAATATTACCGACGAGAGTTGCGCCACTGTAAATAGGTACAGTGTCTATGGTCAATAGTCAATTTTGGTGTCAAAGCAAGCATGGCGGATTTCAGCGACACGAATTCGCATGAAATGACAGAGAACCATGTTAACAAACGGTGCAATAATCAGTGGGTACGTTTGAATGTGGGTGGAACGTATTTTTTAACAGCGAAGACCACCTTGGCGAGGGATCCGAACTCGTTTCTGTACCGGCTCTGTCAGGAGGACTCGGATCTTATTTCGGACAGGGTTAGTTGACGTTTGTTTCTTACCGGGAATTTTAAACGAGTTTGATTTTAGAAATAAAATCCGGGAGACGTTCGCTCCGCGAACTTCGCGTCAATCGGAGAAACATTTGAATTTCATTCGCGACATGACGTTCTTCTTTTGAAGCAAAAATAGTGGCGTGGACTTTGTGTGTGTTTTTTTTTTAAGGACGAAACGGGAGCGTACCTGATAGACCGCGATCCCACATACTTCAGTCCAGTTTTAAATTACCTGCGCCACGGAAAGCTGGTCATCAACAAAGATCTGACAGAAGAGGGTGTGCTTGAGGAGGCGGAGTTTTATAATATTACGGAACTTATTCGACTAGTCAAAGAAAGAATCATGCTGAGAGACACTCGACCACAGAGAGATTTTAAGAAACACGTTTACAGAGTTATTCAGTGTCACGAGGACGAATTGACGCAAATGGTATCGACAATGTCGGATGGATGGAGATTTGAACAGGTAATTGTAGACTGATTAAGTTTTTGTATTTTTTCAACTTAAACAATGACTTGTAATGATATTTTCTCTCATCAGTATATTGACTCTTTTAACAGAGTGTGATTTATATATTTGCGTTTTATTTCTTATTTTCTAGCTAATCAACATAGGTTCTCAATATAACTACGGTAATGATGCTCATGCTGAATTTCTGTGTGTTGTAAGCCGAGAATGTGGAGCTAGTCAGCTCAACAGTAAGGAAGAAGAATCCACAGATCGTGTCAAGGTACCATTATCCTATTCAACTGTTTCCCATCCTTATTTGAGTAGCCATGGCTGATGCGATTATTTTATGGTTTTGTTACATCTGGTAATACATACAATAGTTTATACAAATTTATTGTCTAAGGTTCAATCACATTCTTATTAAAAATATTGTTTAAGCGAAACTTTGTTATTCTAAGTTAATTTGTGTCAGTATTATATCTTCTATGTTGGGTTGCATGAGATGTTTATTATACAAAAACAACATAAATATTTAACTATTTTCTCAGCTGGGAATTCACACTTTTCTATCTTTAAGAAAGGGTTGTGTGATAAACTCTCTCTGAGCACTTCACTGACATACAAGAAAGAAATTTTTATTTTTTCAAGTAAAATTTGTCTTTGCAATCCAACATTGATTTCTAACGCTACTGTGAAATCAAATAACACTTTTATCACTTCTGATAAGGTTAAACAAAAGCAGTATTATTTTTGGTATATTAACAATCTGCCTATACTGACAATTGGGTTGAGTAGAAGACCAAAGATAAGCTTTATCACTTTTTATATATACTCAATAAATTATATATATATGTATATATATACATACATACATATATATATATATATATATGATATATACATACACAAAAATACGTATCATAATTACAAAATCAAATCTTATCTCACGTTTTATGTAAATCACGCTTAATTTAGCTAAACCATTTCTCTATTTACATTTTCTGCAATATATTTTCAACAAATGCTTAGAATTATTTTGCTTGATCATTTTAAGAGAGAGCAAACGACATGAGAAAGAAAGGAATTTTGTTGTAGATGTAAAATTTTCAGCAGCAGATTTTATTAGGTGGCTTAATTTTTTCTGCGAGTAAAATATGTAGACAAATCTGAATCACCATTTTTTTTCTTTTTTTTGTTTTATCTTATAGATTTTTTCTATGCATATATATATGTATATATGTTGCACATAGAGAGGATACATATGTTGATATTACATATATATATATATATATATGTATGTACATACATACATACATAGGAGTATATACATATGTATATACTTACCCCATATAGGGATATATGTATATACATATGTAAACTTAAAAGCAACATAAAGGACCACCTAATAATCTATAAGATTCAGAGGCCTGTTCGCATGAGCATGTTCTGCCTCTGATATTTGTCGTATGTATCATATTATTATTATTATTATTAGTATTATTATTATTATTATTGTATCGCATGCAGTTCGTTAAATAAAGAAGTTTTTCTTTCATTGGTTTGGTTACTTTACGCCCCGTGACCTGCATGAATCATTGTTGCATGCTAAATTTATTCATCATATCCTTTTCCCGTTATTGTTACATAAGAGTGAATTGTTTACAATGTGGTTTACATAATGGTTTATATAATGTGGAGAATTAATTTTTAAAGTAATGTTCTCTCTCTACTAATATAAATTTGCTTTCAAAGAGAGGGTTTAGCTTTTGAGAACTAAAATATAATCATAATTAATATAACTATATAGTATTTTTTATGTTGTGAGAATTTTGTATATACATAAAATATGAACAATAATATAACAGAGGCCGAACAATTAATTTTAATTTTATATACATATGTATGTATACAATTATATATGTACACTTTTCATATATGTATATATAAAATTAAAATCTATATACAAATTTATACAATTTCTGTTTGAAAATTTGTAATTAAGATTAAGATTTATATTATAAGTGAAGTGAGATCATAATATGTTTTTATTAAGCTCAAATTATTCGATTGCATTCTAGGTTTTGCAGCAGAAGGGTTCACGCATGTAATATCTAGATCCGTCCTTGTTTTTCCTTGCCTCCTTTAGTTTGATCAACTGCGCTGCGACAAGAAGAAGACTGTTTTTGTTTTTTTTTTTTTTTTACATTTAAAATCGTTAATTTGTAAAATCTACGTTTTATCTATCATATGTGTATATTTCCCTTTCTTTATATTATATTCCTATAGATAATTTTTTATCTAACAGTACTGTGCAAAAAAGAACAAAAAGATGTAAAGGAACTTTTATATAGATGTATTTATTAACGTAACAAAAATTGTATATTAAGCTTTAAAAATCTCGAAAGTATCATGTTATTATTAATTAATTAATTTATTTATTCCTCATTATTAGGAAGTGTCTAGAAGAGATAGAAGAAAAATGTCGATCTCACGAAAAAAAAAAAATAATAGCTTAATATATAATTTTGTAACTGTTTATACACACAAACGTGAAACGACAACAAAGTGAAATTCTTCTCTTTTCCATAAGCACATCTATTTGCTTGAATCGTTTCGCTGCTAGATTATTTTCAGTGAAAATTCTAAGTACTGTTTTATTTAAATCTACTGGTGGTAAAAGAAAATTATTTCTTCTTGCTTTTGTTTGTTTGTTTGTTTTATTGTATTAACACAGTTCCTAAAAGTTTAGATCAAAATAACGTGTTTATTTTGGAGTAGGAAAGCGCGGTAAACAGATCGGTCCGGGACAGAAATTTTACATATGTATAGGAAAGATGCGAGCTGATAGATCGGCTTTCCAAAATAACATTTAAAGAAGAATTTTAATAAAGCAGAATATAAGCTTTTTATATAGTCAGAGGAAAAAAACATAGTTTGTATTATTACCAAATGACGTTCCGTAATGGCTGCTGTTATGTTTTAATTAAGTCTTATATCAAAATACCTGAATGAATATAATATGGTATTCGTGGAGGCAATCGGTTTCATACAAATTTCTATGATAACGATAGTTCTTATCTCTAGTAATAATAGTACACACATAAACACACAACACACAAAGATTGTGTATCATTTTTCTACTAAATTATATACAAAACACAAATTCTTTTTCCCATTCGTGTCCTTATCGTAAGAAATCTAAATTACCTTCGCACTGCCGAAAAACATAAAGAATAATATTTGTATACCTAATGTATAATCATTTTCGAAAACCCAAGAATGCGCTTACTGATAACTATGAATATATTAAAAAAAAAAACAAAAAAAAACAAAAAAGCTGACTTTTTACACATGTATTGATATAAAAAAAAAAAAAACGGATCTTTTCTAAACAAGCAATTTTATCATACTTATACTTATTAAGAGCACGGATCTGAGATAGATGCGAGAGGAAGTAGACGCGTTCAATAACTTTGTGAAAATATACCGGTTGTGTGGAAAAGATTTTAGAAAGCAGAAGAAAAAAACATGTGTACAAGGAAGATCTTAAAACATTCGTGAAATATTTAATATATATGCGATGTAAAAATTACAAAAAACAAAAAAAATTATATATACATGTAATTTTATTATCGTGAATCTCAATGGAACCTATTGTGACGTACAAGACGAATTTGTAAATCATTTTCTTTCACGAATATCTCTCTTACGATTTGCAATATGACCCCCTACATCCGTAATAAGAGAATATACTTGCAACAGATGTAGGTTGTCAATTGTCGAAGGCCTATTAAGAAAGTGTCCTAGACAATATACATATACATATATATATATTCGTATAATATTTAAAAATGTTATATGAAAAGAGCATATAATATTGGCTATTGTTATAGATGTTCATTAGTATGTTGTACGAAAGAAGTTATACTATCTCACTCACATATATACGATGATATTGTTTTTTTTGTAAACAGTTAAAAGAATACAATATTGTATTTCAACGATAGTAATCGAGCGGTCGATTGCGTAGTAATTTTATAATTTTTATTTTTTTGATAGACCAGACAGAAGAAATACTTGTTATTGAAACAAAGATATCGCATCAGATGTTTAATTGCAAACAATGAGAAAAGTAAGATATCACGAATTGGCTGAACAATTTGCTCGGTATATCGCGGAACATAGGAAAAGTCGAAGACCAATATATATTGTTAATCCAGCGCGTGCTATGTACAGTGCTATGTACATACAGTTTGTTGTTTAAGCTGATACATATAAGACATTATTTTCTAGCTCAAGTTCGTGTATCTAATCTAATCATTAATTTAGTCGATATATTAAACGTTCATTATAATAGTGTCGTGCGAAGAATATGCTCCTCTTTAAAGTTTGTACTTTCATAGATAGAAAGGATTTCTAAGGATAATAGATAATACAAATTTATTCAATGTTCGGCGTTAGAAAATAAGATAACATTTACACTGAAGACTAAGAAAAACCTATGATAATAGAACAGAATTTATTATTAAGAAAGAGATGTAAAGGAAAAAGTTGTATCGTGTATGAAACAATTTTGCGTTACTTGCATACAAGTATAATTTTAATTTACGTATTTTGTTTTAAGTTGTGTATTACTTCGAGAGATTTTACTGTTGTAAAATATAATATATATATATATATATATGAATAATTGTACGGTATAAAGATACGCACAAGAGTGCTTTCAAAACGTATATTTTTAAACTTGATTTTATCACACAAGCACCGAATTGTCAACTAAGTTACTTTCTTGTACGTAATTTTTAGATTGGAACCGCGTTCGTTTTATTTACCAAAATTCACCGATGAAACGAACTGAAATATCACAAAGCGCCAGTATGAAATAACATAAACGCGCGCGGCTCCAACTCGAAAGTTAATGCACAAGAAGTTTTGCCCATACACTGCGAAAGCGTCAAATACTCATATTACTCCATACTCGAGTTCATTAATAATTTTATTTTTAAAAAAATATATATATATATAAGTATGTATAAATTATGTGTACATTCAAAATTTGTTAAAAAAAAGATCTTACACGTGTGTATACATACAAATCTTTACATATGTGTATACATATGTCCATCAGTCGTTGTATGTGCACAAGTGTGATAAAATAATCAAAATTTATTTATCGATAATTTAATATGATAATATTCAGATGCTAGAAACGTAAACTCCTTTAGATCACACTTTCTACATACAAATTTAGTAACTTTTATCTATTTAGCGCAATTTTCGCAATATAAACTTAAAACTACACATAAAAGAATGAATGTTGGAATACTATTAATTAGTTTGTCCTACACATGCAAAATCTATATTATACATGTGATTTCATTGTTTAGATTATTGAACTACTTATTATGCGAACAGCTATTTATACACATACAACAACTATTGACATTATATTACTAACAAGAGTTTATGTTAAGATTTTATACACATATATAAATTCTTCTAGTGTATGATTTATAAAATGAGATAAAAGGTAAAATACAAAATTACTCAAATTACACACATGTGTACATATACATTTTTATGTATACATATATATATATATATATATATATATAATATATATATATATAATATATATATATATATAAGTATATAAAGGTGAGACTTTTATGTAAAATAAAAGATTTATTATAACATTGTGACTATGTAGTTTTCTTACTTCTCTTTCTATATTGTATTTTTTACACTTTTATGTCCATTATTTAGAAAACTGCAAAAAGTTTATATATATATTGAGGTAAAAATATATACATAGAATCAATACATAAATTATAAATATTTATAAATACTTTATAGAGAAAATATGTAACTCAAAATGAGATAACAAATTCTTAAAAAACTAGATTAAATGTAAGTGTGATAGATTTGTGTGTGTGATTTTTCTTTAAGGCATATTTGCTATTGTTTTTAAGGGTTGATCAAGATAAGTAGCCAATGCCTGTGCCTTTTCTCGCAATAATCCAAATCCCACATTTTCTTTTGCATATAAACACAAGAGTAAGTTAGCTACTTCTGTAATAACAACTTTTCCTTCCTAAAAAGAAAGAAAAGAAAAAATAATTATCTCGCTATCTACAAAAAAAAAAAAACAATTATAGCTTAAGTGACATAATTACCATACAATCCATTAGAACAAACTGTAATTCGTCTTCTTTAAAGGCATTTCTTCCATTTTTCTCATAAGCTGTCCAAATATTACTGGTAATGGCAGCTGTAACTCTAGCATCTTTATCTCCGTAACCGCTGTATGCTAATAATCCACCATCTCTGTTGAGTAATCTGAAAAATATTATATTAATTAGAAGAATTTTACATCTATTGTCTGCAAAATTATACTTGGATATATTATAAGAATTATACAGAAACAACAATGTGACATATATTGTAATTTATTGGAAGCAAGAAATTGGATTGCAATTTCTTGTTACTATTTATTCAGAAATTCTATACTTACAAAGTATTTTCCACACCTCCAGTATTCGCTTGACTGAGAACCTGCGTGAGAGCCTTTGGTTTCAACATATTTTTCTAAACCTCTTCAACGTCAACTCAATTTTGTATTACTGAATACTAATAGTTAATTATGTATATTGTCTGTGGAAGCGCATACGTTGCATTACTGTGACGTTTGCAATACAAAATTTATTTGAACTTTCTGTGTTAACTTTGTATAATAAAACAAATATAAACTTTACAAAAATTTTACTTGACAATCGTAACAATCGTGATCAAGGTTGCCAGATACATGGTACGTGATGGTACGTGATGTCGCACACAGAGCGTGCTCAAGTCGCCCGAAATCGCAAAATATTGGCTGCGTTCCGATATTCACTGCCAGTACTGAAAATCTATAGCATATGTGACGTAAAGTATAGATCTTTTTCTGAACGCAGCCATGGTAAACGCACCAGTTTTCAAAAATCAAGCGTTAAAAACGGTGTAAAAACAAATGTACGTGCTTACAAATAAATTTACTGTACAACTAGTAAAAGGCAAAAGATTTATTCGTGTGTTGAAGGAAAACCAGAGTAGTCTACAATTAGTATTTAACTTAATGCCTATTTGACTCAACTAGCTACACGTAAATGAAAAACTGACTATACGATAAGTTCATCCTCTGATGGAAAACTTTCCAGAATCTTATAAAAATCTAGATCGTCTTGGTTCTCAGCATCAACTCGGCTACATCCGTAACAACCAGTAACAACCTGCTCGAATTGTTTATACATTTATGATGTAAAGAGCTTGTACAATTTGATCAGTTGGTACGAATTTATTGCAGCACTTCTTTGTCTAGGCAAACCGAATTCGAATTCTCATGATTGCCATCAAAATTTTGTGACGGGTTGCTCCGTCACTGTAAATAATTCTCATTATGCACAATATATATATATATCAGAGAGAAGAATGAGAGCGGCCAGGCCCATAAGAGTTTTTACGATCGCTATACCGGCCCGTAAGCTAGCGCATGTCCATGGGTGGTGCACATTGGCAACTACGTAGCGATGTCCACGAGCGACTTGTCGGTACGTATGGCTATGTCCACGCGTNCGCGTGGACATAGCCATACGTATCGACAAGTCGCTCGTGGACATCGCTACGTAGTTGCCAATGTGCACCACCCATGGACATGCGCTAGCTTACGGGCCGGTATAGCGATCGTAAAAACTCTTATGGGCCTGGCCGCTCTCATTCTTCTCTCTGTATATATATACATGTATCTATAGTCTAGTGTCATTTTTCTTCCGCAACTAGTTTTAAGTCCGCCTCGCAACACCGAAAGTACTGCACCATGTGCGCTCGCCGCGAATCATGGAAACACGCCTTACGCCGCGACCACGAACAGCACCGCGCCGGCGCAGAACCCCACTCGCGGGCCTGCGCGCACCACACACCGCGTCCCGGACCGACTCGGGCCGCCGCCGCGTATATAAGGCGGGCGAAACCGGCTCCGAGCACCATTCCTTTCCCATCCTGCTCTCCGAGGTGTTGACTCGGAAGCACTCCTAGGTCTCCGAGGTGCTGACTCGGAACCGACAACCTCTCCGAGGTGCTGACTCGGAAAACACTCGCTCCGATCTCCGAGGTGTTGACTCGGAATCACCGTTCCTTCTTCTCGAGGTGTTGACTCGGGAAGACACCCGTGCCCCGAACCGTATGCTCGAGGAGCTGACTCGAGCCACCGACGTCTCCCCCGAGGTGTTGACTCGGGTAGCCCGATCCTTCCTCCCGAGGTGTTGACTCGGGAGGAATCCTGACCGCCATCCCCCCGAGGTGTTGACTCGGGTAGCCGATCCCGGCCTCTCCGAGGTGTTGACTCGGAAGGTTCCCGTACCGACCGTACCCGGGGCATTGGCCCAGGTACACCGACCGTCCTCACGGCCGTTCTCACGGCCCAGCGATAGCCGTTTTCACGGCTCCCCGAAACAGCCGTTTTCACGGCTCCCCGAAACAGCCGTTTTCACGGCTCCCCAGAACAGCCGTTCTCACGGCTTACCCGGACATCTCTCGCTACTCGGTAGCAGACCCGGCTCGCCGACCGCGTGCACCACGTAGTGCCGCAACCCTACGCATCCGCGCACCACGCCACCGACGCCGTCACGCGTAACCGCGTTCCCGTAGCCGGAAAACCCCTCGTTGTATATATTCGCGGCCCTCCCTGCTTAGTACGTAAGATTCCGTTCCGTCACCGCGTCGGCCGAGACCGACTCACGATCGCCCGCGCGCGCCAATCACAGGCCGCGAGCCGCCAGTCTGTAAGGGCTTTGTGCCCCGCGTCGTTTCGACCTTGTACACAAGTTCCCTTCTTAGTAGATAAGATTCCGTTCCGTTACCGCGTCGGCCGAGACCGACTCGCAATAGCCCGCGCGCGCCAATCACAGGCCGCGAACCGCCAGTCTGTAAGGGCTTCGTGCCCCGCGTCATTCTGACATTGTATATAGTCCAAGGTATTTCAAGAATATAGAATCATTGTATTACAGCAGTAACCGAACGTGTCGCAATCTCTTCCTTCTCCTCACCCGAATCCTGGTCTGACCGAGCTGTCCGGCAGGCGGAAGGCCGGGCAAGCCGCGCGTAACGCGGCTCCGTTACATAGCGCCCGAACAGGAACCGTTAAAAGTTTAGCCCGGTTGACATTGCGACACGTGAGAGCGGGATGCCAAGCACAAAAGCTTGGATCCACATTCTCTTTAGGGAACAGTTAGTTGAACTAGCAAACCAGTATAGAATAGACGCGACTGGGTCGATCGACGACTTGCGTAGGCGTTTGAAAAGTTACGCCGAAAGTCACCCGACCGACTTTACCAATAGAACAAACCCGTCGAGAAAACTACACGTGGCAGACCGAGCCCCTCCCGAAACCGTGGAACACCCCGAAATGGACAAAGTAATTCCTAAGGCGTCGCGAACCGCGCGAAAGAAAGCGACTCTGAGCTCCACCAGCACCGCCGCCGCCGAAAACGAAATCGCGCTAATCAGCCCGAACTATAAGCGCAGCGAATGCTGTTGGAATTGTGGCCAACGTGGCCACTTAAAGACCGAGTGCAAGCGACCGTTCCGCAAATTCTGTTCCTCGTGCGGAAAGACCGGAGTACTGACACGTGACTGCCACCCTCCGGCAAACGGCCGGAAAAGAAAAAGAGTAGCCCCGGCAGAATTAAACATCGTGTTTGACCCACGGCCGATGACAACCGTGGATATCCTAGGGCGAAAGTTCTCCGCATTACTGGACTCCGGGTCCTCCTGCTCCTTCATCACAAAGGAAGTCGGGCAACATTGCTACGAAAACCATTACCGAGTTCAGGACACAGCCATGCCAATCCGATTGGCCAATGGCATCGAAGCACCTATCCACGAATGGTACAACGTACCAATGGAGATCGGGGAGACTAAGACCGTGCAGCTACTCGGCGTGATGCCCGATCTAACGGTGGATGTACTAATTGGGGTAGATCTGATGGCGGAATTAAGTATTGGTATTCCCGCACCGCCCAAGCGCCAAAAACCCGACTCTTGCGGGTGCGCCACTAGCCACGTCCCGGTCGAAGTGGCAGGACAGACACTGAGAGTACCCGCCGAGGCAATCAACCGAAGCCGCCGATACCGGGCAAGGACAGCTGACGGACACTGGGTCCTCCGGTGGGACATCCTGGGGCATCTGACGACCACCCGGTTTTCACGGCGCCAGGAACCATCTCTCGCTACTAGGTAGCGTCACCAGACCGACCCGCCGACCGTGCACACCGCGTCGATCCGCGACGCTCCGGACCGCGCGCCGCGACACCGACATTCCCCGCCGTAACGCACACCTGCGTTTCCGTAGCTATTAAGAACCCCGCCGTCTGTACATATCCGCGCTCCTCCCTCTTAGCCAATAAGCCGCTGACCGTACCAGACACCGGCATAACCAGTGTCTGCGACGCAAAGCCGCGCGAGCCGCCCGTAGATATACACTGTAATAACTCCGCAACTACCTATGTAAATATTTTCTTTATTAGAATATAGCAGCAGTTTAGTTCAACATTAACCGAACGTGTCGCAATCTCTTTCTTCCCCTCACCCGAATCNTGGTCTGACCGAGCTGTCCGGCAGCACTGATGCAAGATCGAGCAGAGAGCAACGACAGCATCGAAGCGGTGGGGGCACGCACACAAGCGAGAACTGCCGTCCGTGTGCGCACACGGAGGGTGGTTCTTGCTTGTGTGCGTGTCCCCACCGCTTCGATCTCTCGTTGCTCTCTGCCATATATATAATACTCCTATATTGATAGTACGGTGCCGACCTGAAGTCCACATGTTACGGTGCAGACAATATAGTAGCCTCTCTCTCCAGCTGCTTTGTGCGCATGCGGTGAACATTGGGTGTGTTTAGCCGAAGTTAGCGCTACGTAGCGCTAACTTCGGCTAAACACACCCATTCAAGCACGTTTGGGCATTTCTCTTTCTCGCGTTCTTTTCAATGCTTTGTCTCGCTCGCACTCGCTTAGTAGACGCGCCTGCGCATAATGACGCTCGACTATCTATGCCCATATTTGGACTTCGTGCGTCTCTCTTTCTCGAGCCTCGTGCCTCTCATTGCGAAGATACGCGACTAGCAATATAGGAGTATTATATATATGCTCTCTGTTCGATCTTGTAACTCTGTTCGGCAGGCGGAAGGCCGGGCAAGCCGCGCGTAAAGGTCAAATCACACTAGCAATTGACGATCGGCGATTAGCGATTGGCGAATAGTCATGGTCAGGGCGATGTCCCATTGAGCGGAAATATATAGCGGAA